GCTTCCTCAAAAAATTTATAGTCAACACTAAGGTCATCAGAAGGAGGTTCATAATCTTTAGATGGGGAAGCACCACAAATATAATTCCCACCAAGTCCTTCCCTACGGAAATATACACCAGTAGTATCCACAAAAAACGGTGACTCAATGCCAGGACCATCTGGACAATGGAAAGTGTACACATATCTCTTTCTAGGTTGAACAGCAAAATCACTACAATCTTTGGAGCAAAGGTTAGCTTTCATTGCTATTTCCCTTGCCCAACTTCCAGCACAATTAAACACTAAAGTTGATTTAATCCCATGTTCCTGACCATCATTAGTTTTAATATATGCCCCTGACAATCTGTCTTTTCCTAAAGGTCCAGGTTGAAATTCAAATCTATCTAGTTCACCATGTACGATATCAATGCCCAAAGCAAGATTCTTTTGGTACAGACATCTTAAAAAAAGATATGGATCAAACCATCCTTCTCCTTGTATTCCATAGGAACCTACTTCAACATTTTCAAGATTGATCCAAGGGAACTTTTCTTTCAATTGTGATTTAGTAAGAAGTCTGATTTTAGCACCCATCTGGTTCTGCATATCTACCATTTTAGCCAATTTTTCTGCTTTTTCTGGACCTTCTAAAAACAGATATCCCTGATGGTTAAATTGTACATCTGGTGGGTCATTTTCCCCTAGAATACTTAAATGTTCTTTAATCTCTTGTAAGAACTCAGTTGTATACATGGACAGTTGGATGTTTTCAGCTAAACTAAACTGGTGTCGTAGTCCACCACAAGATAAAACACTTGAAGCTCTGGTGTAAGAAGGGTCCCTTTCCACAACTACCACTTTGCTTTGACCACTATATTTATTGCTGTATGCTTTTAACCAGTAAGCTAAAGACATACCAACCAGTCCACCTCCAACAATCAGAAAATTTGTCTCTCTCGGAATAAATGGCTTTTCTTCACCACCAAAGCCTAATTCTTGATTAAGGCGTTTCCATGGTGACATATATTGATAAGCAGGTGGCACAGGCTTTGATCCAGAAGAAAGCTGTCGCAAGAACTTTTTGGATAGAGTTCTGGCTTGAAAAGTCCACATTTTGGTTATGATAATTTTAGAGCCTGAAAAATAAAAGTGATTGGGTTCAGGCTACCACTTAGTAAAGTCAGAATTAGTTTAAGTTCCAAGTACAACTTGTTTCTCAATATGTCAGACCTTCAAATTTACAACCACTAAATATATGAAAATCTTGACCTTGACGTATTAAACTATTCATTTTTATCAAATAATAGATATGTGCATGCATAAGTTTATATTCTGGCAAACACATAAAAAAATAACAACATAAGATTAGTCACATTTTTATTATCTCTATTTTTTTTCTAGGCATATTAGGACAGCAAAGTGAGTAAACCATTCTGGAGAAATGTTCTAAAATGTATAATAGGTATAATATGTCTTACAGGATTGGTCATTTAAATGGCACTTAAATGCAGACTGAAATTGGTCAGTCGTCTTAAGAAGGCACAAAGAGAAACTCTTGACTAACAAAAAGTTTCAGGTTCTGTTAAATATTCTATATTTTCCAGTAAAAAAATGCTATAATACCGGTACTAATATTTGTATTACAACTGGTTACAACATAGTAACCAGAATTAGATCACAAAATAACTTGACCACCATTAAGAGGAGTGGCTTAGAGGGTTGTAAGAGAGGCTTTCTAAAATTTCAAAGTGCATTGGGGACACTGATACCATCAATTTGCACCATTCCAATTTTAAGTTCGTTTTAAAATGTTTGCCATCTATGTTGTCTGTTATTTCAATGTAAGATCAGCACATATTTTCGAGTGCTAAAAAATCTGTCAAGTACTGCAATATCATTCTTATAATGTAAGAGAGAAGCTGATATATAAACTAAATACACAATGAAAATAGTACTTTTCTGCAGTAAATATAACTAAATTTCATTTTACATGATTTACATTTTAAAGATGGTTTCCCTTATTTTCATTTATATATATAATATCGATTATTGGACGACCAATACTTATATCAATCGAAAGTAGAGGTATTCTAATGAATGGGAAAAATACCAGTTTGTCTCAAAAGTCTCAAATTAGCCGATAATTAGCTAATTACGATGAGGATTTCCATAGCGTGACCTTGATAAAGAAATTATCCAGTCTTTTTACGAATAACCAGTGTATACAGTCAATGACATCCGTGATTGGTTAAAATCGTTTCAATATGCATGCATGTGCACTCCCCGCATTCCTTTCTTTTCTCACAACAACATGGCAGTTCCAATAATGCACAGTTTACAATTTAAAAAGGCTTCAGATTCAGAAAATATAGGGCACAAAGAAGAAATGGGATAAGAAAATCCAAGAATATGGTTAGATAAGGATGTCTATGTGTAATTTCATGGAGGAGAATCAGTTAAAATCTCATGGTGAAGCAGCCACTCGCTTGCTCAACAGTCGGTAAGAATTTTGTAATATTGATGATATCTTAGAATGAACATAAAAGTTAATTCTCAAGAATATGAGAATATGAATATATATTCATCAGTGAACTTACCTGGTGTTATAAAGTTACAACAGAATTCCTGTAAAATCTAAAAAATTGGAAAATTCATAAAACTAAGCAATTATTGAAAAACGCTTAATCATAATATTAAGAGTTTTTCAATAGTTAATTGCATTTTTATAAAGTTTGTTGGATTTATCGGATTTTATAAGGATCCTGTTATGTTATTTATGACACCAGGTATATCTACTGATGAATATAATGCTCTTACTGGCCAAGTTTAAAATTTTATGTTTATTCTAAGACCTAGGTAGTATCCCTTTAACTACAAAAATATTCATCTTCCCAAATTATCCGGGTTTTGAACGTGGCAAAGAACTGAATATATCAGCCCTAGAAATTAGAACAAAACTTCTTTCTTCAATTTTATCTATCTAAAATATAGAATATAACAACAGAGAGACGAATCAAACAAGATCTGTAGCCATAAAGGGGCATAACCCATACACACCTAACAATTTTTAGACGTAATTTTTAGCAAATGATTGGCCAACAGAATCCTTAATTCTTCAAATATATTACACTATGATAGAAGAAGAAAATGCATACCAAATTATAAAAAAAGGAAGATATCTAAATGTGTGAAAATAACATAATCGCCATCCGTTTTCTTACCTTTCCCTCGGAGATATTGAAAATTAGTACGTACCTAATATCCTGGAAATACACCGTAGCCACTTTATTTAATGGACTAGAAATTTGCTTTAGTTTGTTTAACTCTTCATATTACACAGAGTCATATTTTCCCAATTTTTTAACCTACTCTTAAATAATATTCCCCTTTCTCTGGCTTATTTCTTACTTTCATAATTATCTTCTCTCATTCACAAAATATGAAATTTTGGTTACGTTATTGTTTCCAATTTACGTCATCAATTTCTGTGTATAATTTTACGCAATAGACGAACATGTGCGCGCAGTTCAATGGTGGAGTCATAAAACGAGTTGAATTATTTTAAGAACAAACACAGAGAATGGCAGACGACATGGAGGTATAACATAATATAATATTAATGTGATTTAAGCTGAATGTTTTTTTCATATTCTTGGCTTATAGAATAATGATCGAATCAACATGTTATTCAAATTGCGCTTGTTTACATTTCGTGTTCTTTGTCATGTTCATTTTTCCGAATTATTTTCTTACTCCTACTCTTTTCGCATATTCGTTGGTAAATAAAATTTTGCCTTTTGTTTATAACATTGAAAATAAACACATTTCCCTCTTCGAAATTTCTACCGAATTTATTACTTGGACTTTTTCTCTTGTTGCTTCTTTGGCTGAATATTGTTTTTTGTAAAACCAAATTTCCTAGTGGGAGATGATGTAGGTAGTAACATGGTTTCCCCCCTTTCAGCTAAAATGTTTTTTGCCTCTTTTTAACCCATGTGGTTTTCAACCATATCTACTCTCTGACTAATCTGATTTTGATTTTGCCAATCATTTTCAAATGAATTGAAATATCAATTACAAAAAAATTCTGAGAGTCTAAGATTGTCTTTGGCTTGTTGAAAATGTTAACCACTGAGAAAGTTATTTTTTGTAAACCTGATTCTATAGAGGGAAATTTTCAGTCGGAAAAGTATTTCATTTTCACTTGAATTTTCTGGAAGGGAAGTGTGTCTGTTTTAGATGTTAAATCACAGAACCTTATATTTTCTATTGCCCCTTGGACATTCTAAGACAAATGTAATACCGGTACCATTGAAAAATTTATTTTGATTATTTATAAATTATGAAATGAGGGAAAAAAACTCAATTCAGAGCTCAATGTAGTCAGAGTGTAAGTTTTTTCCTCAACTCCACCAACATACACTTATGTTCATATATATTTATCAATGCAAAGTCTTTCCAAGAATTACTATAGTTTATAGCAATAATAAGTTATCTATACTCTATTTCAGGTGACACCTACAAGCAGTACTAGTGATGCTGTTGATGTATCAACAGCCAATACTAATGGCAATGCAGTCAATGCTGGTCTAGATGATATGACTTCTAAAGATTATTATTTTGATTCTTATGCACATTTCGGAATACACGAGGTATGTGTATGATGTGAATTACTCATATTCATTTTTTGTGGTAAAGTTTAGGTGGTCTAACTATTTTATGGTATACAAGGTGGTTAATGTTATTGTCTGCATCCAGGGCCCAGTAACCACTCTTGTAAAATGGAACTATAAAGGGTGAAATGCTTACATGAAATATTTTTACCAGTTGCCCCCATTTAAAAAAATCCTGTCAACCTTCAATCATAAAATTTATTCCAAATATACTTGTTTTTTTTTTGTCCTTTAGCATTCTATAGCTCATAATTTTTGCACCTTGAAACTTGTTTCATTTCAGGAAATGTTGAAAGATGAAGTGCGAACATTAACATACAGAAATTCAATGTATTATAACAAACATCTATTTAAAGATAAAATAGTACTTGATGTTGGTTGCGGTACTGGTATACTCAGTATGTTTGCTGCTAAAGCTGGTGCTAAGAAAGTCATTGGGGTGAGAGTCAAAGTCAATATTTTGCAATAAAGTTCAATAGGATTTTAGCATCTTCGGAATGTCCAGCTATTATGACCTTTATTTTGATAACCAGACTGCAATAGCCTCCGATCTTGCATCGGGAATGTTTGTAAATCAATGATTTCATTGGATTGTATGCCAATCAGAGACCAGGTATTAAGTAGCATTTGGTGTATGTAGAGCTATTAGTATATTTGGATTCCTGGCATCATCAGCTACATTTTGATACCAATTCCATCTCAATAGCTTTCTCTTTTCAGAAGATATAGTCAATTTAATATCAAAATTTGAGTCCCCTTTAATACCTCACTGCCAGCTCATTACTGGGCAGTGGAACTTAATACCTGATACGATGTGCAGGGTCACATATTTGTACTTACAATTCACATATGTTCAAACATAAAGTTCCAAATCGAATAAAATAATAATACCTTAAATCTTTGAAGGATTCACTCTGCTCATACATGACTGTAATTTAAATTCATATTTGTAGATTGAATGTTCCAGTATCATTGACTATGCTCAGAAAATAATAGTTGATAATAGACTAGATAAAGGTAGGTTGGCTTTTCATGTGTCCATTAGTTATTGACTTAAGGGTGACCTTGGTTATTTGTAAGGAATGCAGACTTGACAAAGTTGATAGTTGAGTCTCAAATTCGTGGAAATTTTAACTTTGCACACTATGTGCATGTGTGTAATTCTTTTGACTGAACAAATTGATTTTTTTTTTTTAGTTATAACATTGGTAAAAGGTAAAGTAGAAGAAGTAGTATTACCTGATGGTATCGAGAAAGTTGATATTATTATCAGTGAATGGATGGGTTATTGTTTGTTTTACGAGTCTATGTTAAATACTGTCATCTTTGCCAGAGACAAATGGCTGGTAGGTATCCTTTAAGCTTATGGGCATCACAAAATTTTATTTTTCTAAAGTTGTAATACAGCTATATTCTTGACAACTACAGAAAATTACACTGCTTTCACTTTCTTCCTTGGAGGATCTTCAGATCATTAGTAGAACCAGAACAGTAACTCGATGCAATAAACATCCTTATTTCTGGTTAATAAAACCCAGTTGAAATGTTAAAATATACTCACTAATTTGATTTAGTGCTCATATTTGCTGCCTTTTTTTTTTATTTCAAATTTCAAAATAGAACAATTTTACTTGTTTTCACTTCTTCTCCTCTGTTCTTCGCTCTATACATTCTCGAGTTCTCAAAAAAGTACTTGCTAATATGACCATAATTTTCCAAGTTCAACGGAAAAAGATTTAGTCTTTTAAACGACTGCTTATTGATCTATTTTTAGGCTAAAGATGGTCTGATATTCCCAGACAGAGCTACTTTGTATATATGTGGTATTGAAGATAGACAGTATAAAGATGAAAAAATTAACTGTAAGTTTTGATTGTTTGCTGTGCTTATCTGGCTTGAAATTGTATATGACTCATTTAATTTGGGTCTTTAGTTGCATTTATTATGAATAAGGTAATGTGATTTTCCATAATGGCAAAAGAGGCTTAGAATTAGAGGTATAAGCAAAAAGCAATGGAGAAAGAAACAACCAAAGCAAATGGTAAATTGTTAAATGTAAAATTGAATTCACAGACTAAATGTGATTCCCCACTATCTTACTCTAGTGCTGATTGCTTATGTTATTTTTAGGGTGGGATAATGTATATGGATTTGACATGAGTATTATTAGAGGTGTAGCTATCAATGAACCATTAGTTGATGTAGTAGATCATAAACAAGTTGTCACTAATTCTTGTTTAGTAAAGGTAGGCCACAATTATATTCTTTCTAGAATTATATTATTGATTAAACTGTTAACATAATTTCATCTTGATTAGCTTGCATCATATGATACAAGGGACTGATATGTAAAAAGCGTTTAGCTTTCTGGATAGGAAATGAAATTGAGACCCTGTGTGCTATATTCCTAGATAAAGAGTAGGAACAGCTGAGCTTATGCTCAGTAGCTGGAGTAGAAAGAAAGACATAAAACTTCCTGTTCATGTATGTCCGTTTATTATATTGAATATTTTTTGCAGGAAGTTGATATATACACTGTTAAAATAGAAGATATGGTATTTACACAACCTTTCCACCTTCAATGTCGAAGAAGTGATTATTTACATGCTTTAGTTACATTTTTCAACATAGAATTTACCAAATGTCATAAACGAACTGGTTTCTCAACTGGTAAGTTTATGTTTTAATTAGGAAGATACTGTTATATTGTTTATAGGATACTGTTGTGTAATTATTTATTAATTATCTGATGCAGCCTAGGGTCAGTTGATATTTACCTAACAATATGTTAGACACCCCTTGAACACATTGTTGTTTGTGAGGCAGTCAATTTTGATTTGATTTGTTATAAGATTTTGAAGGTATTTTAACTTATGGATATGATTCAAAATGAAATTCAGTCAAATTGATTCCTCCTCAAAAATGTGTCAAATGGATTAGTGACATGTATCGGGCAGGCAGTAATATTTTGATGATGTAATAAATAACAATTATCCAATACTTTTATAAAGCCATTTTGAATGATGCCAAATGCTGAAATGGGTTTATATGACCATGATCTGCCATCTTACTTCCTTAATATTATTCAGAATATAATAAAGTCTATAAATAACAGGTACAGCATCTTTAATTATTGATTATGATATATCATATCATTTGAAATTCATGCCAACTTATCCTTTGTTGGTTTCATTTAATCATTTGTTCTATTTTCAGCTCCAGAAGCTCCTTATACACATTGGAAACAAACTGTATTCTATTTGGGTGATAATGATTTAACTATTAAGAAGGGAGAAGAACTGAATGGTACCTTTTCCATGAAGCCTAATAAACAAAATAATGTAAGTTGTTTTTATAAATGTTAAAAATGTTCATGAAGTTAGCATAATGGATCTTAATTTAAGTTTTCCTAAAATATGTTAATAGGATTTGAACTGCAGTTGTATCAAAGAATGGCATGGAGTAGGAATTATTTTAGACTGATACAATTCCTTTCTATTTCTTACTTGTCCTTTTCATTTTTTTTCCAGCGAGACTTGGATTTTCAACTAGAGCTAGACTTTAAGGGAGAATTATCAGAGATGTCAGAGAGCCTTCGATACAAGATGAGATAGATGAAGAGTTATTACAGAAACAGATCAACTGTCAAAAATGTTACGTTTACTTGCATGAAACCAGTTGACACACTTTAACTGCAAAAATATAATAATGTACTGTATCACTGCAGTTAAGAGTTTGCAATCTGCCATATCTTAGTCATGAAAGTAAATACTTACTATTAAACACCCTGTGTGGTTTCTGTTAGCTTTAGGTTTATAGTCATGAATTCAGATTTGCAAAATTTTTACAGAATATTTTGCATTTGGACGGGTGATATTTTTCTAATTCAATTATTTTTACTTTCTTGCAATTTATAAAGTCTGATATAGTCGTCTAATTATTGAATTAGCCATCAATTAAGACTTTACCATCTATTTTGAACCTGGAAAACCATGAACCAAACTTGTATCATGGAGAATTTCTTAGTATCATCATGTAAATATGATTATTGCTTCATCATCATCTTTCATGTTTTAGTCTTACAAGAGATTCTTTTATACTTAAAATTTGAGTCTCTATTTGTTGATAGCTGTTGTTGTAAATTGATATCAATATATTTTGCTTGAATAGTGCTATGTTGCTAAATTCTGAATTATACCATCAAATTGTAACTGAATGTGATTAAAGAGGAAATAAAATTATACTGCTTTTGTCAATCTTCACATAATTTATTCTTGGAGTTATAATGATACTTTAATAATTGCATATTCCCTAGTAGAATACAGTCATGCTGAATACCATTGTAACCCTCAAACTTAATTCTGCTGTTTTGTATCAAGTATGTGAGTTCTGGGCCTTATAAGCTTACAAAAAATACTATAGTATAGATGGCAATGACAATAGTGTCGGAAACCATAGGTCATATCCAAATGGTTTTACATTGTAAAAAGGCCTTTCATGGTCTGCTATCTGGTTAGTAGTTCTAGAGTACAGGTAAATTAGATTATTGGTCTAAAAGTACAAACTCAAAATCTCTACAAATTCAAATACTCTTCTGACATGAGAGGCAGCTACACTTCATAATATGCCATCATGGAGAAGGAATCTGGAAGACTTAAAAGGTGTAGCTAACCTCGACATGTATACATTCCATGTGGTAAAAATCTGCAGGATCAAGTGTAGCGGACGACGTCACCAAAGCTGTAGGCCCACTCGTCAAATACGGATGTTCGGATGAAGCCTTCGGATTAACAAGGCCGCATCACTCTCGCCAAAAGGCAAAACGGCACGTCTGTCAATTTGTGATGTACTTTTTAAAAATAATATTGTTGACTCTTTTTTCGATTTGTTTTGACATATTGTACAACATTGTTTTACATTTCTGCTCGGCAATGAAACAGACGATACAAGCCTTGCAGAAGTGGATTCTATTTATAGCAGCTAATCACAATAAGCGTACTATACTACATTGACCAATCGACAGCATTTCAGAGAGAATTTTAGGTCACGTGGTATAAGGTAAACAAACTTTTCAGCTGAGAGATTCGGCGGAAGTCATAGAAAGTCGGCAATATCATCAATAAAGTAGATCTCCATATCAGGTACTGTAGTCATAAATATAAAACAGGATTATCCACATACATTGTAATCATTGTTTAGTCATGAATACACAGAATTCGCAGATTTCATTAGTTTTTTTCCACAGATAAACACGTGTTTTAAATATGGCGCGCCGCCTGCACGATATGTTTGACATAGACTACCAAAACGCGCAAATATTTTGCGCTTTTTAATATATAGCCTTGGTGAAACAACAAGCAAACATTGAATGTATTAATAGGAAAGGATGGATATTCTAAGCGGGAAAAACAATACCTAATTCTTATCTTATAAAAATATGATAATTATTATGATACTGAGAAATAAAAATAAAATTCCACCAATTGACAAAGATTAGATCTATCCAGTCTTTTGTCATTTAAGACTGTAAGAATAAATTCCTCCTTGATAATTTAGTATATGAGAAAAATTCCGCCAAAGTTGTAAATGTTGTGAAACAAAATAGTTTGTTAGGATTAGACTAGGTATTACAAGGCGTTGTGGTTTTATATTTTTTGAGTAGCCTACCAATGGCAATGCCATAGGTTATGCCAATTAGGTCTTACAGTAACTTACACTCATCTGAAACTGAAAAGAGTGAAAGAGCAAAACTCCAAAAAAAGGAAAGGTCAACTTGCAGTTCCTTGCATATACAGAATCTTCTCCTGTAGCCTATCCCTATATCAAACAATATTTATGACAATATGAATTATTTTTTGATTCAGGAAAAACTTCATTAGTGGCATTAGCCTAACCAAATTTGCTGAATTTATTATTTTATACATAAAAAATGAATGGACATGTTTGGGTGACAAATGTATCACAGTTATGAATAGAAATCTTTTTCTTATACAAATGTGTAGACTGGAACATAGAAGACAATCAGGATGTCTAAACGAGTTTTAACACCTGTCCGTGGATTAACACCTGTTCGAGTGAGAAGACGACAAAGTGATGCTAAATGGAGAGCCAGTGTAGCCAGTTGCTATGACACACTAAAACTTGTTATTCCAAATGCAAATAAATTATCTAAAAAAAAAGTTTCCAAGGTGAGATTTTGCTTCAAATAGATAGTGAAATTTTTATACGAATCTGGGACAGTGATAGCATCAGTTTCCACCATTCCAATTTCGAGTCAAATGTCTGGTTCTCCCAATTCCACTTAAATTAAGCCTTTTTGATGTCATTATCTCAAAAGCTGCTTATAATACATAATACAGTGATGCCATAAAACTTTTTTTTATATACGCCCAAAATATAATCTTTCGCTGAACAGTTTTTGAGTTATTGCCCTTGATTTATGAAAAACGTGTCAAAATTTGTTTTTAGAATTTAGAATCACCATTTACTTTGTTTTTCAGGCATTGATATTACAAGAAACAGAACGACACATTAACCATTTGGAATACACATTAAGTCAGTTATTTAACTTAAAAGGTAGGCTTGGGAAGTTTTACATTTTTTTTTATTAATTGGCATATCTGGATAATATACTTCAATAAAGAAATATCTTTACATGCAAGATGCTAAAGCATTTTGAAAATTTTCCAACACATGACTTCAGTGGATTTCTTATTATTGTTTATTTACAGCTCCAGAATTGGGAAAAACAGTTTTATGGAAAGAAGGAGAGACTTATCACCCAGCTTCACTCAATGACATCAAATCAGATTTTGAAGAAAAACAGTCTGAAATTTTTTCACAGTAAGATTTGATATAAATTTGTGTTAATAGCAACCCAAAACTAATCAGTATGATACTTTGTAGTTTCAGGCATATATCAGATTTTCATTCTGAAAAATATTCATTGGGATATGAATAGCTGAAGTTGAGCTCCATAAGTTTGTAAACCAGATATTTAGGACACTTTGTTTCTTCATGTTAGCAATGCTGTGACTTCATAAAGTAAATTTCATTCTTTTTTGTAGATCATCACATGGTAGAAGAAGATATCATTTATTATCTGATATAGAGGGACAGTTAGTAGACATGACTGTTAATTTTGAAAAACTGTCAATTGTCACTAGAATTGGTAATATGGTTCTACAAGCTAATAGAAATAATATCCAAAAGGTGAGAGAGCTAGTGATAAGGTATGATTGTCAAATGCCACCTTATCACAGAGTGCAGCAATTTGATTGGATTGTGTGCCAGCGAAAATACAGCCAATCAGAAAAAAAGGTGACAAATACAGTCAAGTAATAAGAGGAAGTTAATAATAGCTTGACATTGTGAACATGAGGTTAGAAATGAAGTCAGTACAGAGATGGAAGTTCAAAATTAAACTGTTAAATCTGCAATTTATTTATAAAAATACGGAGTGGGAAATAGGCTTGATTTCACGATCTAAGATAATGGAGTTGTACATGTCTTGGAATTTTTCAGGGTTTACCTTCTACTACTGTCAATAATGTCAACAAAAATAGAACATACTATTCTCATGGTTTACTAGATGGTCATATTATTCCTCTTGCTGGTGATACTAAAAAGGTAACAGTCATTTAATCATTTTATTTATTTACCGATATTCATTATTTGAATTTTTCTTGTTTGATGTAATGAATGGTTAATTGAGATGGTAAACTTGAAAACTGAATTGTTCAGAACCAGGAGCTTTTCTCAGGAAAGTAGCAAGCATGGTAAAAGATCAGGTTACAGTTGAAAATAGAAGCCCATTAGCAAAACAGTTTAAGAGAAGTAGGATTAAAACACCAATTTGTATCTTTTCTGCAATAGACAGATTTTATTTCGGTCAAATGTCAAGTCTGTAAGCATCCTTAATTTGTGACCAGCTTTTCTTTGTCATTATGCAAATTTGGTTTAAGTTGTTTCCGATTTCAGTGTGCAAAAGGCTTGGTGACTTCATATTACAGCTGTACATTTTTGCTTGATAATTAAATTCTGTAGGTTGAAATGTTGATGGTACAGAATATAGACGATGAAGATGATGTACACACTGTTCCCATACAACTAACTCCAGAAAAATCACATCCAGCTTTGAATAACAGTTCTGATCCTTCTATGGCTGCTCTATCCGATCCCTATCTTAACTCACCATTGTATATATCAGAAACAGATGTTTTATTAGCTTCACCTAAATTAGCTAAAGTCACCAAACAGGTTTGTTTAAGCCAATATCATTTTCACCAATGTTGAGGGTTTTCATTGCCTTAATTATCTTAGGTGTACGATATACTTATCCTTACTATATATAGATTCTGAAACTCCTGTTGGTTTGATAATTCATATGCATGTTACTTTTATGTTAAGATCCATTAGATGGCTTAAAATAGGAGGCAAAGAGTCAACATCTTCTGACAAAGATTATCTTATAATGGTTGCTAAATTTTACCACTATTACTAAAGCATTCAATAAGGTTAACAAAAAAGGAAGATTTATTTTCCCTAGACAAGGTTAATGTCCCTTTAATAAGTAAATTGACTCATAAGCTCATGAAAATATCAACTTAATCTTTCAAAAAACTTTCCTTGGAGTTATCCTTTTATTTTATTTTTCAGTTGAATTTTTCGTCATCTTTTGAAAGTTCAACAGATTTCTTAGAGGAATCAGCTACACCCATGAAAACAGCTTCATTTAGTTTAGGATTTACTCCAGTTAAACTTCCCTCAGAGGTTTGTAGCTAATTTATTTAATTAACAACACAATTGAACATCCCAACACTTAAAAATGAATTGACATTGATTGACATTGTGGACTGAAAATTTAATTCAGCAGATAATGTTTGTGTAGAAATTTCTGCAGTGTCACAACTTATTTAACTGCTAAAATCAAATCATATTGTTACAATCTATCAAATTTTAGTCTGAAGAAGAAGAGGAAAATGAAAGGGAGACTGAAGAAGATCACAGTCAAGCAGAGATTAAAGAAGAAGATAATTTAATATGTCTTGAAACATTTGATACTGATGATAGTTGTGATGTACAGACTGAAAAGTGAGTTGTTTTTATAGAGTGGTCTGTCATTTGGGTGGAAGCTTTTGGTTGGATCTGATTGTTTGATCAACTTTGAGCCATTTTCACTCAGTTACGAGTTTCACAGTTTTTGAACAACAGGTTTGCAGTTGCTGAAATATTTTAAAGACACAAGTTTGTCATCTATTTGACCGTAGTACCATAGTCTCCGAAACAGAAATTTTTACTCAAGTTAATCAGTAAAAGTATTCACAGTTCAATGTCAAAATTTGAGTCTTCAAATCCATGTGTTTACAGAGTTTCTTAAATTTCTAATATATTTGTTCAGTTTTGGTATTTCTCAAGATTTTTTATATACCTTCAGGACCAAAATTAAAATGTTGAACCATAGGAAAAAAAATGAGCGTATACTTACAAGCAAATGAGTACTCTAGGATTCTGTCTGTCAGCTGGTCTATGGCTAAAGCTCAAGAAAATTTGAACATAGGAAACCAACAAATTCATTCAGAAATATTACAGTTTGTTGTTAAAGCAGATCGTGGCCTTTTATGTTTAAAGATAAAAATGTAACCTTGTTTTTCAGGACTCCAGATAATAGAGAATCTATTTTAGAATCCAGTTTGTTTCATGATTCACCTCAAAAACTATCCTGCAAGAGAAAACTGTAAGTTGTTGATTTTTTATTTTCAGATCTGATTTGAAATGATTTATTTTATCTATTAGATACATAGTTATTGTCCTTTTCTACTTTAGTTTACATCAGATTGTCATGTACTTGTCTTTATACAGTATGTGTTGTATTTAACTGAATAACTTTGTTTATACTTCAAAAATCTGTTTCTCACTTTGAATGTTAAGGGACAGGTTTGTCATCCAGCAGGATTTTTTTTTTTAACTCACCACAGAAATTTTAGCCCTCAAATTTATGATGTCCAATATTATCTCCATTTGAAAATTAGAATGACTTTTCTTGAGTCTGTCACTGTCATATATAAAAGACATATAGAAATAGAACACAAGTTCAAGTTTGACAATTTTTGTAATTCTGGAGACTTTTTACATATATTCAAGACCTGAATCAACCCCCTGAAAATGGCCAACCATGGCCTGTTCTCAGTCACAAAAGCATCCATGTGTTATTTTATAGTAATTTAGATAGAGAGTTACCAAGACATAGACGAGAAGAAGGTTATGTTCCAAAGTGCAGAAGACGCCTTGAATCGTAAGTTTTTAAGTAACAAAATACTTGGGTATTTCACAATAACACAATGGATTCTCTTTACCAGCCTTCAGCAAACTCTCTGGAATGATCTTTCCTTGATATTTCTTTAGACTATTGAAAGTTATCTAATTTTTTCCAGGAGGAAATTTTTTGTGCTGTTTTATAACATTGTTAAATGAAATTTGATATTTATTTCTAGGATGTTTTCTGATCAGCCAGCTGAAAGTAGTAGTAAGAGAAATAATAATCTACCTATTATAAATGGTGTTTTTGATAAAGATGCTGATTGTTCTGATTTTGATGGGTAAGTTACCTTCTAACTCAAATTTCCATTGCAAATGAAGCTTAATGTACCTAACCTACAATTGGCTAGAGTTTAAAGTGTCTTTTTTTAAAGGAATTGTAAAGAGGACAGACGTCTGTGGTTCTTACAATTCCACTTAAACTATTGTTTTTTGGCATTGCAGTTAGATTTGTGTTTAGAAAACTTTAGTGGGAATTTTGATATATAAACATAATGCATAGTAACTCCTCATGGAATTCCAGATGATAGCTTTGATACTTTTGCTGTGACTTTTAAGCGATTTGATGCCATACAAAATGTGTCACACTTACAGCGCTATAACCTGCTATAAATCAATGCAAGGGTGAAGGTCATTCAACATGATCAAGAGATGCCAAACGAAAACAATGGTAGAATTCAGCTTCCACTGTACTTTATGGTGGTTTTCTTTCGAAGAATGCGACAGAATGTTGAGAATCAGACATATATCTGAAGCAAGAGAAGTCTCTGACCTGGACCATACCATCACTGGATTATTTACAGACATTACAAGTAGCAACATGAATAAAATACTCATGAATCAATAGCAGGTTTTCATACTGTAGAACAGTGTAAATAGTCATGCCATGATGCATGCCTGAAATGGGTGTTGTGCTTATAGCGTGATAAGCCAGTCATACTCGTTGTCGAAAAGTACAATGTCTGTGAAAGCAGGTTTTGAAAGGAGGTTTCTTTAGAGCTATTAGAGATTGTTCCAAAGTGATTTCAATATGATGTGCTGATGCGATCTAAGGCTTTAAATCGCATTCAACCTGCTTTAAAACATAAGTGTGAACATGGTATCTAACCATTGTATCTTACCATTGATTTGCTCTATTGCAGATATTTTTTATTCTACCACCAAATGGCAAGTCAACTGGAAGGCTTTATGTCAAGAAGTGAAATTGCATCACCATCAGTAGCTTCTATGGTTTCAGGTTTGTGGAATACCATGCCTAAAGAAGATAAAGATACATTAGCCACCTTAGCTCAATTACAGACACCAGTAGAAACAATATCTAGTCAGTCTAGTCTTAGTGATGATCTTCAAGAATTAGACGTCAAACCCTTCAACAGTAAGTTTTGTTTTCAACAGTCATAGATTCATATGCAGAATGTTCTTCATTCTTAGTAGGATAATGAAAGATAACACAAACACATTGTGTCAAAAAATTTTCATTTTGAGTGAAGAATTTTTTTTTTTTTTTTGCCATTCTCCAGTTTAAAAATCATTTAAGATTAGAATGTTTATATTTTATTTGCACAAAATTTTTTGTCAAAAAGCACCTTTTTTGTCACTTGACTGAAAAGTCTGGAACTTTATCAACTTAAAAAATAACATTCTTCAAGATAAATATTTTTCCAAAGTTTTCTCTCTTAAATTTTATTGATGAATTGAACAATTCAGATCATAAGAATAAAGAAGAGGAAGAAGAAGAAGAAAATAAGAAAAGATTATTGAAAGATTGTGGACTACATATGGTACCAGATGACATGGATCTAGGAGTTTCTTTGCTACCAGATTCAGATTTCTATACCTTCACTAGAAACACTAAATCTAAGGTTAGTTGTGAAATTTTTTTAATCATCTATGTAAGCAAGAATCTCTCAAAATATGATCTTAAAGTCATTTACAATTATATATTGGGATTGGTGTTGAAATTGTATTTGACAGAAGCTTTATGAATATTTTGGAAAAGGTCCTAAGTGCTTTTGATCAGATTTGATTAGCAAAATTGGCTATTGCTGTCCATATTATACTATTGAATTAATGAAATTACTTTAATTCTAAAAGTAACATAAGGGACGCTATTTTTTTTTATTGCAGGAGACAAATGATTTATTACAAGAACAAGGTTTTGAAATAATAGATGATTTCCAGGTGGTTCCAGAATTATGAAAAGATAATGACCATGTTCTTGTGCAATTCATCATAAGTGGTAGTCATTACATCTATATAGTGCTACTTGACACCAATATTGCTTATTCTTGTGCTTTCATTTTCTAAATACACTCAAGTTTAATAATAGTCAAAAGTTGAATTAATTACACTATACCCTTTGGATATTTTTTTGGTTCCGATTAATTTCATCAAATGATTTGTAGTAATAAATGTTTTTTTTTTAGAAATATATGTTTATGTGATTTGACAATTTGAATTTGATTTAGCTGTTTAAACTTGATTGATAAAGTAATATATAACATTAAAGTAATATTATATTACATTTGATTCTACCGTTTAAACTTGATTGATAAAGTAATATATAACATTAAAGTAATATTATATTACATTTGATTCTACCGTTTAAACTTGATTGATAAAGTAATATATAACATTAAAGTAATATTATATTACATTTGATTCTACCGTTTAAACTTGATTGATAAAGTAATATATAACATTAAAGTAATATACTTTATTTGATTCTACTGTTTAAACTTGATTGATAAAGTAATATATAACATTAAAGTAATATATTATATATTTGATACTACTGTAAACTTGATTGATAAAGTAATATATAACATTAAAGTAATATTATATTACATTTGATTCTACTGTTTAAACTTGATTGATAAAGTAATATATAACATTAAAGTAATATTATATTACATTTGATTCTACCGTTTAAACTTGATTGATAAAGTAATATATAACATTAAAGTAATATATTATATTTGATTCTACTGTTTAAACTTGATTGATAAAGTAATATATAACATTAAAGTAATATATTATATATTTGATACTACTGTAAACTTGATTGATAAAGTATTATATAACTTCAAAGTTATATATTACATTTGATTCTACTGTTTAAACTTGATTGATAAAGTAATATATAACTTGAAAGTAATATATTACATTTGATTGTACTGTAAACTTGATTGATAAAGTATTATATAACTTGAAAGTAATATATTACATTTGATTCTACTGTTTAAACTTGATTGATAAAGTAATATAGAACATTAAAGTATATATTACATTTGATTCTACTGTTTAAACTTGACTGATAAAAAATGTATCACATTTGATTCTACTTGATAACATAAGATGTGGTATTTGATTTGGCAATTTTTACTTTTGATTTATATTAATAATTAATTTGAACTGTTAATGTGAAATGTTATTTTTGATTTGAAAGATTGTATACCAGTATGTCAGGCAATGTATTTTATGTAACTGACAATGAGGGCAAATTGTTCACGTAGTGTATAATCAATTTAGTTTCTTTTCTTTTCCTAGTGTTATGATTATTTTGTTCATAAAGTACATACCATTATAATTTATTTTTGTTAACCTTTTGAGCATAGGTAGTAGAATTTCATGTGATGCAGGAATTTTGCCTGCTCCTTGCTTTCAGCTTTCTGAGCTTTCTGACTATCAAAAATTTAAAGGGATTCTAAAGAGGTTTTCTAAATTTTTTGTGTATTTGGCACCATTCCATTTCCATCAGATGTCTATGGCACCTGCAATTCCACTTAAACTAAGTGTTTGATGACATCACATTGTCCCTTATGTGATAAAGCATATGTTGTGATAAGTGACATCATCAAACACTTAGTTTTAGTGGAATTGCAGGTGCCATAGACATCAGATGGAAATTGGAATGGTGCATATTGATTCTATCAGTGTCCCTGATACACTTCCAAGATTTAGAAAACCTCTTTACAATCTCTTTAAGTGGCCAAACACAGTGTTCAAAGGGTTAATGTCTGATTTATATTCCTATGTTGAAGATCTGTAATGTTTCAAATGTTAATGTGTTTTTTCAATTCTAAGATAGAAAATCTTAATTAAGTATTACATTGCTTGATTTCTGATGTTTCTAATTTATTTCATGTATAGTGTATTCCTTAAAAGACTTAATAATGGAAATAATAAATTACTTGAACTCAACTTCATTTTAAGCCCTGAAATAATGATGGCTATTTAAATAGGCTACTTTTAATTATTATTTCAATATATAAACTTGGTATGCCTTATAGTAAGATGATGTTAAAGTTTCAATATGATTGTGTTAAGAATATAATAATATATAAGTTAAATATTTTTTTCAAAAATTGTTTTGGTCAACTTTGTGAAAACTATACACCAAAATCTAGAGAAATGTGCCCTTTAACTATCTGAAAGTTTTTACTAAAGGAATTCAACCGTTAATTTCAGATAAAAATTAATTTAAAAGCCTAAATTGTAGAGTAATTTGTCTCCTGTGTATTCTAAAGGTTCAATTAATAATATCCTCCCTAGCTATTATAAAGCCAAACACCAAAACCAAGTCTTAATTAACAATTAACCGTTTATAATTAACCCTTTTTAAAAAAATTCAGTGTGATCAAGAAGATGCATAGATATAAGTAGCATACTTCAAAAACATTTTCAGGTAAAAATTAACGACATTTTTGATAATGAAAACTTTACAAAAAGCGGAATACCCCTTTAAATTTGTCAAAGTGGTGTCTCTCAGAGGCGAGGTCCAAATGGCAGAAGACCAGTGGTTCAACTAGACGTCCCTTGGACTTAGTTGGAGATTAATTAAACACCATTGCCCATCTAGATATATTACTTGCCCCTCCAAACAATCTGACCTTAGTATATGACAATTTGAATACTGACAATACTGAATGATATTACATACCCTAAAATATATGATATCGTTAATTTCAGTAAAGCTAAAAAAAAATGCAATTGAATATTCCTCTATAATCAAGAAGGAATCATTATCATCACTCTTTTCTAGAATTTTGAATGATTCAGATCGCCTCGCATCCCTGAATATAATTGAATATGTGAGATGTAATGGATAGTGAAATGGATAATTTTGATGGATCTCGTTGGAAATGGTTAGAAGTCGTCGAGAGTAATTAAAGATGATCAGGAACAGAGATGCAAGGTTATATCGTAGCCTGTTTTATTTTCTTGTACATTTCTTGAGTTTATTATTGATAAGCCGCCTGAGTAAAAGACGCGGTGAATGGGCATTTATGTAGGTAGTAGCCAACAACTGGGACCTTAGTACATCTTGAAACAGGTCGGCGCTGAAGAGACATGGTCCTTGGCATAAACCACATTTTGGTTTGGTGGGATGATGAAAACTAGAGTTCATATTTTGATCATTCCATTCTTCGTAAGTTATTTGATTGACATCACCAAAAGTTACATTCTTCTTTCCCTTCTTCGTTTTCTCCATCTGCGCTCCATCAAAACGTACATTATTATCCTCCGCTTCATCATTTTTTTTCATCTTCTTCTCTTTCTTCCCCTTTTCCGTCTCCTTCATTAAATTTTGGATCAATGGCTTTTCTCCATCGTGAAAGATAAGATTTTCGAGGAAAGAGGATCTTCTCGTCTTTTGATTCTCGGGTCTGAACAATAAAGTATTATAAATAGAAGCCCTTCGTGTTTCTTTAGGAATTTTCTTAGGAATTTCTTTAGTAACCTTTTCAACCTCTTCATCTAAGTATGAATCTTCAAATATCGAATGTTTCCGGACATTTTCGAGTTTGTTTTCAATGGCATCTTCGATTACCTTTTCTTTCAGTTGATTTAGACTATCATCAGATTCATCAGCAAATAGTGAAAGTCGCCTTTCCGAGTTCATATTCTGATGATGTAGAGTGGAGAAATATTGAGAGTCTTCGGGATCTGATGTGTCGTGAAGATCCCGCGGAACTTCCATTGAACTCTCAGTGTTAACTTCACTGTTCGATTTCAAATCCGTGGAGGTTTCTTGATTCTCTTGGACTTTTGGAACTTCACTTCGACCCGTTTCTTGTTGGTTTTTGGGGATCCTTTCAATTCCCGTCTCCGGAGGTGTAGATTGACCGTTATGCTCCAAAATCTCTTGCAAGTTTGTTGGTTGATCTTTGTTGATTTCTTTAACGTCTTTTTTTTTTGCATTTGCTTTCTTTCTTCTGAAAAAGGTTTTAGGTGCAGGGATGGCGCGATTTTGATGGTCAAATGACCCACTTGTTTGAACAGTTAATTGTTGTGGACTATTGTGATCATTCTTAGTTCGTTTACTTTTTTTTGGTTTCTTCTGTTTACCCGACTTGTATTTGTGTTTCTTTGCAGGTAAACTATCTCGATGTTCAAACACTTTCGGTTTCTCAGCCTTATTTTGACTCTCTTGATTGCCACGTTGTCTCATGTTGTCATAATGACTCATTGTCTCATCATGCAGAATTTCTAACGCTTCAATCAAAATTTGATCACAAAATTGCCCAGCCATACGTCTTTGTTGTGCTAATACATCTTCTTTATTTAAACTTTCTGTCGTTTCTACCTTGGATGACGTGTGTTTTGCACCGATTTTGTGATTTTGTTCCGATTTGTGCTTTTTAGGTTTAATGTGAGATGTAGAACTTTTTACTCCGGTGGATTTCCCATGCTTCTTGACTACCTGCCCTTTTGGAATTTCATAGTCATGATAACCCAGGAACCGGTCCATATCAGGATTTATATCCCTAGCATGTTGAATGAAAAGATCCAGGAGTGGAAATCGTACGTTATTCTCGGTTGTTTGCTGCCTTATATGTTTTAAGTAACGGTCTTTAATAAATATTATATTTGTCATTTTATACAGTGACCTGAAAGTACATCAAAACATATCTAAGCGAATTTGACACAAAAGTATCATTTCAGAGGTGTATTTTACCAAAAATAACTTTATGATCACCAAACCAATAATGTTCATGATCAGATCCAGAAATCGAACCCGAAGATGAAAAAAATACCAAATAAATAACCATTAGTTGTTCCCAATCACAATCATGTTACCCCGAGTGGTATTCCAGAAGGATGAACCCAAATCGCTCTTTTGTCATACGGTACTCTCGCCATGCACTTATTGCTGTCTAACATGATCTGTTCGTATGTGCTAAGAGAAAAACCCTCAAAAAGCTACTCTTCAACTTACATCAAGTCTTTTGGTGCGTTCAGTTTTAAGGTGATCCAAAATCTAATTAAACCAAACACCTCCGGTGACGTCAAACCAATGATAACAGCTTCACAAGTTTGAAGAAATCCTGCTTCAAAACAACATTTGGCCACCTAAATTAACAAAACACTATACATGTATTTCAGCAATTGTAGGGCGTTGTGCACCAGGAACTCCAACGATGGATCGAAACCAAGTCCAAATACTGATTAAAGATCCTATATACGAACCAATCAAGAAATTCGTTAGCACATTAAAAATGCTTTCACAACGTCATTAATGTTTGTGGTCGCAACTCACCTTGATGTAGAAGATCAGTAACTGATTCTTAGCGAGAAGTTTGGTCTCATCTAGTATGTCATCTTTGATGATTTCAGTCAGCAATCGAAAATGCTCTAACAACATCAATATGCTTGATGGTATCTGAAAATGAACACTTTCATATTTATACCATGATTCTGAAGTCTGTGAAGACTCCGAAATAACTCCATTAGCCGTTTTAATTGTGTTCCAATAAGTAAAATTATTTACCTTTTTCGACTGAAGTTGAGTGATGTCCATGTGAGTAATTTTTACTATTAATTCTGAAGTCATCAACATAATCTCCTTTGAAACTTCGAACGGTGAAAAACTTGTTATGCTTGACGGTCTGAAATAAGTCAGTAAGGATCGATATCATGATTCATAAATAATATTATTTCTTGTTTTCACAGTAATCTCATAAAATGCGCATACCCCTTTCGCTTCTTGATGGATATCTGGAATCTATGCATCATCAATGACAAATACTGTGGTAACGTATCTCTGTCCGATATTCTATGTATTGATGAAAATATTTTAATTTTGGATGACTTACTTTGATTTACTGTCGCATTTTTCAAACAATACATCGCTTACAACCTGACTTAAAGTTGGTAGTCCTGCTACTTTAGTTTTTAATAACTTGGATCTCAATAACGACCATTTCTTTGGTGACAAATGAAGAGTTTCGTCAGTTACAGGTGGTCCTAGAAAAGTACCACCAAAGCATGTAATGATGTTTATCAGCACAAACAAAAATTTTAAGATAGACATCATCCCGAGATATTTCCTTATACTTCATACGAATCCTTGGCAATTCAAAGGGCAATCTAATTAAAATAAGATTCCAATTTCGTTTCGTTATTCTTTTTGGTCAGTCTCCATTGGAGAAATTGTGATCTAATTTCAATCAGTTTGGTAAAAGGACATATCCGTTGATCAGACTTGGGCTACGAAATGAGCCCTTGTCGCCAAAAAACAAGAGAAATCAATGCCAGATAACTTCTTGATTCCTTGCATATTTTATTGAAATTTTGTTCACATGCAGCCAGCCTTGTTGTTGAATGATCGATAAGAGCAGGTCTATTTTCCAAATTACCAATAGGAAACGGCACTATTTGTTTATGATACTGGTTTTACTGTCAATATAATAAAAAGACTATATCATACTTCCGTTTGTTAAAAACAAAAAAGCGAAAATGAAAATTCATGTTCGAACAGTGTCAGCATGTTTTACCTGATTTTTCTTCCGCTTTAAAACCAGCGATTACATCTGTTATACTTGATTCTGACTCTACACTTCCTTCATATGTTTTACCAGATTCTGATCTAGAACATAAAGCAGAGATATAGAATAAGGACTGATGCTATACCAAAGAACCCTGAAAGCTGTCCTTATTAACCCAGAGCCCAATTATAAAACCGATCTGACAAAATTCTTTGGACATATATAGGAACAATTCTCCTTCTGGACTACCCTTTGGTCCACACATCACCAGTCGCAGTCACTCCAGCCGTTGAATGTGGATTCAAATTACTACCCCATCCTCCCTAACATAATGTTTGAAGTCAATATTTTAAGTGAGAGTTGTTATATTTCTCCCTACAAGACTCTTGTCTTTGTCACCATTGCTCAAGATGACCGACTGAGTGTTCAAGAGCTAAAAAATCTAACTAACCTCTGATGTTCTCGGTATTGGTATCTCAATATCTGAAAGTTTATGAAAATGCAATTAATTATTTTAAGCACACTAAGCTCACTTTATGGCGGCTCATTTCTAAAATGGGTTTGTCTGCAATGTACCATCTTCAGATTAACCCATACAGAAACTTAATGACAATTAACTCACCTGTGCATAAATCCGTAAGATTTCTACAGGAAGGTTACTATTCGGATAATATTCTAAAAATTCATAAATAGCCCGATCTTTTTCCCCGTGGCAAAATTGATACACGAGGCTGAATAAACTGAACTTGCGGACATTTTGAGAGATCAGACAACCTTCACGAATGGTAGAGCTTGAATTTGATTTTGTCGGTTGAATTTGGTTGGTTGATGATTCCATTAACTTATCATTAACTGTCGACGTTTCCTCGATACCATACTTTGATTTGACAGAGGCTAACTCTTCTTTTAAATTCTTGTAACATGTTAAAGGGTGTTCGTTTTGTCTACTGGTTCTGATTTCAATCGTTTGGCAAGCGACTGATTCAACACTATAGAAGGGGAAAGGTCGCTTTATGAACTTAAAATGATGTTTATCACTGTATAGATTTTCTAAAATATGCCACATTTTATATCCAAAAGAACATGGATCATCTTGTTTACTGATGAACTCTACCCAGTCAGCCCAAGGAGAATCTGAACCATCTGGTATATTACATTGTTCAAAATATTGTACTTCGCCGACGCATGAACATATCGCAAACTTTCTGGAACGATCGTCTACAACGTAAAACCGAACTCTCTCCAATGGAACACTACTGTGAAGACGCAAACCATCTAGTTCCAGATCAATATTTGGATTGAGGTTAGCCTTATGGAAGTCACAAACTTCCTGGATCGCAATCAGAAGTTCGCTTTCTGTCATTCCAACATGAACGTGACGAACAACCTGTCCATTGTGATCCAGTTGGAAACAAGGTGATTCCAAAATGACATCTTTTATTCCTTGGAAACCTTCAACAGTTAACAGTTTCTGTAAACGATTCATCCTGAACACAGATCCATCTTGCAGTTATCATTATACAATGAAAAAGACGCAATAAGAGAATGACGTCATTCTGAAACCATTACCCGATATAGAAGACAATAATATAACCCTAGGAGTATATACTCCAAGATATACCGATAGTAACTCGATAGAAATTATATGGCTCTATATAATTTATTGTAGCTTTTTTTTTTAAGTACTTCATGCAGAAAATCTTACCCACCCACAGTCGACAACAACTGACAAAATATCTATCAGAGGCTGGAATAGAGGAATATGTTTTCGACTATAGTTATACTTGACCACATTCCATAAACCAGCTGATCCGAATGTTAACGTCCGGATATTTACGCTCTTGGGGGATGCACCCCATTCCTTTTGGTAGTGAATTAAACCCATTCTTTACATTGTTAGGCCTGCATCGCACATAATCGGTCATCGAACCTATTACAAGCAATATTGCGTCGACAATTTCGTATAGGAGAGGCTAATGTTTTAAAAATTAGCCAAACATGTTTGAAATCTATATTGAATTAAGATATTTCAAACGAATGACGTTTTGTTTTCTTGAACAGGGTCTGTCTACACAAAAGAATATATTGACATTGATAAAACACACTAAAACTTTTCAATTCAATGTATTGAGGTGACCATGTTTTACTATATAGTTTCTATAAACCCCATTTCGTTGGTAGAAAAGTGTAATGCTACTTTTTCGAAGTGAACCATGACCTTTTTTTCTTTTTGTTCTTGGTAGTATCTGACTGTACTTCGGGTTGTTCATCTTGATCTGTCTTATTTTCTTTTTTAGGATTTCTCATAGTTTCTGTAGCTGAAATATTTTGAATTGATGATATATTTCACGTTTCAAGATATAGCTTTAATTTAAATTCTTTGAAAGAGCTCACCTGTTTTGGATACAAATTCCATTTCTATAACAAGAAGTTTATAAATAGATGTTTTATCTGTCGTTAAATGTGATTTCAACCACGAGTGTTCAGTTGGATGTCCGACAGACATCTGACGTTCTATCGGCTAAATGCGAAACTTCGCGCCTGACCTGTTAGTAATTTTCATGTTTCGTATATCGGCTCGTGGAGTGATTTGATGAATTAGAAAAAAAAAACCTTATACAAATTTTCATCTTATTTCTTTATTCCATTTAATACGATTATTACAATACCAGTTTAGTTATGATCAATACAATTTGGATCATGTAACCACGAAAGCCTAGGGAATCAGTGCATTCAGTGATTGGCAGGGGTTTTCAGTGATCTGTATAATACTTTACCTTTTCCTGGCTCATCTGATGAGGAATCTGAATCATATTGGACTTTTACTTCCTCCGCTTCTAGATCACCTGCATCAACTCTTAAAGACTTCCTTCTAATATACCCATATGGATCATCCGTTACATAACCTAACCTGTTATTCCACTTATTCCACACTTTCTTACTGATCACAGAATCTGATGTACAGAATTCAAAATGACGAGCTCTACACTGTCGTGGGGTTATCTGTTGGAAAAATGTGTTTGATTCTTGAATTAATAATACCGTTGGGCCGACTTTTGAAAACGTCGACATAATAATGAATTTTCAAAAACAGAATCGCGAAAAAGATACCAGAGAAGCTTTATGATATAAATTCTGAAATACTGTTATATAGGCGCATGGTGAAAATTCAGACAAATTAGGGGTACCAGATTTTGCAGTATCAAGATGTGATATTAATAATTGTTTTACTAAAAACTTTTCTTACTTTTAAGATATTTTCATCTGGAATGTGTGAAATATTTAAATCATCTAGTGGTGCTAACCATTTAATTTCTAAACCCTCTGTAGATAAATCTCTATCACCATCATAGACTAACTCAGGATCATCATGATAGTTGATAACAGAATATCGACCTGTACATACAAAAATATAAAGGATGTACACGGTGTCATAATGAATGGAGAAACTGCATGGGTAAGGGATATAGAGGTCCTCCTTTCAGCTTTCAGAGTAGCCATAAAAGTCCAATTTCTAACCCATTTTGGTAGTTTTGAGCATTTTGAAAGGCTTCTGATAGATGCAGGCTTTTCCTGTTTTAGCCCCGCAAACATGCACAACCTAAAGGTTGTGGTCTATATATCTGCTTAGATAGAGATTGGTTATCTGTATCACTTTCAAGATGCAATTCACAAGTCTGCAATCATAGAAAAACGACGGTCGTTGATGGACAAACTTGAGCGCTATCAACAGGAAAAGTAGTTTAAATACTACTTAAACTTTTTAAAAGTAACTATCGATGTTAGAGCTTCCTTACCCAATATCAGTCTATCTGGTGTTAAACCTAAGCTTACTATCTGTAAACCATCACCTCTCTTGTCTAATTCCACAAAAACTGACTCAACCAGCACGATATCTTCTATATCTTCATATTCTCGTGTTAATAATAACTTCTGGATTGGACCTTTCTCCATTCCCACCATAACCTTCTATCATGGTCACAGTGTTAAGTGCAAACAAGAGACTGACGTCACAGATCAGAGAGAGATACCATTATTTTGTGAACTGTTAAAATCGGAATAAAGCCAATCTAAAACTTTAAAAAAGCGGATAAAGTGTTTCAATGGTTACTTTTAACAACAGCATTCCTACGTCAGCATCAGACAGATTTAAAAATGAAACTGTGTCGTTGGCAAGGTTTCAATAAAAGTTTGACTATTTGTTGTCAGTTCCAGAGCTGTAGGCAACAAAAAATCAAAATGAATGTCAATTGTTTCATTACTGATTGATAATACGTCGCGGCCATCGAATTGTTGGAACTTATCTGTGACAGAAGTCAAAGGAAAACGTATTGAATACTTAAAGGGACAAATGCATTAGTCTCAGAAAAGGGTTTTTTTAAGCTTACCCAATCAGTAGTGTTCACAGCTCACCGTCGAAATTTGAGCTCTCAAAACCATGTGTGTCCAGAATTATCCGCGTTTGAAAGTTAAAATGACGAGTTGTCTTTTCTTTTCTTGTCTTTCACTGCCTTAAATAGAAAAGACACCTATAGAAATAGAAAAAGAAATTTCTAGTTATAGATATTTTTGAAGGAATTATGCGATTTTCATACATTTCTAGTACTTCTGAAGACTACTTACACATATTCAAGACTCAAATCAATTCTCAAAGTGGCGTATCTGTCCCTTTAAGGTTAAGATTCGCAATTTATTTTCTTATTGTATCTTGAATAAGCAGATCGGGTATTTTTTGTTCATCAAAGACAGCCGTTTGTAATGTAAGGTAACGAGTGTGTATAAACAAGTTTATATAACACATATTGTGCTCACAGGCACGTGTGTCAGATATATTATTGAAACGTGACTTCAAAAGCAATGCAACCACCGAAAGCCTGTCCTGTAGGCCTATGTATTTGAAGAAAATGCTCAAAATAATTCTGTATATTAGGAAATTAATGTCTTGCTCAGTTCATTACTTACGTTATAATTTTTATTTTTTTTTAAATCACGGAAGTATCATCGAACACTTCAAGTAAATATATAGGTATTTCATTGACCTTCACATTTGACCTTTATAATTAATACTAGGTCATATGAAAATGTTCTATGCCTGTCACAAAGACCCAAAGCTGACACACATTATGCCACTTACAAAACTTGTAAAACAAATTTGGCTTTCTATCCAAATTTTGAGTTAAATGAAGCTGGAAGAAGGTAGACGGATTTTTGTTTCCAGGCTACATATCTTTGACTTTTATCGCTTTGACCCTTTACTAAGGTCGTAGTCGGTGACTATTGCCTTTCTCCCAAACCAAACTAAATGATCGCAATTTTAGAGACTGTGATGGGTTCACGGCCTTACCCATGAGAAGCGAAACCCCATGACGTCACTCTGTTCTGACAGAATAGCAAGCGTGGTTGTCCTTAAACCAAGAGCATTGACGTCCTGTAGTGAGTTTTGGGCAGTTGCTGATGACGCTTATACAATCTTAACGGCTCTCGTTTGAATGCATTGAGATAGTCAACTCTCAACGAAATTTTCAGATACCTAACTTTTTTTAAAGCACGTATCACATTTTATAATTTTGATATGGTTTTAGTGAATGATACAAATAATGAAGTCTATCCAATTGAAATTCTTTGTTGCTATTTGGAAAAAGTAAATAAACCTGACAAAAGAGACCAGCACATTTATGATCTATTTATTGAAATACCGAAATTGATCGGGTGTAGTACGGGCCTTCAACGATCATGATCAACATGATTTGACAAATAGGATTCATTTCATATTCATGTTCCATAATCATTACAAAACCGAACTATTGATAAGTGTACTAAGGGACTATTCAATTGATAACTGTACACATAACGTGTTACAATAATAAAAAATAGTCATTCTCAATAAAATATTTTGAATAGCTTTTGTCCAATTGTAGGGTAATGGGTCGACCATGTTCTAGTTTGGAAAGAGAACAAGAACTGGCATGGTCGTGTGTTCATATTGGTACTTAAAATGGAATAGTTAACTTATGTTGATTAATTTGATGTAAAATATGAACGATTTGGTTGCGTTATAAGGTATTTATTTGTTATTCAAAATATTACAGGTAAAGTAATATTGAGTAAAGAAATCTCGAAGTGACTTAATATCTTAGCTTGCGATGACAATGTTATTTGTATTCGACCTCTATACATTATTGAATAACTGATATTCAGAGGTCTTTAGAAGAAAAGAAAATACGTGTTTGTTATTTCACAAAATCTGTTTATTGATTAAGTGGATAATTTGAATTTCTGACATTGTTAAATTGATACATTGATGCAGAAAAAAGGGTATCATGAAAGTAGATTGATTGATTACCTGATGTTGAGGTTTATCAAATTGTGACATAAAACATCGTTAATATTCTGAATAATTTTAACAGTTTGCCCAATGAAAACAAACAATTTGTCTCCTAATTTCTTCACTTTTTGCACTTCCCAAGGACGTTTCATGAGTGATTTTTTTTGCACTTTCCATCTGGGACAGCAACTTTCTGTAAAAAAAACTAGTTTACATCGTGTAATTTGCATTAGGCTATTTCGCAGATTCCAGTATAAAGTTTTAGATTGGAAATATCATTCAGACATCAAAATGGTTAGTAATGAGACAGTCCACCATGAGGATCATGTTGGAGGTAACAGTCCATCTGTTCTGTTCTTCATCTTCTGTTGTTTTGGATTTGGTGGTAAGTATATAAAATATATATCTAGATATATACAATACTATCCTGGTTCCAATCCAAACCAAACCAGAATAGAAGCTCAAAATTAAAAAAGAAATGTGACAAAAAAGAGCTCTTGTCTAGTTTAGTTATCCAAGCTATATCTTTATTGGCTCTGTATGAGCATCAACGACTTTTACTGAGCCTGACTCGAAACAACCAAAATAAATGGTTTGTAATTAATATGTAGACTCTTGGCACCTTGGCAAAAACCGTTAAGCAAATACATGAAATAATTCAACTCAATTTGAGTGTTCAATTAATTATTCTAATTACCATAAATGATCAAAAGTGTAGGATTCGATGCATTGGTTCTTTGTAGACAATGGTATATATTTGAAATGAATGAAGTTGACGCTTGCGATTGACTCTGTTGTCAAAGCAGGGTTTGCTTTCGAATGTTTTCTGTTCGAACATACTTTTCAGCATTGATGCGGCAGGCTATGAAATTTATACCAGTTCGATTAGCATATACTGTAGTATTGTTGCTGATTGGAGTGATATTTGGTCTGATATCTAATCAGGTACCAGAACTTGATATCTATACCACAATGGTAGATGCTGACCCACATCTCATCATGCATGTTTTCTTACCAGTTCTTATCTTTGAATCAGCCTTCGCTCTGGATTATCATACTTTCAAAAAGACTTCGGCACAAGTTTTGCTACTGGCCGTACCTGGATTAGGTATGTAGGAAGATATTTTTGTTATTAAACAAGACTAAACCGATACACAAAAGACAAAATGAACATTTATGCACTATATCCATACACTTAGGTATATTAGCCAGTTATTCAACATGTCTCAATCGAAGTATCTGGTGAGGATTGAGCATCAGTAAGCGTATCGGACGAGCTGAGTTGTGCTAGATAGGGTTGGATGGAATGATCACAGTGCACGGATATATAATTTGATTAACTTCCCTTTCAGCTCTATCATCTCTACTAACCTGTATAATGGCTCAGTATCTATTTGATTATAATTGGGGTTGGAATATTGGTATGTTATTTGGATCGTTAATGAGTGCTACAGATCCAGTAGCTGTTGTGGCTATATTGAGAGAAGTGGGTAAGTTCATGCCCTACTGTCGATAGTTCTATTGAAATTGAGATCAAATTTTAGACATCCCATGAAGTTATTTCCGATGATGTCATGATAATTGTATCTGCAATTGTAAAAGTCCTGTTTACATAGGCTATTTCCTGGTACATTTTTACAAGATCATGGATAACAAAGACGTCAGAAAAGGGATTCAGATAGCTGAAACTGTTCTCTAGACTAGTTTCTGGCGTCGCTTTGGGTAAGATTTTGGTTAATGGAATTGTTTTGCTTGTACGGATTTTTATCAGCACGTTTCATGATATTTATTCCAGGAGCATCCAAGAAGTTATCCATAGTTATTGAGGGAGAATCTTTATTGAATGATGGTGCTGCCATCGTATTGTTCAATATTTTTCTGATTCTATCAACAACCACTGCAGGCCTTTCTGGTAGGTAACCTTCTAGGTTTCTTCTTCGGATTAGATGAAAATTACCGTTATTCAACTAAAAACGTTTGGAATAGAATGATTGTTTCATTTTAGCGATATTCGTAAAGAATAAGAAAGATAGTTTTCAATAGCAACACACGTTATTCAGGGGAATTAACTAGCACAATGGCTGTACCGATTTTTATTGGGCATTTCAAGCAATGAAATTGCTTCCAGTCCTTGCTTGTTCTTCAAAGTCTTCATTAAATACAATTTAGGTGGTGAGATCGTAGTGTACTTTCTACGAGTAGCTATTGGTGGTCCAGCCTTTGGTTTACTGATGGCGATTTTTGCTATATTCTGTTTATCACAAGTATTCAATGATGTCTACGTTGAGTTGACTGTAACTTTAGTTGCAACATATGCCACCTTCTACATTGGTAAAGTATACAATTTTTGTTTGTTAAATGGATACAATATTTTCCTCTTTGTTCCCTGATATGACTGACCTTAGTTTCTGCTACCCATTCACACTTTCGGCTGAAAAAAAGAATAACCGTTGCTCTTAATCTATTATACCAAAGCCAATGATATTTCAATTCTAAGCTTGTTTACTTTATTTAGTTAGGCCCATATATCCAGTGATTTTCGGACAATGGCATTTCTGTTACCTATTAAAGAATTCAAAATTGAACGCAGATTGCTCCTGAGCATGTACGGAAGAAATTTCCATTACAGGTGAAGCTTTGTTGGGAGTATCTGGTGTTCTAGCGGTTGTAGTTTTAGGTATAGCTATGAGTAGTATGAGAACAAGTATCAGTCCAGAAGTAGAGGATTTCATTCACAGGTTTGTGTTTAATTTATATAGTTATTTGATAAACACAAGAATAACATGGTTTAAAGGGCCATTTTGTGGAGGTTGATTTTAGTCTTGAATATGTGTAAATAACCTTCAGAAGCTCTATATTTCTGCTTTTGGAGATCAGTATCCTTAATTACAATAATCATACGTGGTGATATTTACTTTGACATTTGACAATAATTTTCAGATTTTGGGAGGCATTAGCGTACTTTGCCAACACACTGATCTTTATTCTTGTTGGTGTCGTCATTTCTAAGAAAGCTATTCAGTTGATATTTGGTATGGATTGGTTTTATATGATAGCATTGTATCTTGGACTGAATGTTATACGGTAGGTATCATTCTGCTGCTTTCACGGCATAGGTCTACACCTACACTGCAAAGAGTTTGCCTTTGGACCGAAAATACAATGGCAAAGTGAGAGGATATAATTGCCTGCAGGAGGAGGGGCAGGGGGCATAAGATTTTTTCCATGGCACTTATTTGCCGATTATAAAGGGTACTAGCTATTGTGGGTGGTAATGTGCCATGACACAATATAGCGTCCTCCTAATTACCAGTTAGTGGCGGAGCCTTAAAGGGGTATGGCGTGGTGGCAGCCGAAAAATATAGAAGCAATTATTCTTTTTTTACTTAATCTCAAATTTTGATTTCAGTGGAACAGTTGTGTTGTTATTAAGTCCCATTTTAAGAAGATTAGGTTATGGTATGACATGGCAAGAAGGATTAGTGCTAACATGGGGTGGATTACGAGGTGCTGTGGGTTTAGCTCTTGGTCTTCTCGTTATGGAAGATGAAGGTCTGGATCTTCAAAAAGTCAGAGTCAAAGTAAGTCTACTGTTTTCCTGTCTAGATAACGAGATCTCATATGGATATTCGGCTGTTAACTTATCTGGGTGTTGTAAATGAGAGTATGAGAACAAATATTGGATTAATACTCTCCACTATGGTTTTTATAGCGAACTTTTAGAACAATAGTATTGCAAATCTCCTTCTAGCACCTTAGCTGATTTGGTCAGGCATAAATGTGTCTGATTGCATCTCATGATTTTGACCTATGTAGTAGTGGCGTGAGTCTCGCGAGAAGCAGACTTTGCTTACTCTTACACCTGATAGTACTTCTCTTTGAAGTTCATTATAATACAAATTTTACTTTTTGGACGAGATTGTGATTAACGAAATTTTGCTTGTACGGATCAGAGAAGCTGAGAATTCCAAAACAATGATCGTTGTTATTTTTATATACAGGTAGTCTGTATCATTGGATTCATAATCTTCCAACCCTTTTCAGGTTTTGATTCATATATCTGGTATTGTGTTTTTAACTCTTTTGATTAATGCTACTACCATTCCTTATTTACTGAAAACCCTAGGTAAGTATACATCTCAAACAAGCACATGTGTATAGGGGGTGACATGGCAAAGGCGTCTAGGGTTTAGCATGCCACGGACTGTGCACGTTTAAAATCCAAAGATAGTCGGAAATTGAAAAAGAGTCCCAAAATTTCACCCCTTTCATAGAATTACCTGCCACAATTTGCCTAATCAGATACAAGAATGATGTAAAACTTCATTTCATTTCATTGTATTTCAGGAATGAATGATATAACTACTGCTAAACGAATGGCTATGGCTAGTGCTATTCGGCATCTGGAAGAACTTCGTTATAAGACTTTAAATATGTTGAAAACTGACAGGTAGGTGAATTTTTCTTTTTTTTTAAATTTTTTCAAATAAAGTTGCTTGTGATATAATATGTTGCTTGAAAACGGTCTAAATTTTCAATGCTATTTTTTTTTATCATTGTAGGTTTTTAGCTGATTCAGATTGGGAACTAGTGGAGAAATCCTGTGGTATCGATCCTCCATATAAAACTTCTAAAGAAGAGGTCAGTTTCGATTATTATCATATGATTCACGTATTTGTTACTTATGTTGATCAGTTGTGTTACCAGTTATGTTGGCTCAAAGAAATACAGAAAGGTGGAACGCATGCCCGGACTTTCATAAACACTTAAGAACTTTGTCTACATGAATCCACTTTTTGTGTCAATCTTGTTGAAAACAGTAGTTACAATTCATTTTATGAATCGCATGTTAATATCCAGGCCGAGTTAGAACAATCCATGAAGATCAGACCAAAATCTATTTGTCCAGACTGTAATGCCCAGTTACCACTACAACCAACGCCTAAAGAATTAAGAGACATGACAAACGAAGCTATATTACGTTATCTTAAAGCTGAAAAGGTATGTGGCTAATGCTATTTGTGATTGAAAGTCTTTAAAGGAATACTCCCTCTTTTTTATACCACTACTTAAAGCGTTTATCAATTATTAATTGGTTTTGTAGATTAATCAATTACACAGGGAATCTATTATGACGCCAGGTAAGTCCAATGATGAATATATACTCTAATTGCCATGCTGAGAATTTAAATTGTATGTTCATTCTTAAAGGTAGTACTCCTTTAATAATTTCTCATAATGATAATTTAGTTAAGCTATTGGAGACAGTTTGAACAAGGAATGGTATCTCAAGAAGCTGTAAGAAAGTTACAAGGTTATACAGAGGTAGCTTCAGACAAATCAGGACAGTAAGTTTAGAAATTTCTTACAATAGCCGTCTTAAATTAAATGAAAACTAACTAAAATCAAGACCTATCCCTCAAACTAGAGCCACTAGTAATCGTTCCTATCAATTTCCGAAAGAAGGTTTGTTCCAGCCTTTTGAGAGGTACCACTTGAAAGTAAAATAAAATTCAGACTTTGCACCAAAGATTTATATAAAATGTGAACTCGCTTTTTGTTCTTCAGGTTTGTTGACCTAGATGAAATCAAATCATCATGGGAGGTGCCAAAAAGTTTAATAAAGCTGGTAAGTTGGATCACGATGACAGAAATGATAATACATGTGATTGGTTGGTTGGTGCTGATAAAGATTAGAATGTTGTCTCATTTACACCTACTGCACTATTAATTAGATTTAAATGTCTAAGAAAGCAAAACATATTTCTTGTGGTACTCTTGATAGTCAGCAACTCAAATTTATTTTTCTTTCAGAGAAAAGTAATCGTACGCATAATAGAAAACAAACCAGTCTGTTCGGCATGTGGGGGATGTTTACAGGGATTCTTCAAAATAGTGACGTCCAAAGTGGTGTCATATATAATATTTGTTATCATTGCTATGGATATGGTGAACTGGATTCTATCTTTAATCAGTGAACGTTACAATATGTGGTATGACAACAGAATAATCTTCCGATCCATCAACGCAGCTTTTGTTGGAATTTACATCGTAGAGTTTATTTGCAAGGTAAGTTTTTTCAACTTAAAACCTAACCCATTTGTTCATCCAATCAGCATTTGCTAAATTTTCTATCAAATGAAATTAAATTCATAAAAATTTCTCGGTCATGTGACGTAGACCATTACAGTTATACAGAGTGTTTTTACATTGTAGGTCATTACAAGTCATACAAAGTGTTTTACAAAGTGTTTTTTACATTGTAGGTCATTACAAGTCATACAAAGTGTTTTACAAAGTGTTTTTACATTGTGGGTCATTACCAGTCATACAAAGTGTTTTACAAAGTGTTTTTTACATTGTAGGTCATTACAAGTCATACAAAGTGTTTTACAAAGTGTTTTTTACATTGTAGGTCATTACAATTTATACAAAGTGTTTTTACATCTTAGGTTACACAATTTATACAAAGTGTTTTCACATTTTAGGTTATTTCAAGTTATACAAATTGGATTTTGTTTTATTGTAGGTTATCAAAGTTAAACCAATGTTTTTGTTTTACATTTTAGGTTATTACAAGTTATAAAAATGTGTTTTTTTGACATTTTAGGTTATTACTCAATCAGCTGGTTATTTTAAAGTAATCTGGCAAGTGTTATGTTTTGTTATTGTTATCCATGGAATATCTGATGTGGCTGTAGAATTTAGTCTTCCACCATCTTCGACCTATACACAAGAAGTTGTTTTGGTTTTCATCGTTTTCAGATTTATACGTGTTTTAAGGTTTTTTGAAGTAAGTTGGTATTGAATATTATGGTATTATAAAAGTAATCATTGCAAGTAAAATTCGAAATCCAAAGCAGACTCTTATAGACAGTTACCAAACGATCTTATTACCAACATGTAGCTGTCCGGTCTTTTAACCAAACTCATGTTCTGAGGCTGGCGCATAATATACCTATTTAACGAAAATTCAGCTCATTTAGCAAAAACTTATTTATTTTTTAGTTGATCTTTCCTCTGCTACTGAAATTTGTGGACTATCAGATGACAGCTAGTATTAGTAATGGTTATGACGTTGGAAGAGGATTTGTGGCTGGTGAAGAAGAAGTTCGGAAGCTAATCGACAGGATGGTTGATAATACAGATTGTGCTACCTACCTAAAGCAAAACTGCGATACTGGAAAATTAGACGTTATTCGTTGTCTTGGTAAATATAGAAGATCTTAATTATATTGTCCCTGGCTATCCCTGAAGTGTAAAGTCGTTCGGATATAAAATATACCGTGTGTTCTAGACTTTGCTAGTTAAAGATTCGTCGATTTTTGGGAAATAGAAAATGAGTAAGCTTATGCCGCTGTTTCGGCAAAATTTCTCTCGTTGCAGATTGTATGACGTTGACCATCGCCATTAGCCCAAAATGTTACAGAAAAGTAGGACTTACAACTCTATTGAAAATTGCAATCGGCACTTGATTTTGCAGCTTTAACCCAAACCCACTAGAGTCATTTGGCTCTCGGAATGTACCGATATGCTTTCATCAATGCGACACTATGAATAGTTGAACTTGTCTCCAAAACTTAAGGAGTATAAAATATTTTGAGAACATCAAGGAGGATGTGTATATTATGCTTATCAATTATTATTATTTATACAGGTATTCTGCAGAAAGAAAATCCACAGATAGCATTATCAGTGAAAACAAGACAAGCAGCTAGAAGTGTATTAAATAGTTTAAGGGATGGTGTTCAGAAGCTGTTAGAAGATGGTGTTTTACAAGAGTCAGAAACAGAAAAATTAAATCACGTAGGTTATAGATAAATACTTTTAGCATAGATGTCACACTACTGTTTTCAATGTACGAATGTTCAAGATTACAAGTATATGTTTATATAAAAATCAAAATATGTAAAATGAAAAAAAATGGAGGAAAATTTATACCCTTCTAAATCTTTTAAACGTAATTTTACAAACACATGTAATCCAACATTTTTTTTAATTGCAGAAAATCGAAGCTAAAATGAAGAAGTTACTACAGCTACCTACTACTATACCTGTTCCACCACCAGATAGAATGTTAAATAATGTTACATGGCTAGAAGACGATCAAGAAACTATCGACTTTATCAAGGTAAGAACAGTATTCTCTTCATCAAGTTGGTCCGAAGTTAACACCTTGACTTTTGTCTTCCAAAATTACAGTTGATTGATTTGAGTAACATCTGGAACCTTTTAGAGATCATCATCGCTATTGAGATTCTTAGATTCGGTAACAGAGGCCAGCGCTGAATTTAATTTTGTTTATTTCTTGTAGGCAAGATCTCAACTTATAAACTACAACCATGACGAAGCTTTAGTTAAAGAAGGAGATGCATCAGATGGTATTTATATTATAGTATCTGGTCTTGTTAGGGTAAGTTGTACAGTAGTTTATTTGATCCACATGTTTGTAAAGCAGATTATTGCTCAGAAACGGTGCACAATTCCACTGGATGTAACATGATTGGGCTCAAATGAAACTGAAGATCAAGCACATTTTACTTACATTTTGTGGACCTGCCACATAACATAAACAAATCCCAACTGATCAATAGAATTTATATTCTGAACGCGTTTGAATTGCATTAAGAGAACCAAACTTATCTATTGTAGTTTTCAAGAAGTAAAAAGAATAAGAATAATGATAAGACTGAAGATAAAGTGATGGATTTTATGTCAACTGGAAGTATTATAGGTGAAATGGGATTGCTGACACATGGTAACAGAATGGCTAGTGTAGTTTGCGAAACAGCTGTTCAGGTAAACAAACATATAAAGAAGAACTTTCTCACTTTAAAGAAATAAATAAGAATCCTGAGAGTAAATGTCCCAAGATGTACCAAGATATCTTAAACGTAGATACATTTGATTCCGTTACTGCTATGACAACGGTCAAACACATTGGATGTAAAACTGTGTTATTAAAACGTGAGCCAAATAAGCAATATGAGAACAAATCCAGTCGCAGAGTGGTATCGTGTGTTCAGGTATGTTGATCATATCGCCTCACTTGCGACACCCACCATAGTACAAATCTAAGATGCACTGGTATAGTTCAGATGGTCATTGAACCGTTTGGTAAATATATTACCATGTCACAACCTTTGTTTTAAGGCATTATTTATCAGTTCAGCTGATATGGAAGAAGCATTCAGAACATTTGCTGATACTGAACCATCATTAGAGAAAAGATTGTGGAAAGTGTGTGCTTCTCGTTTGGCTGTTGGAGTTCTACTGGAACAGCCTTCATACCAGGTAGGATCTTTTGATCTGTATTTGTCAAGCTATTATAGAAATCCAACTAAACACTGTCATCTATGTGGACTTTCCAAAAGGGGGATTGAATCTCGCAGAGTGGTATGAAGTGTGAAAAATGAAAGGCTTTGCTTTGTCATTCAAGCTATCCGTTTATACCAATATATATTATAAATGTTTCTAATAGTTTCAAACTCTCTGGTGATCAACCAAACGTTGATGTTCCTTAAGAAAGAAGTCGATCTAGCAACGGAAAGATGCCATTCTGCTCAACACGGATTCAGTTAAACATGTTACAGGTTAACAAGGCAGTACATTGTATAAGTTTAAATGATAACTGATTATTGATTCTGTATTTAAGGGATTCACAAGAGAAAAGGTAAAACTAAGATTAGAATCAGCATATGTTGTTCCCGGTGAAGATTTTTCAATCAATTCTAAAATGGCAGACGTGGTACTTATTCATGGTGAGTCCCAATTAACTGACACGTATCTGGTGTCTGGCTATCTTTCAGCGCGTCATCGAAGTCGTCACTATCATTACTGTACTGTGATTCAGCGAGTTTGCCACTATTATTCATAAAAAGGCCCGTTACTTTAATTCAGAGCGGCGTTATCGCTGTTACTGTCAGAACGTTTGGAGCGTTGAGAACACTGTAACTACCATTAAGAGCGTTGACAACACTGTTAATATCGTTCAGATCGACGACAACATTATTACTACCGTTCAGGGCAACGGCAATACTGTTACTATTCAGAGAGTCAAGAGCACTATTAATATCACGCAGAGCGTCGACGGCACTATTACTATCATTCAGAGCAGCGACGACACTATTACTTTCATTCAGAGTGGCGACGACACCATTACTATCATTCAGAGCGACGACGGCACTATTACTATCATTCAGAGCAGCGACGACACTATTACTTTCATTCAGAGCGGTGACGACACTATTACTATCTTTCAGAGCGGCGACGACACTATTACTATCATTCAGAGCGACGACGGCACTATTACTATCATTCAGAGCAGCGACGACACTATTACTTTCATTCAGAGCAGCGACGACACTATTACTATCATTCAGAGCATCGACGGCACTATTACTATCATTCAGAGCGACGACGGTACTATTACTATCATTCAGAGCGGCAACGACACTATTACAATCATTCAGAGCGGTGACGACACTATTACTATCATGCAGAGCGGCGACGACACTATTACTATCATGCAGAGCGGCGACGACACTATTACTATCATTCAGAGCGACGACGGCACTATTACTATCATTCAGAGCATCAACGACACTATTACTATCATTCAGATCGACAAAGACACTGTAACTATCATTCAGAGCGATGACAAAACTTTCAATATCATCAAGGGTGTAGAGAAGTGTCACTAAAGTGTTCATAGATAGGGTATCAGTGAGGTATTGATCTATTACAATTTCATTTGGAAATGTATTTATAGCCAACGTACCTTAACTATATTTGTAGGTCATGCACAGAATGCCTTCACTAAAGAAAACTATCATGGACCATGTTATATTCCTTGGACTTGCCTGAAATTGGAATTCAAGGTTAGTATCGTTGTTGATATTGTTGAAAATATCTGTCACCGTGGACACAAACTTTGTCATTGGCAAAGGTTTAATTAAGAGAATCGTCATCTATTTCGTCAATCGTACCTTATCTCAGAATCTAAGCTATACCGTAATAGTGTTCACAACTATCGTAAATTGAGCCGCGTGTATCCAGAATTTTGCGCGTTTGAAAGTTAAAATAACGACTCGTTTTGTCTTGAGACTCGGCCATGAATAGAAAAGGCATACATAGAAAGTGAAATGAAGGAATTGTGTGATTTCCGCACAATTCTGGTACTTATATTTACGTATATTCAAGACCCAAATCATTTTAACATATAGGCATAAAAGGATATAAGTAACTAGTAATGGACAGAGTCAAAAACCTTCCAAAAATGTGTTCAGGTTAAATCAACACGTGCAATTATTTGTTTTTCAGTTTGATCAAGTATCTAAACCTATAATGTTAGTGATACCAAGTGAAACTGATGATCAATTACATTTAGCACCTACTCACAGGAGACAGTCCTATCATCCGGAATATTTCAATGGATCTAAAAATGAAGAGAAATTGTGTTTAAAACATGCAGCTCAACACAGACAGGATATAGATCCAAAGGTAAGAACCCCGTATCATGTGCACGTTCCAAAAATAGCCACATGCAGACCAACCAAACTTTCCGTTTCTGTTTTTATTAGCTTTTATTTTTAATTTAGTCGTCATAAACGTTCGTCAAATTAACCTCTTGACCTAACCTGATAAACCCATGTTACAAAATGCCAGCGCTGGAGAGAGTAGAAATTTGATTGGTTAATGTAGACGTCGAATATATTCTTTGAAAAGTGATACGAATGAAAGAGTTGAGCTCGACCAGGAAATCAAATAGGCTCTCCATCGAGCATTCTAAAGCCTGTGAGTTCTGATGTATGATTGTATATCACATAATATCACATTTTCAAATTATTACTTTACACTCAGTGTGACATGTTCTCCTTTTCAGAAAAAATCTGTGACATTTAAAAGTAAAAATAAAGTTGGTGTTTTAGAGAATGATGAAGTTATTATGAATGGAAATATTCCAAATAAAAGGTAAATTCCAATGTTTTTGTACTGAATGAATTGGCGTCGTGCTCTAGGCTTACGCCTAATTGTGTCGCTGTTACCTTTTACTTTGCGTTTGGCAGCTCGTTTAAGGATGGGATTCCTTATTTTTTTCGTGTCGACTATTTGATTAATTGATGTTTCTAGTGAATTATCATGTAATCATATCCTTTTGTTCTTATTGCATATAGATAAGTGTTTTAACCAATTATTAATGTCCATGTACAGTCTGGATAAAAATTTTTTAGTTGGCCTTTCTTGATCGGTCACTCATTGAAACTCTACTGGCAATTCTCTTGGAAAGTAGCCAATTATGAATTAATTATGGACATGTGAGACAAACTGGTATTTTTCCAAGTCATTAGAACACCTCTACTTTCTATTTATATAAGTATTAGCATTTTCATTTTCATAAATGAAAATAAGGGAACCCATCTTAAAATTTTGTTTGTATATAGTTGTCCAAGGATATGTTACACATTCGTTAAAAAGTAGCCTTAAAATTGAAGATCATGTGCAACAGATTGGTTGTGTGGAAATCATACAGGTGCATAATATTTGCCTTGCCATATAGAGCTTAACTTCTTCTATCCATTTATCAGAAAAAAGAAACTTGCACCGTCGTTTAATCTGTAGTCACTTTTGACATCACGCCTTGTAAGTGACAGTTTAAATGGTGTGGTGGTAAATTTACCTCATTGCACACTACATTCTTACTTCAATTCATTTAATTTCTTCCAGAACCAATCGAAGTTTAGCAGCAACTACTGTCGTTGAAGATGACGAAAATGTGAACAAACTAGAAAATATTCTGACACCAGAACAAGAAGAGGAAGCAGAAATCAACAAAGCCAACGATTTGGCTAAAGATATTGCAGAATTCAACAGACGTTTAGACCAACGTGCGAAAGAAACGGAAGCTCGTCATGGAAAGTCTTCTGGTGGTAGTCACGTGGTCACTATAGAGAAAGAGCACACAACACAAACGTCTAGTACGCCAAACGCACAAAAGCCACAAAATGCAACAAGCAACAATGGAAAAACCCACACGGCACAGTCTTCGCCCTTCCTGGAAGATAATCACAAGACTCCTCTCGTACCTATAGAATCCAATAAATCACCCGAGACTGGTAGTGCTACTGATGACGCACCTAAGTTTGTTTCTGTAGTTTCCCACAAGCATAGTAACAAAAATAAGAAAAACAAGTAGTTTTATGGAAGATAAATGAAGCATGCGATAACCCTGGGTTTTATTTAATTTAAGGTATAAAATATGATGAATATTATAAACCATGCATGCAATACCAATGATATTGGACAATTCTTCTTCTAATAGTGAAAACAGCTTCTTTAAAACAATTGTCAAGAAGATGAACAAGAGTTTTAAATTGCTAAAAAAAGTTCACATCAGCACTCCAAAAAATGTTATTTTCCTGTTTAGTTAATCTAATACATTTATTTAAATCTTAATAAATTATTCTCAAAATATTGCAATCGTCACTTTACTGAATCTCAAACCCATTCAAGCTAGAGTCCGCCAGTGATAAGAGACCCCAAGGTAGTCCTTTGGTAATCTTGTATCTAATACTGAGGTACTGATTAAAAACTTCTAGATCCTACATTGTGAAGATACCATATCATGAGCCTCAACCAGGCAATGCTTTTTTGGATCGAAACATAGCAAGGCATAGGATTGAGGATTGGTGATAGAAATCTTGTATTCACATTGGGCCGAAATCATTGATCGCAGTCAAAGCTCAAAGCTCAACTAATGGTAGGATAATTTCGACCTAGAGTCAGGCGACAGTTAGAAAAAGCTTTGTAGAATCGCCCCCTTAGTTTACCTAGATTATAGATTATTTCTAAGAAATCTGACTGAGAGTGGCCACATTGCATCTACTACCCACCATATCCTTAAATCAGGTATGATTATAATATATCCCTTTTAAAAATAATGTCATTAAAACGACATCCAATCTAAAGTTAATATTGACGTACATGTATATTGATATGAAAGATAAACTTTTACTAGTTTAAATGTGTGTTCCCACTGATGTCTGGGTGAGAACTTTTTAATAAAGAAATTGTCATAATGTCATTTGCAGAAAAAAAAATTGAATAAACGCATCCCGGTATAATTTGGTACTGCCTCTTTAATATTGATATAGTTCCAATTAGACTAATTTTTAAGATTACCAAGAGGTTTTCTGAACTTATGTGTATCGGGAACAATGACGATTAGCACTGTTCCACAAGCCATCTGAGTTCTTGCAATGTCACTAAACTAAGCGTTTATGAAGTACTATCGTACAGAGATATAAAGTTTTGAAAACTCCTGTTTAAAGAGAGATGTCTGTGCGTATCCATCAAGTTTGACAAATCATCAATGAAAATAAAGAAATTGGCATAAGAAGGTGCATGAGAAGTTTTAGGTCATTACATTCCCATCTTATTTGCTGGAAACTATATGTTAACGCCCATACTTTTTTAACCTCACTTGAAATTATGATATTTTCCATGGGAGTTGGGGGCGTTATCACAGATATTAAATGTTATCTCTGGAAAAATTGAAAACTACTACCATATCATACTAAGTGTACTATATTATGGGGAAACAAAATATTACGTTGTTTCACTGTTAGAGTAGGCCTACGTGTATTCGAATCCAGAGTTAAAGTATGGGAATAATCTTTTAATCGGCAAGTGTTTCAGGTTTCAAACCCTCAATGCTTATGTGGGAGTGCAACGAAAAATTTGTACTGCAAAATGGCCGGCATATTGGACACATTTTGGTTTGGTACAGTCATATTGGGTATCTTAGTACTCTATTGTTTAGGTAAATTGTTTCATTTTATCATCGGATGACAGATTTCATGTCGCAACTTTATTGCTTTTCATTTGACATATGCCTACAGTGGACAATGTTCCTTTAGCTACGTTACAATAATTTTCCACATCTGGCTGGATTACCATTGTACCGTAGCTAAAGGAGCATATTAATTATTCTTTTGGTCGAGTGATACAAACTTATTCCATTAATAGGGGACAGGTTTGGAGTGGAAAATAAGTACACCTGTCACTGTTTTGATGGTGATTGTGATGCTGATACAGGTAGCTGCTCTACCGGAGTATGTGAAATAGGATGGTCTGGTCCGAATTGTCAAAAGGGTACGTCTATAACTTTCTTTTACCAACTACCATCTTTTTCAGTTTTCAAGTAATATGATATAACAGCTCACTAGTGATTCGCCCCACTGTCAAGGCATTTACATTTATAATACTGACATATAGATAGATTAAACAAACCGATCAATTGGATACATGTAAGTTTCTCACTACTACTGAAAAAAGTTTGTCAAATAGTGAATCAGTGACCATCGATTATTTTTCTCTTCACATTCATGTCAAACAAGGAAAACCAAAGTTAAATTCAATGATTTGCCTAGTGTAGTCATGTGCGCACGTTAAAGCTATGTGTACACGGCATATTACTACACTTGAGATCAGTACTACACATAGACCTTAAATATTGACAGGAATTTTACCAATTTCAGAAAACGTAGCTTTGAATAAATCAGCATCACAAAGTTCTTACTTCTTCTTTTACTACCCATCTGAGTATGCTGTTGATGGTAATACTAGTCATTTAAGGTATATTGGTAATGGTTCTGGACAGAGCAAATGTATTTTCACCAACACCGGGGTTGATTTTGCCTGGTGGACGGTTGATTTGAGAGAGGAATATCCCATTCGTGACGTTAAAATATATTACAGAGAAAATTGTAAGTTACCTGTATATAAGATATATCAGCTCTCAAGATGAAAAAACAAAATAGTTTTTTTTCCATTTACAGACAAATCAGACGTCATATTTTCATCTGAAATGTTATACAGATACGGCGATTATACTTTATCTTTTAAATTCCTTCAAATGCGAATGATATGAAGACGGGTGTGAAACTGCGTGATAGTGTATTTTGACTTCGTAACGGTTACATTTTTTTAGAGGTGTTCAAATGTGAAAATTTGAGCCAATAATAGTATTTTGTCTAAAAATGTAACCGGAAAATATACTTAGCATTCACCGAACATTTTTGAAATAACGTTTTCTTTTTGTTTTTACAGATATGTCTCATCTCCGAGGGTTTTCACTGCTTATTGGAAAGGACGACGATCCATCGAATCAAAATGAGTGTTTTCATCATACAAATGAAACGTTGAGTTCAGAATATACAGTCCATTGTCAGGACACGGGAAGGTTTATCAATATTACCAATAGCAGAGAAAATCCACCGTACCCCGAGGATTACTATTATAGAGCTGTTTTAGAACTATGCGAGGTGGAGGTCTATGGTGAGCGAATATTACTGATAATAATTTCAAAACTTGATGGTCGTGTTAGGCCACTGGGCTATCTCACAGCAATCTTATTGCAAAACAGATCTAGATGTACATACGTACATGTTATCAATCTTGTATGTTCAACTATTAATCTTTGAAAACTGTATGAAGTGAATTATGATTTTTAATTAATTGTTTATACTTTTAGTGTGTGCCAATGGTACATTTGGTAAAGATTGTTCTGGTTTATGTTATTGTAAGAATCAGGAACGATGTAATGTAGATACTGGTTTGTGTAGTAATGGTTGTCTACCAAATTGGACTGGAAATAGCTGCAGTACTCGTACGTATTTCAAGTAGTTCATGTGTGTTGAAAGCTGCATATATAAACTTAATTTCGGCCATCCCATGCTACTTTTTGTAATTTAAATTTAACTTCCAGTTCTTCTACAAATTCAACAGATAAGTAGGATACAATACATCGTATGCCGAATACGAGTTTTGACAAGTCTTTTAACCAAGTATGACGAATGGGGGTGTGGATTGTCCACGATGGCTACAATAAACACTGTCATCATTCCCAGTGCGTTATTAATATTATACTTGTCGCAAGCAGTTAATATTAGCGATTTTATGGCGTCATTGATAAAAACGTAATGTATAGGCATAGCTGGAAACTGTATGTATGATTTGGTCCATTCTAGTTTGTGTTGACGGACCCTATGGTGTCGGATGTAGTAAGCATTGTAGTAAGAGGAACTGTAAATATAGTAATTCATCGTGTAATCCAGCGGACGGTTTATGCCAAGGAGGTTGTGCATCAGGTTGGTCTGGTATCGATTGCTCGCAAGGTATGTTAGTATTAACCTTCAAATTGATTGCTATTCATTTTCTTTAGTGCTGACCTTCAAACCTAACTCATTGATTTCAACGTACCTTAGTGTTAACCTCCACACCTTACCCATGGTTCCTAATAAACATAAGTGGTTACCTCCAATCCTGATGGGGAGCCGCGGTGGCTCAGTGAGTTAGACGCTTGCTCGCTAACCTGAAGGTCCAGGGTTCAATCCCGGCATAGGTCGAGATAATACCTTCGGATTTTTCAACCCGGTTTCCCCCTGTCAGTGATGCAGGTAAGAGGGGCTGACATGGAAAAAGCGTCTAGTCGTTCGGATGTGCTAACAATAAACCGAGGCCTCGTGTGCTACAGGCTGTGCACGTTAAAGATCCTTCGACAGTTGGAAATCGAAAAAGAGCAGGCTAATGCCGCTGTGTTGGCAAAATTTCCCTCATGGCATCCTGCATGGCGTTGCCCGTCTTCATTAGCCCACAAGGTGCAGAAGAGTAGGACGTAAAACTCCATTCATTTCATTTCATTTTTTCCAATCCTGATGCATGGTTCTCAATGCACATAAGCAGTAACCTTCAATCCGATTCATTTGTTCTCGATGTATCTAAGCGCTTACCTTCAAACTTAACTGATGGGTCTCAATGTACGTTGGTGCTAATCATCAAACCCAACTGATGGATCTAACGTTCAAATAATTTGTTCTCAATGTACATTAGCACAAACCTTACTCTTTTGATCTCATTGTACCTTAGCGCGTAACATTCAAACCTAACTCTTTGATCGCAGTGCTAACCTTCAACTCATTTGTTCTCAATGTACGTTAGCGCCCCAAAATCTACCTCGAAGCATGTTCTGCTTAACCTAATTCCTGATTCTTGAGGTATGTCATCGCGAACTATCCATTGTTTGCTATCGGTTACCTTTAAACCTTACTCACTTGTTCATACCGTACGTTAGTGATGGTCTTAAAACCAACTACTTCCCTTATATTGTTTTTATCAATGTAATCGAGAATCTATTTCAGAACATGTCCTTTTCCAGCTTCAAGTACCAGTTCTTCAAATACGGATATATCAATGACTACAGTTGGTATAATAAGTGCTATAGCTGGATTAATAGTAGGCTTTGCCATCTGTTTCGTAGGATTTTATATTCATAATAAAAGGCAAGTGTTCTTCAAGTCCAGTTTTGGAGAAATTTAGTAATTACTTATGCTTAAAATTTAAAACATAGTTGGCAGTGTGCTGACCATAAACGTTAAACATTAAGTATTTGAGAATTCTTAATCCTCAAAAAATATTTGGTAGGCCTAAATTGAATTCATTTGGTGCATTCTGATACATACTTGGGGAAAAACCTATAAAAAACTTATTTTTTCAATTTTTTATAAATGAACTTTCTTAAGATGCAGGATAAGTTCGAATTACATCGTCGAGTTCGAGTTTTATTGTATCATTTACTAAATGTTAACCATATTTCAGAAAGGGATATTCAATAGATGGTTCAGCGAGTACTACTGTAAATTATGTGGTAAATTAAATATAAAAGAACACATGATTATGGATACAAAAAAGTATGTGTGTTGTATACAAGATACTCTTTTAGCTTGTTCTATTGCCTTTCAACCTTCAATCAACTGTTGAGGTAGTTGATCTGCCTTTTCTTGTATAACCTTCCAAGCAAAGTGAACATCTTTAGGTGTTGTTTTAGAGCTAGAAATAACGAATCTAATGAAGAAAATTCCATTTAAAGCTGAAGGTATCATGAAAATTCTACGATCCGCTCTGATCAATTCTAATAAATCCTTGGTTTTCTTTTTTGTGCCCTGAAATAACCATGTGAGAATATTGTGAGATTGTCTCAGTCAAACAAACAGTAGGACATGCTATGGAAATTTCGTTTATAAACCTTGTCATAATAAGAATTAATTCGACCAAAGGCGAAAGAGGCTATAGATTTGTTCGAATTAAAATTATATTACAGTTTAATCACACTAGTTTTCAACTCTAGTCATATGATAATGGCGTCATTCTTAACCAATCAAAGCGTGTCATCTTAAGTTGACAAATTCTGGGATAGCAAAACCAAATGAGACTGCCATATTGCCCTATATTGGGTTTTTCTATGCCACTATCCGCCCTTGTTATCAACATCAGATTGCAATCTACATGACAGGCTTAAATAGGCCAAGAATAACATCGTTAGAATAAAGATATCTTAGAAAAAGATGTTTGAGTCAGTGGCGGCGTCAGTCTCCCGAGACCGGGGCTTCAGACTGACTCAATGGTGGACAACCGACGAGGCTGAATTGGTAACTCTGTGGATGCGTCTTGTCGCAACCCTCTCATGAAGCGTCTGAGAGGGTTCTCCCAAGAAATTTATCGAGAATTGAATTCATTGGTGCATTTTGAAAGATTTGAGGCAAAACATATAAAAATCATATCTTTTAAAATTTGTAAGAAATCGAGTGAGGTTAAATGCGGGGCGCAAACCATTTTCAAGCTGTACCCCCACTGACGCTAATTTTGAGATGATTTATTATACAAGATGTTGAATTAAACTGTACATTACCTTTAATCTGAAACAGACAACAGCTAGAGTTACCGGAACAACAATCTCAAATCTATTATCTTCTTTAACTAAACTCTCAAAAAGTTTCGCCATAGATATGTCCTGCAAATATACAATTTATCATTTATCGGTTTGCTTTACTGTGTTTACTGTTTAAATTTCACTGGATATCAGTAATCTTATCTACATGTATTTAAAGTAATACATCCTCTTAAAATGGTCATGAAATCTCAAACTTGGTCAAGTGTATAATGTTTATCAGTTGGACCAGGTGCCATGACTAAGACGATATATACATGAATCTGTACTTAATTCTATGGATTTATTGGATTATAGAGGGATTCTATTTTAAAGTTGTGACACCAGGTAAGTCCACTGATGAATAAGACTCATTTTGACCAAGTTTCAATTGTTTGGTCATCCTAAGAGGTAGTATACCTTTAAGTGAGCCTATTTGTTCAGTCGTGTAAACCTTTCTAATCCAGTGCTGAACTATACATCCATGTTTTTCAACATGGTATCACTTTCAAAACAATATGTTATAAAAATAGTGTGACGGTGTTTCAGGACTATCTATAATATCACTCTCTGTTTGGGTTTGTCAGCTCTACACCTCTGTCAGACTTAGTAATTTTCCTATCAAACGACATGTGTCAGAAGTATAATGGCGAATGTATTAACTATTTCCGGATTAAGGAGCTTCATAAGCAATTGCTAACATCGCCCATTGACGACATTACATTGGTGCACGAGTATTCTCTGCAATTGATGATGAAGATAACAGCTTGCGTTTAGTCTTGTCATTGAATAAAAAGTCAGATTTCAACTCGGGGAAAAGTGATATGAATAGGTGAATAAGTCAACTGAAGGTAAAGTGTCAATACAACTAAGCTTCTTAATAAACCTTACCGTTCGGACTATTTCTTGCAGTGCTTTTATTCCCATTAAACGCAACTGGAACCAAACTTTGATTGACTTAAAGTCTCTGGTAAACTGTAGCGACCAATGCTAAAAATGGACAAAAAAATCCGTTAGGAATATTTTTGAGATCCAGTGCCAGGGTCATAAAGCATTTCTGATGCTCAGCTTAATTTCAAATTCATAATGCATCCCTGTAAGATTACTGTGATAATGCCCTACGGAATAGATTGATATATTTTTCTTTGATACAATCAGTTATGCACCTGTAACATCTGTTTTAAATATGAATAAAATCTCAGCTAAGTACGAAAAAAGGTTTGTTGATGCGATATTTTTTGTTTCTGGCCAGAATTTATAATGTACAGTATAAGCCTCCATTACTTACTCTGTAAACAGGAATGTGTTCAGCTGGGCTCTCGGGAGCTTTATCTTTATTATCAAAATTGTTCTCGGCACATAAATCAACTGGAAATGCTTCTGACAATAATTTACTGTTCTTAACCCTATTAAGTAAAAAAGAAATTGCGATTTTTCTATACAACGTTTCGGTCCCTGGCGTTCGCATTTTGAATATCAATTCCGACAGTTGTCCCCCAATTAGGTCAATCTGCTCCCTATTTTTACAGAAGCCTGGTACCACCACTGGCTTTACTAATTGACATCGATACAATTCTTCTGATTATAAATGTACATTCTGACAAAATTGCACAAACAGAGCTCAGTCGGATTGCAAATAAAAACTGACATTGAGAGTCTCAGAGTCTGACACAAACGACAGATTTCTCTTGTACATTTGCAAATTCGACATTCTAAAACTATATACATATTATCTTTACCATAAAACTGAACATGGCGGGGCAATCTCTAACCATTTATGAGCATTGAAATTGAAGGATGTCGCTAGCTGAAAATATAATATAAAACAATCCATATAACATTATTCGTATGGGCCCATCTTACTATGAACGTTACGTTGCATTAAATTACGTTTGGAACGGAATGGCGAAGGTATGCTTTTCAAAACTTAGGAATTGAACTGTTCTGTAAAATGCGACATCATTAATAAACCTGTAAACCTTACCTCAACACCGTCTAGAAGATATCTATATTCAGGGCAGATAAAAGCACTCCCAGCATACGCTGCGTCGATATGCATCCATATCTTATGTTGATTGCCTTAATAAGAAAAATAAAATACACAATAATTGACAATGTATTTGCATGCTACTTTACCAACGGTACGATGATAATCCGTATTCAACATGTTCCTTTAGCAATGGTACCATGATAATCCATATTTAACATGTTCTTTTAGCAACGGTACCATGATAATCCACATCTAACATATTCCTTTAGCAACAGTACGATGATAATCGACATCTAACATGTTCCTTTAGCAGAGGTACGATGGTAATCCACATCTAACATGTTCCTTTAGCAGAGGTACGATGATAATCCACATCTAACATGTTCCTTTAGAAAGGATACGATGGCTATCCGCTAGATGTGGATAATCATCGTACTAACATAATAAATCTGACGTTTGAAAACTGTCTGATGTCTAATGTCTGAACTCTGTTACTGTGATTGATGTTCTACTTCCAATATACTTACATACAGCGCCGATTTCATTCAGATTATCAAAACCACAGCATCCAGTAGACCCCAAATTTGCACACACCTGAAATATCAAGATTGTATCAAACTTTCTTCTGTAAAACTTGACATTTGGAAATACCGAAAAACGCGACTTCGTGGTGAAGCTTTTTCACGGGTATTTGGAATATACAAGGTCGATAAATAAATAAACCAAGTACTAACGACCGAACTGCAATACAAAACCCAAAATTCAAAACAACATACTGGCGAAACATTGGTAACAGATGATGTACTATTCATACGAGGAAGATTATCAATCATAATATCATTCGATAATATGCACAATATTACTATTTTTCTATAAAGTGCCATAACTATTAGATAACTGTTAGAGATCGTTTGTGCATAAAGCATACATTTTGAAATGACAAGTCATTGTGTCACAGAACGCTATTCATATACACGGTATTAGAGAAGCTTGAAAATATTTACACTTGAAACTTACAAATATAGGTATTAAACCATTCTCAATATCACTTAATATAGCTTTTTCTAGAGCTGAAGTATTTACACCACCATTACTATCAGTTTCTATTATTCTCATTTCTATACAACTTATTAAACCTGCTTTAATAACAGACGGATGGGCCTGGAGAATAAAGGAAAATATAAGATCGGAATAGTCAAGATGAATTTAATTTATATAAGCAATATGAACTCATCAAAACTATTCGCACAGTGGCGTATGTTCCAGTGCGAGTATGCCCCACCAAGCTAGCAGCAAGCTGTATGGACTACGTCTACATCTGACTCGAAAATGAATATGAAGATTTTTAAGCGAATACTGAAATATTCCTGAATGGAAGAAATATTTACATTTACCTCAGCTGATGTGTAGGACACTAATTTTGTAATAATTTCACCATCTTTAAGATTAGGGTTTGTTTTCTTAACTTCACGAATAGTGTGAGTTCTTGCAGCTAATAAACAGGTACACACAGATTCACTAGCAGATGTCTGTAATGGTAAATGGGATACCGTTGAATGTGATGGCATTAAGCATTTTTTCTTGTAAATACCGACAAACAAAATGTTAATTACATTCTAAGTGACTCAGGTTTCTAAAATGACTCTTTATCCTGTCGAAAGCAAATATCTCGACGACTGTATCCCTTGACTACAACATAATTCGAAGCTTGCATGTCTATTTGATGATTTGATTAGTCTAGAGTCAATTTTGGGGGGAATTCGCAATTATCACAGAATTGTAGGTCTGAATCAGTATGTCTGGATGAATTGCATTGGGATGCTCATGTCTCATCACACCAAATTACTAAGACACCATACAACAAATATCTTACATTGATTTATAACATCGTTCTCAATAATTTTCAAGAAATACTACCTATTAAGATTTAGATTTTTTAATTATTAGCTTAAATGAGTATATATTCATTAGTCCTGGAGTCCTTGGTGGAGTGAAAAAATACGTCCAATAAATCCATAAAACTAAGTTATCGTTCAAAAACTACTGGTTATTATTGAATAAAGTTAAATATATTTCAGCGTTCTTCAAAATAAACTTAGTTTAATTGATTTGATTGTCATATAAAAGGATTCTGTTGTACATTTATGAAACCAAATAAGTCAATTTCGTGTATACACAATTTACACTTTTGAGCATTCACACGAGCACATGCTTAATGCAAGTTTGACTGTACTCTTATTGGCCAAATTTTAGACTTTATTTTTTGTGTTCATTCTAAGAGGTAGCATTCCTTTAAGTTTCCTTATATTACCAAAATTACTCCACCACCACTTCTCTTTTTATCAAACAGAAACTCTTCTGGTAACTGTAACATTTTCCCCAACCAATTTGTCATATTCATTTCTAATTCTATACCAGCTGGATTGGCCATCTGCAATTACAACATAGATCCGGAAAGGTTTTATATTGATCGCCCACGTGCATTCTGACAACAGAAAAACTGACTTCGTGCTAGGCGCAGTTCTCTGAACTTATGTGGATCCATGTTTTATCTGCGGAGCGTATCCGTAACGGTTTTCTCTTCACCGATAACAGAATAAAACATATTTCATTTTATTTTTTGTATATAGACCACAAACTGAATGGTATATGGTATATCCACTTGAGACACAAAGATTTTGATGCGTGTTGGACACGACATTCACATCCCTCCGTAATAATATTAAATTGCCCAAAACGTGGATAGCAGGCTATACTTACCCAATTAGCTGTTGGTGTTTCAAAACAGTGACGGAGAAGTTCTCCTAAGATGGATGGAAACGACGATCTTAATGGATAAAAGCCATGATAATTAGGACTGTGTAAGTTTGTGATCTGAAATGCAGTTATTGGATTATGCAGTGAGTGGTCGTTCAAGAAGATGTACATCAACGCGCAACCACAGCAACTTTTTTTGAAAACGAAAAATTTTGCCTGGTCAGTAGTCATATACATTAACCAATATGGATGGGCCCAATTAGTTTGCAGAATTAGAACACGATTAAACCGAACAATTTCAGCTCAGTCTTAACATGCTTTTTGGAATACAAAAAGCCTCCCTTCTTTTATGTCCTACGTATAAAGAAAAAAAATGATATAAAGTAACCCCTCTAAATATTTAGATTTGCTATTCAATTTATGTTGTTTTCTATATGAAAATAATCATGATGTTTTTTTACACGAAAATAATTACTTTGTTAATCATGTTTTTTTAAACGAAAATAATTACGTTGTTTTTTTAAATGAAAATAATTACGTTGTTTTTTTAAATGAAAATTATTACGTTGTTTTTTTAAATGAAAATAATTATGTTGTTTTTTAGATGATAATGATTATGTGGTTTTTCACACGAAAATAATAATGTTGTTTTTTACATGAAAATTATTAAGTTGTTTTTTTATATGAAAAAAATTATGTTGTTTTTTACACGAAAATAATTATGTTGTTTTTTTAAATGAAAATTATTACGTTGTTTTTTTAAATGAAAATAATTATGTTGTTTTTTACACGAAAATAATTATGTTGTTTTTTAGATGATAATGATTATGTGGTTTTTCACACGAAAATAATTATGTTGTTTTTTACATGAAAATTATTACGTTGTTTTTTTAAATGAAAATAATCATGTTGTTTTTTTAAATGAAAATAATTATGTTTTTTTTTACACGAAAATAATTATGTTGTTTTTTAGATGATAATGATTATGTGGTTTTTCACACGAAAATAATTATGTGGTTTTTACATGAAAATAATGATGTCGTTTTTACATGAAAATAATTATGTTGTTTTTTACACGAAAATAATTACGTTGTTTTTTTAAATGAAAATTATTTCGTTGTTTTTTTTAAATGAAAATAATTATGTTGTTTTTTACACGAAAATAATTATGTTGTTTTTACACGAAAATAATTACGTTGTTTTTTACACGAAAATAATTACGTTGTTTTTTTAAATGAAAATTATTACGTTGTTTTTTTAAATGAAAATAATTATGTTGTTTTTTACACGAAAATAATTATGTTGTTTTTTAGATGATAATGATTATGTGGTGTTTCACACGAAAATAAGTATGTTGTTTTTTACATGAAAATAATTACGTTGTTTTTTACATGGAAATAATGATGTTGTTTTTACATGAAAATTATTATGTTGTTTTTTATATAAAAATTATTATGTTGTTTTTTACATGAAAATAATTATGTTGAAATGAAAATAATTATGTTGAAATGAAAACAATTATGTTTAAATGAAAACAATTATGTTGTTTTTATATGAAAATAAAAATATTGTTTTTTAAATGAAAATAATTATGTTGAAATGAAAATAATTATGTTGTTTTTTAAATGGAAATGATTATGTTGAAGTGAAAATAATTATGTTGAAATGAAAATAATTATGTTGTTTTTTATATGAAAATAACTATATATTGTTTTTTATATGAAAATAGTTATGTTGAAATAAAAATAATTATGTTGTTTTTCATATGAAAATAATTATGTTGTTTTTACATGAAAATAATTATGTTGTTTTTTACATGAAAATGATTATGTTGAAATGAAAATAATCATGTTGAAATGAAAATAATCATGTTGAAATAAAAACAATTATGTTGTTTTTTATATGAAAATAAATATATTGTTAAATAAATGAAAATAATTATGTTGAAAAGGAAAATAATTATGTTGTTTTTATTTGAAAATAAATATATTGTTTTTTACATGATAATAATTATGTTGAAAAGGAAAATAATTATGTTGTTTTTATATGAAAATAAATATATTGTTTTTTAAATGAAAATAATTATGTTGAAAAGGAAAATAATTATGTTGTTTTTATTTGAAAATTATTATGTTGTTTTTTACATGATAATAATTATGTTGTTTTTTATATGAAAATAATTATGTTGAAATGAAAAAAATTATGATGTTTTTTATATGAAAATAATTAGGCCTATGTTATTTTTTAAATGAAAAAAAGTTCTTTTTAAAAATAATTATGTATATATAACTTTTTACCTAAACTGTCCCGACTTCACAGTTGTGATACAAGATATTTTACTATGAAAAGCCTATTCAATTTTGGACAAGAAATTAGTATCATTTTAATTATTATTATTAATTATATAATTAGACTTATTGCCTTTGTTCTTTAAAACGCGTTCAACTTTAGCTTGTAAACACTCTAGAATGTTCAATTATTGACAGATTTTGACGAAACTTGGTGTCAATGTTTGTTATCACCAAAGGATGAACCTTTTGAAAATCAGAAGAATAAAAAAATATTAAGAATGAGTTATTGCCCTTGTTCTTGAAAACACGTTCAATTTTTAAGCTTGTAAACACTCCAGAAGGCACAATTCTTGTTCCTGTGTTTAAATTTTAGTTCGTAAACGCTCAAGAAGGTTGAATTATTGATGGATTTTGACGAAACTTGGTGTGAGTGTTTGTTATCAACCAATGATAAAGCTTGGTAATATTATACAGTATCGCCCTAAAAATGTTCAAGGTTGAATATTTCATACTGGTAATTGTTACTGTAAGCTTACTGCCAAAATTCTTGTTTAAAATCAAAGCTGCCAGTGGGCGTATATTACCTTACCTGACAAGCTATCTTAACAATGATGAATGATTGAATTCGTTGAGTAAATATTTTTGACTATGTGGCCTCACATAGAAAGATGTTAAGTGACCATCTTAGTTGCAGATTAAACATCAGGTCTCCGTAGGAAAGTGAGCATTATTTCATTGGACAAAATAATAACATATACACAATTTAAACAATATTGTAAAAAAGCGAGGTCCCTGTGGGTAACACTATCATGTCAAAATGAAATAGACTTTTTCAATAGGCCTGTAATTTATTTCATATTTAAGGATCCACCAATATGCTTAATATAGAGAATTATTGACTTTATTGATAGGTAAAAACTCTATAAGTAACGCATTCTTTGTTGATAAAATGCAGAGAGCATTGTAAAAATCGTTATTTAGGAAATGACAGAGATATTTCTTTTAAAAGTATTAGAATTCCCTACCTGATTATCTTATTATTATTATTGTTAAAACGTCAGACAAGTCGTGGAAATCGTTCATAGCTCTCCAGTTTATTTCTAGTATGCATTCCAGCTGGAATGACTCTCCGTGAAAGATGTTAATTTACCGAGCTAAAGAGGTTTCGTGTCATATGTCCTTTCACGGTTTCATCACTGCCTTTTGTTTTTTTCATTAGTATTTTGGCTTTATTATAAGTGAAAATAGAATAAAACTATTGTATTGTTAAAGTGTAAGCAACATTATCATTGCCTACAAAATGTATGTTGAGTAAAAGAAATTTTCACTTGAAACATTGTTACAGAACATTTTACAATCTTATACAAATGTGCACTGACTTTAATTATGACTGATTTTACCTTCCATACCTATCCATCGTTGCCTTACAGTCAACACATAAACCAAAAAAAGCTAACTTCAAAACGCTGAGTATAATGAGCTCGAGATACATGCACTTTGGAACAGACGGACAGTCGACAATAATGTATACGCCTATAACACCTACCCCATCTAATATAACTGGTTGAATATCTTTCAATAAATCTTTCCATTCATCAGGATCCTCCGGAGCTTTGTCTGGTATCAATTTTGACATATATCCCGTCTCAACTTTTGGATTGGGTAATTCCTTTTCTTGACTAAATAAACAGTCTATTATAAAGTCAATCAATTCATGGCCGTGTTTTCTGAAGTCTTCTACATCCATTTCTGTGAATTAGTATACTGCAATTATATCGATTGTGAGCTTATATATAGCTGTTTGTTCGCTCATGGGCTAATAGATAATATACGCCAACATGCAGTGCCACTAGCAATAGCTATCGGTATATCGTATAACTAGCTAACAGATTGTGACATGATGACAGTGAACATGGTATCACGTGCAGGAATATGATACTGATTATTTGGGTTTTAAAAAAACAAAATACCTTAAAATGGCTATGATTTGTTCATCTACAAGCTAATCCCAACCATATTTGGATATATATATATATAATAGTAAGACGCACATATATACCAAACTACGGCAATATCTAATAGTTCCTATCAAATCAGGATTGATATGTTCGTACATACTAATGTGTTGCCAACACTGAAACAAGCTCTTAAAATAATAATTTATTTAATATGATAATAATAATAATAATAATATATAAGTTGCTTACCTTGAAATAATGAAAGCGAGTGTTGTATCAGTAGAATGTTTAATGACGAATAGGTAGGTAGGTAGATGACAATTTAACGTTCGCTTCCAGCGGATGCTGATATCGCAAACTATTAATGACGATTAATGCAATGCTCAGTTTATAAAGGCTTGTGAAGCTTCCCAAAGATCCCATTGGCCAATAGCAGGATTAATCCAAGAAGGTTATTTAATCAGCCAGCCTTAATCCATTGATAACTTAACGCTTCTCGACCCTCACAACAGTGCTGCATGACTACATTAAAACAATCTACTAATTATTTGCTGTCTATCTATAAAATATCTTAAGGCAGCTCAATGTCACTTTAATTGCAAGTATTGTACTAACAATCTTAGTTAATTTGATATTATATATTTAATATAATTATAAAACAATGGAGTAAATTGACTGTTACAGAATAAATAGAAACCTCCTGGGAAGAAGACTATTTTCTACATCCACAATGTAATGTGGGCATGTAAAGTCATGGATTTCATACTTCGGTTGTGACAGCACATTCATTCTATTAATACTAATTTTATTCATTGTCACAACCGATTAACTGGAAAACTGATAGGAAGTAAGTTAAGGTCAGAATATACAGGTTCACATTATATTCATTTTATATTGTAAAAAAATGAAATGAACCAAGTTTTACGTCCTACTTTTCTGAACCGTGTGGGTTAATGAAGACGGTCAACGCCATGTAGGGTGCAATGATGGAAATTTTGCCAGGAAAGGAGTTCCAACTATCGAGTGATCTTTAACGTGCACAGCCTGTAGCACACGGGGCCTCACACTAATCTTACGAACGACTAGACGCTTTTTCCATATTGACAGAGGGAAACCGGGTTGAAAAATTCGAAGGTATTACCTTGACTTTTACCTATTTGATGAAATCAAAATATTTGAATTAACCTGTAAATAATTTGTATAGCAATTAAGATAAATAATATCATGTTAATTTTGTTCAATGTACATTACTTTAGTATGGTGGAATAAATATCATTTATGCCTGAACATTATGGGCACGTTTAATTTAATATCATGTTTCCGGTTCATTAATTGTCGGAAAAGTTATATTATGTACTCTCCGCTTCTAAATGTCCTTCAAATCTTAGTCATATAGTCTACATGGTCTTTGATCTTCTATATACATTCCACATTTTTGTGGTCGTATAAAATTGACCGGTCCCCATACTTCATTAGGATATTAGAGAAAAATAACTCACAGTTATATTTCACTGGGTCAGAAACACTGAAAGCATATTGACTATCCAAACCCTACGAATATAAACCAAAAGTTGCACCATAATCGACTCATATTTGGTTTTTGGAGTACAACACAGAAAGCAATATTTTCACAAATGTGTATAGAAAAAACTTGAATATGATATTGCACTTTATTATACTTTTGGGCAGGTATTTACAACAAGACAGTCAGTTATTTTACAAACTTTGATAACAAAAACAGATCTAGAAATTTCAATGTTTTTTTTAAAATAATTAAAGTTGGATGTTACTATAAAAGTTTTCAATGTAAAACATTGCTACAAGAACGTTGAAGGGGTAGGTGTGGCAATTAACATGATATAGTTTGAAATATTCATATTACAGTCAAATGATACATAAATCATGAAAATCGGCTGTTTTGGAAACCGAACTTGATAAAAGAAGGTTATTCCTTCTGATATAAATTGAAAATCGTAATTATTTTACAATAATAACCAAAACCTAAATATTGTTGATCAATGGGAAAAAGAATTCACAATTCCTGATTTTATGAAGCTATATTTATTGGGAAAAATAAAATCAGAATGTTCTCAAGTATGCATAAAATTGAGACAGTAACAATGAATGTTAACATAATCAAGCTTTATGAGCTTAGCTTTGTATAGATAACACCAGGAATTAGACCTAAATACACATCAAGAATATTTGAATATGTTAAAAGCCTCCCAATTTCAACTATCTGTAACACTTTTTATTATAAAAATCTGATGTCTGGTTTGAATGCAATTAAGGAAAAATGTATTGACAATAGTTATATTCCTGGTGATCATGTGGTGAGAACAACATCAAATAGAAACCTTTAAAGTAATAAAAGCAAGAAGTATCCAAGCTTAAAATTGTTTTAAATATCAATAGGTATTCAGATAGCTGACATTGCGCTCTATCAGTTGAAAGAAAGAATATTTAAACAACTATAAATATTTCATATCATGTTGCTGCAGTCCTGTTATACAAAATCTCAAATTTGATAAGAACTAATACTAAAGCTATTGATTTTTGTTAAGTCTGATTAAATTCTGACCTAGATGGTTTTTTCAATAAAATCCTTGTCCATCACTTGTGAGTAATTCTGGAATATCTATTGTTAAAAATTCTCAATGCAAATTTTGATTGTTTAAGGTGCCCTCCACACACAATAATGATTACCAGTTGCTTTTGGTTGTGATTTGAAAGCAACTCAAATCTCAGTTGCATGAGAAATGCGTTTAAAACTGACGACAGCTATTCTTATTCCATAACAACTGGTAATCACTATGATATGAGAGCACATTTAGTATCAAGTGAAGCAACCCACAAAAAGCATATGTGAAAGATATCATTTAGATCTTCCTCATAAAGGGACATTTATCGATTTGTGTCTTTAATATATGTAAATAGTTTTCAGAAGTACTAGAAATGTATATTAATCAGCTTATTCCTCCAAAAGTACCTTGAACTGGGAATTTCACTTTCTTAATATTGCAGAGTCTCAACAAAAGATGAGTCAGCATTTCAATCACGGATAATTCTGGAGACGCATGGATTTCAAAATTCAAATTTCGGTGGTGAGCTATGAACTATAACATATTAGCTTAGCTACAAAATACACGTATCTGAGACTAAGGAACGATTGGTCAAACAAATGACAACCTGTACCTTTAATCAGATTGAATTGTCTTCTGATAGATCATCATCTTAACATAAAATATTCTTATAAGGATACTTGCAGCAATGCATATAAAATTTAGAGATTATAAAATATTTGGTCCAGCCAAATCATATTATGTTAAATACAGGTATTTACAATTCTATATCAATTATTCTACTTACAAAACAATGTGAAAAACATGTATTTACAAACAATCATTAACAAAACAAATGCAACATATTACATAGTCCAACAAAACATCCAGGTGCAATTTAAAAAAAAAAAGCAAAAGAAAAAGCAGTCCATTACTTTCACCTAGATCATCAAGTGGTGAGAATACAATAAAAGTTGCCAAATTAAGTATAAATATATTTGGATATAGATCATACTTGAAAACTTACAAACTTTCATACTACCTTTTTAAATTGCAGAAGACCAGGACATCAGATTTCAATTCTGTTCAGTGACACAGATTTCAGCACTTTCAACCAGATAAGGCAATATTTAAATAATTTAACTGCAATGAGGTTACCATGATAAAAATTTGAATAGTGTACCATAATGATTTACAATTAAAAAAATATTAATCTTGATACTGGTATACAATTAAACTTAAATTGTTTTCTAAAGGATGTGACCTTATTTAATTAAGAGCAAATGCAAACTTGAAATTAGATCACAATAAAGTTTCGTTATTTTTGTTGGTCAGACTCCATTGTAATCTAATGAGATTTATACCAAGGTCACATACCGGTAACGTTTCAAGTTACTTACAGCAGTCTCCAGCCAATCAGATTAACTTTTAAAAGCAGATACCGGCAGTCTCATAATCTCATTGGTCATATCGCACAATTCATAGACATTCAGACACAGATTCTGCATGATGCGCTGTGATTGGTTGAAATGAATATCAGTTGTACACGGTATTGGTATAAATCATTTTAGATTACTATGTAGTCCAACTAAAAAAAAAACATAACCAATCGAAATTGTAATCTAATTTTAATAGGATTGGGGCAAAGGTTAAGTACACAAATAAAGGCCAACCATAAAATTTCTCAATTCTACACTCTAGCCCAATAGCTGTGAACAGTTCAACTAATTTGATCTGTCATTTCGTTATCATAATACATATAGAAATAACTAAATACCAGAGAACTTGATTTGGTAGAAAGGCTATCACAGATTAAGACATTGGAAGACAGTTTGATTTTCAACAATCTTTGGTGGGCATTAATTTGATTTATATTTTTTAGCATCTTAATTTACAATCTTACTATAAGAAGGCTATAATAAAGTTATTTTTATATCATTATAACTAATGAAACATACTCTGGTCACAATAAAATATTTAAGTTTTACTTGAAAATTCTCACTTTTTATTGAGCCTTATGAAAATGGGCTCTTAAATTTTATTTCATTTTTTTTACAGCAAAACAAAGCAAGATTAGAGATTCTTTGAGACTTTCTGGTCAATATGAACAAATTGCATTTAGGGGACAGCAAAAACGGAGGAAGATTGGACATTATTTAAGACTCATTGCATAAAGAGGGCCAAATGATCAATTTTACAGTGACCTATCGTTGCTGGGGCTATAAGATGTAGGGTCTATTGGTTTTGTGAGTCTTTTATATGCTGGGGCCAAATTCACAGCCATCTGAAAAACACACATTTATCTCTAGCAGCAGATTGTCTTCCACATGGATTTAAGTACAAAACATGTTACCCCTAACAAACTTAATAAATTAAGATGACATTATACAAAATGGTGGACTACATTATGCTACCAACACTAGTTTTCTACTTTCATTTTTCTTAATAAGGCACTACAGTATTTCTACATGACTTTGAATAAATAAGGCACTTGCTGATCATAAATCTTCAAAAAATGTGACCCTTGACCTTAAAGTACTGGCAGTAATCTGAAAGATAAAAATAAGGCTAAGTGTAAATTTGTATTCAAGATTTATTATTACTTCATGACACAAAATTAAATTCAGCAAATGTAATCCAATTCAACCCCTTGTCATAACTCAAAATATAATATATTTCATTACAATACTGACCTACATTATTGAAGGTCATTTTGTACATTTTTCAAGAACATTGAATTGCAATGTTCATCTCTATAAAAGGTGACATCCAAGACAGAGAAGATGCCATTTCTCTGAAAACGGCCAATAAGATATGATACAATAAATTTTCATCAGGCCACATCACTCTCTGATAGTTTCTGGATGGGAGCAGACAGCTGCATACACCTTTTTCTGGTCTAAATGTTACAAAGGCCCTGCCGTAATTGATAGCCCAATATAGGAATCATTATTATTATCAATATTGTATATCACTCAGAAATTTCCTTTTTAGTGCATCTAATTAGCAATTTCAGTCAAATCTGTAAATTGCCAACTTTCTATCTGGGATAGTTTGTGCAATTTACAATCCCTTTCAGTTTCAATTCTCTACATACCTTAGATAGAGTAGAATACTTATTTTCTCCTCTCTCTATACTTTCTTCATGTAACCTATCAAAATCTGTCTGTTTATCTTCCACTTTTAATACCTCAATTTCACTCTTTAAACCTTTTAACTGTTCTTGTAAATGCTGACTTTTCTCCATATATTCTACCCTAATAAACACACAGAATAAATATTTTATCAGTTTTATAATCATAATAAATCTTAATCAACTCATTTATAACAATAGATTTGCACACAGAAAGATTTCTTGAAAACTCATGCTCAAAAAGAACATTTGAAAGCTGGCATAAAACTATGATGTGTCATGGTGAAAATGCTTAAAAACTAGAGTAGGAACAAACAAGCATAATATTGGCATTTGATGTATGGCTCTAAACATAGTGACTATATCATATCACAGGTAGGAGTTGTCAGGCTGTCTAAAAACATGATATAAACCTAATGAATCAACTAATTCTGATTTGCGTCGCTTACCTATACTTGATGTCTGACTTAGGATATTTTCATCTGGACATTTCTAGACATGTCCAGCAAATATACTCAAATCAACAGCCCTGTGTAACAGTGTTTTGATGTTTTTGCATTCCACTATCCATATCATTGGTTTAATTTAAAAATAAAATATTTTCACCTTTCTTTTTCAATTTCTAGTGAGAGTTGATCATGGTCCATATCAGCTGGTATTAAATCACAACTCATTTCATCTTGATCTCCAGACCCTAGATCTGAATTTAATCTTAATTCACTGGTTAAATCACTTGATAATCCTTGGTATGGTGAATAGGACTGAAATAAACAACATGATAATCTGAATTTATCTTAAATCACTGGTTAAATCACTGGATAATCCTTGGTATGGTGAATAAGACTGAAATAAACAACGTGTTGATCTGAATTTAATCTTAATTCACTGGTTAAATCACTTGATAATCCTTGGTATGGTGAATAGGACTGAAATAAACAACATGATAATCTGAATTTATCTTAAATCACTGGTTAAATCACTGGATAATCCTTGGTATGGTGAATAAGACTGAAATAAACAACGTGTTGATCTGAATTTAATCTTAATTCACTGGTTAAATCAACATGATAATCTGAATTTAATATTATTTTGGTTTTTAAATCACAAGTATAAAATATACTATACTTACTGTATAATGAGGTGTATCTCGTGTTAGTTCTAATAATGTTCCTTTAGCTGCCTTCTCAGATATTCTAGCTTGTACCAACTCATTACGTAACATCTCTGCCTCTTTAGCTCTATCAAAAAAATGCAAATAATAACAAGTGGTTACCTGGCAAGATACGCCCACTCCCTAATAGCAAGATTCGCCCACTTCCCTAATAAATTTTCCGTATTTTAAAGGCTGTTGTCAATCTGTGTCAAATTGTACCAAAAATCTAATTTGCAAAAGATATTGTTGTTTTAAACCAACACACAAATTTTCATAAAATTTTGACTGTCACCTTTATCATGTTCACAAGCACATTTAACATAATATCAGCGTATCAAGGCTTGAAACTCTGATACCCTTTGTCGAATCAAACAGAACTGTGAGGGGTGATGCCAATATACATCCACAAAATTCATATGTGAAATGGTTGGTGTTTCTTCTATTTTATTGCATTTAAAGTGGGCATATAAAAACAAATTTCACCATGTGACTTTGACATTCTCTTCAATCTTGATTTATCCAGGGTAGCAACTTCATTTTTGACAGTTGAGTTTTGAGTTAGCAGTATGGATCGAATCTGATGTAAATGATGTTTTTCTGCTTGTGATTGATGTGACATTTTAATGGCATTATATTTAAATTGAAACTGCATGGAGTATTGATTTTAATTACCGTTTTTCAGAATCTTCTAGAAGTGTTACAGCTATAAATTCTGCTTCCATTGCACGATGTTCCATTATCATTCTTTCTTCTTCAGTCTATACAAAACAAAAAACATTTCAGTGACTGCTGTAACACTTACTATGAGAAGTTTTAATTTTGTGAATCTGTGAAATACAGAATATATGTTGAAAATTCAATGTCCAATTATGGTAGATTTTGTATTCCTAAACGAAACCATCACAGTTCTTAATGTTCCCATTGACTTGATGGGTCTTCAATGAAAACTACATAAAAGATACTAAAGTCATGATCAAGATCTGAACACCAACCTTCATAGTTGTTAACTTCATTCTGTTGACTTCACCTTCAGCTTCTGAGGCTTTCTGAGTCAATAATTGAGCTTCTTCATCTAATATTCTCACTTTCTCTGCTAGTAAATCAGCTGACTCCTCTGATCTAATCTACAAATACAAATTAATAAACTGATTCCTCTGATTTTATCTATAAATACAAAGTAATAAACTGATCTACAAATACAAATTAACAAACTGATTCCACAAATTTCACAAAAAAATCATTGAACTGATTCTCATGATCTGATCTACAAATACAAAGTAATAAACTGATTCCTCTGATCTAATCTACAAATACAAATTTTAAACTGAATCATTTGATCTGATCTACAAATACAAATTAATAAACTGATTCCTCTGAACTTATCTATCAATAAATTTGAATTAATATCTTATATTTGATCAACAAATACCAATTAATAAACTGATTCTTCTGATCTGATCTACAAATACAAATCAATAAGAATTATTCTACTGATCTGACCTATAAATACAATTGATTTCTCTGATGATATATTTTAACAGACAGTTATAACCTATGACTGATAACATCCATCTACTTTTTTAACTGCAGGTGATTACATCCATCTACTTCTCTTTTTGAACTGCAGGAAAATCATTTTAAATTTTAGAACAGCTGCGAATAGTTGAATAGATGGGTAAAACTTTTTTGGTCATTGCTACTTTAACCTGTCAAATTGCCCTTTGACCCCTGTCTGATGAAATTAAAAGTTGATAAAATATTGGTTGTGATATATTTCATCATGTAAGACTGATGTAAGATTACTATTCTGATCTACTTTTATCATATAATAATCAGATATTTACTGGTTTAGAGGTGTATTGTTGTGTCAAACAATCAAACAAGACATTTAACTATAGATTTGTATGACAGTTCAAACAAGGCAAACAACACTATTTGAGTTAATATAAAACTTCTAGAGAAAGATATTTTACAGTCAACTGCTTTAACAAGACTCTACAAGTAAGAAAATGTTATCTGTATTGTGTTCCGTGATGTCCTAAACTTACTGGATGAGGTTTGATTGATTAATTTTTATAAAAAAAAACTTTTGGGTTATATGATTGCAGACAGTTCTTTTTTAAAACATAATAAGCTGTTTAATAAACTAAACTGATGAGTTGTCACCTCAAGAGACCTTCAAGGAATAAATTGCTTTAATTTCAACATTCAGAAGAACTAAGCTTATCATGAGTGATATTATATGTATATCCTTTGTATAGTTTATAGTTTGTATACGTTAACCCTATGTGAAATTATTGCAAATCAGTTTATTAACACTTAGTGGTCCAATCAGAATCCATTTCTCATAATCAAATGCCTGCTAGAACAGTAAATATGGAACCAAGGGGATTCAAGATACTAATATAACCAGTTGAGACTTTTTAAAGGTGTTTGTGATATTTTAAGTTGAAACTTTACATGTTGGCATGCAGTATTATGTATTCCATGATCCAACCACAAAAACTGATTGAAAATTGTACTTCATGTCCAAATTCATATGATAATCAATTTAAGGATTCATAAATACAAAATGTTTTCTTCTTTAAGGATTAACATAACTGGTTTTGATGTTTTTAACTCACAATAAAAAAAAAAAACAATGATAAGCAGAGTGGTAAGTTTCTTGATTTTTTTGTTCTTCAAGCTGATTAAATACATTGACGTATCAGCTAAAATGAATCATGAAAGCTTGACACGAAGAAGAAATTCAAAGAAGAATAGCATCAGATTAGGAAGGTACTTAGTAACCTGAAGAAAAACACACCCAGATCCTTGTTTTGATCAACTTCATATCAATTTGTTAAAAATATTTACATAAAGTAATGAAGGACAAAAACAAGCAAACAAAAGAGTGATTTGAAAGATCAAAAAAACACTGTAAATGTCTTGTTTCTAATGCTAACCATTGTATTTAATGATTTAAATTCTATATGACAGGTTTGTTTCCTAGCTGGAACTTGGGCTGGTATATATCTGGATCAAAATTACAAGGTATAATTATTTTAACCATTTCAACAACCAGTTTACCGCTCACAAAATTATGCAATATACAAGAGCGGCCTGTAAACGGCAGTAACCAAGTGGCATCACATAATGTTAATGTCATATGCTTTAAATCATAATACTTTGAGTTCATGGAATATCATGTTTTATTTCATTTACACTCTGTGTTCAAAGGGTTAAGTCTATGCATTCTTAATGGATGATTTTTAAGGCTCATAAAATTTATGGATATAACTTCTACTCTTAATTTTATTGTTTTCCAATTTCTTTAGTTATTTCTGGACAAAAATATTCATATTTTGATCCCTTAAATTTTTGTTAATCTCCCTTTAGTAAATTCACATCAGCTGCAATCTGGAGACTTAAACTTGTGGATAGGTTAATCTAAGAAATTAAGTCCCTGTAACAATGATTTATAATATATCATTTAACCATGATGCGGATTATACTATACATAACTGACTCCCTGCGAATATTTTTAACTTTACCAATTCTCAATCTTCTGTGTTATTTCAGATTATCAAAATAAATGATCCCAAGGAAATTAAAGAGACTGTAAAATCAATCTCCAACAATGTAGAGAAAACTTTAAAAGATATTTCTAAAACTCCAGAAAATGTTCCAGCAGAAAGTAAGCCATTGGAATAATAATCAAGAGTGGAATTCTGACATGAATTCAAAAAGGTGATAGTTATCACAGCTGCTCAAAAGACACTACAGCATTTTCTTTAATTTTTACAACAATTGAACCCCATATAAACAATCCAAACAATTTTAGATAACTATATCTTTATAGATATATGACAACTTTGTGGACTTCATGTGGACAAAAGCTGGTTTGGAAAAATTTTTGAAGAGATATCTTTCATTTTCCTTAGAATATGAAATGAACTAAGATAAACTGTTAGAATCAAGATAACAATAAAAGCATGATAAAATAGAAGAATTTGCAGTAGAAATTGACCTTGTACAAATTGCTTATAGTACATTTGTCTATTTCGTATCTTCATTTATCTGTGTTAAAACCTGTCTAGTCCTCATAGATAAGTTTATTTATTACCTTTTTTTATATCATTCATTGACAATTCTTTATATCAAATTCATTCACAAAAATAATCAGTTACCATTTAAGCACTTGGTATGCACCTAGAAGAAAAGAAGAACTTACCAAAGCTTCTTGAGCACCACGAATATCTTCTTGTAGTGAAGCTAATTTTCTTTCCATTTCTTCTTTTTCTCTCATTGCCTCTTCTCTCATCTGTTTTTCACGAGCCAATCGCGATCTGTCCAGCTTCAAAAAACAATTATCAAAATGAGATGGTAGACTATGGAGATTTAAGGTCACTACCATATGTAGACAATTGTAACATGCTTCCTCCTGCATGTCATCCACAAACACACCACGGTTTGACAATGGTTTGACAATGGTTTGACAGTGGTTTGGATAGATGATGTCAAATAAAGAACATAGTAAATCAAAGTACAGCAAGCTCGCTACTAAGTTCAGGCAATATTGCAGTTACAGAATTGAATAAAAATATCAAGAGAAATAAATAGCTAGGGCCCTATTTCTTCAGATTTCAATTTTTTAAAAAAACAATTAGCAAAAAGCAATTCTGTAAAAATTTTGGCCTGACAGTCATAATTCCTGTTTTTGTGAGGTTAAAACATACTTCCTCTTTAAAGGGATTGTAAAAAAGTTTTCTAAACTTTTTATGTGTATCAGGGACACAGATAGCATCAATTTGTAATTTTTTTTCAATTTTCAGACATCTGTGGTACCTGCAATTCCACTGAAACTAAGTGGAATAAACTAGAAGTAGTATATCCATATAACTTGCGTTCTTAATGTTTACCTTCCTGCTTCTATATGTCTTACAAATATTAAGTGTTTGATGAAGTCACTTATTACAAAATATGCCTTATCACATAAAGCCTATTGCGATTAGTCATGTCATCAAACACTTAGAATTGCAGGGGACACAGACGTCTGATTGAAAATTGGCATGGCGCAAATTGATGCTATCAGTGTCCTCGATACACATGCAAAATCTAAAAAACCCTCTTTACAATCCCATTAACAAATCATTCCTGCACACTGACCTGTTTTCTTGTTTTTTCATCTCTCGCTTGAGCTTTCATCTGCTGAATTTCCATTGAGTCTGGTTTTCTTCTTCTCATAAACAAATCATGATTACCAACACATAGTTCTAATATCTAAAAATGAATTACATAATTTCATATCTACTAATAAACCAATAAAATACCTAATTCTAATATCTACTAATAAACCAATAAAATACCTAATTCTAATATCTACTAATAAACCAATAAAATACATAATTCTAATATCTACTAATAAACCAATTAAATACATAATGCTTTTGAATATAAACCTGCAGACAAAGTCTTATCAAAAACTTATAGAAACTGTTGCCTCGATTGCCATCACAAACTAACTATGTATGGACTGACAAACCGACATTGGAAATAGAAATGTAATTATGTGAGCGTATAAAAGTGAACTAGTTGGTTTACTTACAAGTTTGTTGATTCTTGACTTAGGAGCATAAAACATAAAATCTGGAGCCTTTTTATCAACATTTTTGATTGTAAACTACAAAATAGAAATTGAGATGTATACACTTGTGTGCTGTATCTGATAAGTCCATGCAGTGGGAAATGAGAAAAATAATGTTGTGAGAGAAACTCTTCTGCAATTTTCACCTTCTTTATCAAAACCAAGTATCTTCTAACCTGCGACTTTAACTTGTCTCAATATGAATCATTAATAATACCATTGCAATAATGTAAATCCTTTCATATCATTTAAATCATGTAATAAATTTTGGAAATGTATCTTTTAATGGACTTCACCTTCTTATCTTTAAACGAAATATTTTTTATTTCGCTCCAAGGAAATGTGACCTTGGGTGATAATCTGTTATCTCTTTCATACACATTAATACCCCTACAATCTACTCCAAACCATAACTCAGTACCCTTTTTATTCTACAATAAAATTTATTACATAGAATTCCCAGGCAAATATTTTCAAATGCAAAGAGAATTAAATGCACATGAGGCTCATTCATGTACAACATAGATTTTTCAACAGATATTCATAGGGTAATAAGTTAAATGAACACAGTTATACTCACTTTGATTTGAAAATAATTAATAGCATACATCTCTAAATCTTGGGCTATTTTTAAATACTCCATTTCAGCTTCATCTCTGAAATACAATGTTGAACATCAAAAATAATCTAATTTAAGATTTTAAGATGCAAGAGATATATCAAGTGGAAGTACACACCTATTCACAGGGTATAATTTGAAATATCTACATAAAAGTCATTATTAATACTGAATTGAAGATCAAATTCTCACACTTTGAAAATTAAACTCAATTTCATGGTTCACTTTCTCCCCATTGTAATCTAAAAGTTTTCTTCCATCATTTATTCATTAGGTTTCGTTATCCTACAATTCGCCTTTTAATGTACATTTTTTTTATATTTTGGGAAGAGATTTTTCAACATACCTGGTCATGCCTCTTCTATCAGCATACCAAACTTTAATACGATCTTCCCACATTTCAGCTGTCATTTGATATTGGTCTATAACACGTTGTGGTAATAAATCTTCACTAGCTAATCTACCAGGTCTATAGGTACTCTCATCATAGTCTCCAAACTTAAAAATAACATCAAATAATCAGACACTTCAATCAAAACATTAATTCTAATTTTATTATATGCCATCTACTTTTATCATGTTTTCCAAACTTTAAAATATCACATTGCATAATTAATATCAAAAATCTTTTAATTCAAAATAGTCATGAATTTTATTAGTTCATATTGACACTTTCATGATATCGACCAACAATTTCTGTCAATAAAAAAACTTCTTTTTAGAGTTGCATCTTTCTGATAGCACTGGCCTCTGCGTCAGCTAAAGGTCCCTTAGTCGGTGTATCTGACACTTAAGTGATTACACTACAAGCTCAAGTATTTACAAATATTATCATTCACATTAAAATATTAATATGAATTTATTACAACAAAACATCCACAGCTCCTGGAAAACTTAAAAGATTACCTTGGCTTGGACAGCATAAGATGCTAAGAGTACAGATGCTTCAGGTGGACAATACACATCCATATTTAATATAGACTGTTTGACTTGTAGAAAGAACAAATGTTGAGTGATTTCTTGTATCAATTCTTCTGAGACATCCTCTGGGTAAAATTTGGCTAGAAATGTAAATGGGATTGGAGCTTCTTTTGGTACATCTTGATCTAGAACCTGATAAAATAAACCATGCAATATTATAAAAAAGAACAAAATTTAACCATTCTTTAAATAAAACCCTATTCAGAAGGGTATTAGTTCAAATGAAATAAAAATCAGTAAATACAAAAAAAAAAAAAAATTCATGTTCATATAATTAAAACAAAAATTTAAATCTAAATTATTCAAGGTAACTTTTAGGGAAACTGGTTGTCAAATTATCATTGTCCTAAACCAAAGCTTGGTCTATTGATGAATTCATATAAAAAATAATTGCATAGTCACGGAAGTATAAAAAGATTCTTCTATCTTAGTCTAGAATTACATACCTTTTTCTCAAACTTCAGCCAAGCAATATAACCCTTAGAGTCAACAAACTGGAGGCCAAAATACCAAGTTTCTCTTAAACCAATGGTACGACAAACTAACTCAAATAATTCTTTGCCAATAGTTTTATTCTGAAAAAAAAATCAAACAATTAAATTTATTCAAAGCAGATGATTTTTTTTTACTATGTCGAAATATTAGTGTACTTCAGTATTAAAAAAAAGGATTATGTTGAACTTTTAATTTACAAAGAGTAATTTTCCATTCATAATGCAGTTCATTGCCACATTTAATTTCTTGAAATTGATTACATTTTGATTTTCTTCTTCTGTGAAATTTGACACATGATATGCTCTATATGACATATTGATTGGTAGGTCTATCATTCAGAGAAATATATCATTTCAATCATTAGATAATATAGCATGGCAAAAATATAAAATACATGTTCCACTAACATCAATATCAAATTCTAGTTCAGCATCCATAGTTATTACACGAACTGGTAAACTTTTGGAACTTGCTCCAGATTTTTTCGTCTTCATCTTCACAAGAGGCATCTTGTCTGATGATTTTTTTAGATCACCAGACAAAATCTAACTGTATTTCTGAGGTTGTCACATCAAGGTAAGTCAAAAGATGTATATTTGTTGATATTCATGAGTAAATAAAAGTTTCTATAAACTTTTAGGAACTTTTTAGCAATTATTTCATAAAAAAAATTAACTTTTAATGGAGGTGACCGGAAGTTATCATTTGAAGCTACCTCAAAAATACAAAAGGGTTGATATTAATGAAACGAAATATATCTGAACGTAATGTTAGCTATTTGATCTGATAAGATACAGTTTTTCGAACTATCGAAAACATTCTTATGATTGATATAAAGATGAATACTGTTATCGATTCCTAAAATAGAAAGTGATGTCATTATTCTTTGTAAATATTGAAATTTGTACGTTTCTCGTTTCTCCACCATTTCCCGCCATATTTTTCCAGCATAAGCAGCTATTTTGGTTCGAATAACAAAAGCAGAAATTCACAAATCTAAAGCCTACTATAACAACGATGGCACCAAATCTGTCTGGTGGTGCCATAGAGGTAATCACATTTACACACTACTGACAACAAATTCTATCCTACATTACTTTGAATGATTGGATATTTTCCATCTTTGGATATCATAATCAACTTAACGACACTTCTACAAGTACACCTACAAGTACATCCATTTCCAATCTATCTTATCTCTCACTCAGATATCATTCTTTTTCAATGTCACTAGCACTTGTAGTAGTGTATAGATCTACTGTATTCTGCATGTTTCTTGTGAGGATAGAATATTGTGATATGATGTGTTTACTGTATATTCTGTACATTTCAGGCCATTATTAATGGAGAGTCTCCAGAAAAACCAATTCTTCAAGTTGTTGTAAGTACGGCTTGTCTTATTTTACTCTTAAATAGCTATTTGAAGAATAGATGATCAGCATGAATGAGCTTTGACTACAGCCTGCAGTTGGTTTTGTGCATTATTCCACAAATCATAGTGTGGTTAATAAACTGCAACAGATTAAGTAGCTAAGAGGTCTCATATAGGACGTCTTTGTTTGTGCAGGATTGGGTGCTATTCTGGAAGACCCCATTGACTAAACATAAGAATGTAAAATTGATTATTATTGGTTTATTATTCAGAGTTTTAAAAAGTTAGGTAGTGGAAATGCTGAAAGATATAGAATCATGTTATCAGATGGAGACCTAATTTACTCTCGTAAGTTTACTGGTATTTTTTGAGAAGTTAGTAACTTTTTTATTCTGTTTCAATTATTTAGTTACGTAGCGCTTTTCAATACATGAATATACTTAGTAATGTATGTACAATTTCACATTATACTAAACAAGTACATTACTTTTGATATTACATATTGACCATCAATTACAGTTTACAAAAAAAAAATATCAACGCAAAAACGCATTTTACATCACTCATTAACAAAAATATTTGATTGTTAGTGATCTACTAAAATAGTAGATATGGTAGACACTTTTTCATAATCAAGGAAAAAGCATGAAATTTAAAAAAAGGGAAATTATTGAAAATTGCTTAATGGTTGAAAGTATATTAAGGAGTTAACCAGTTGGAAAGCTATCTTTAGATGTTAATAAGTTTAAGTAATATTAAATTAATACGCTTATGTCACACATGCCTTCCATAGTGATTCTTTTGAAGCTGTTCTAGTTAATATCAAAAAAGTGGAAAGTCCCATCTGACCTGGATATGAAAATTATATAATTTCATCGTTTTATTTTTAAAGATGCTATGTTAGCCACACAGTTAAATGAATTAATGGAGAATGGTAAAGTTGATAATAATTGTGTTATACAAGTTGAAAGATATCTTTGTAACACTGTGCAAAATGGAAGGTAAAGGGCTAATTTTCAAATGAGATTAAATTGAAAGTTATCTAAAATAAGCTTATCTATCATGTATTATCATTTTAATCCCAAAAAACGTTGGAATCAGCCAACATCTAGCCCTCAGTACAGCAGGTCTCTATTCTCATAACTGAAGATTAAAACTCCAATGTGCTACCAAAGTTACATTAATTTAATCCAAAAAGGCTGTTCATGTCAGCTAACATCCAGCCCTTCATACATCAGGCCTCTATTCTCATAACTGAAGGCTGATTACGGTACTCCTATTTGCTACCAAATTAAATTGGGATGAATACAATCTATGTACACTACACACTCTACACTACTGCATGTTAAGTTTGTACTTATTGCAATTTTCAGGAGAGTCATGATAGTTCTAGATGTAAATGTTCTAGCACCAGGTTCAAGTATTGGACAGAAGATAGGAAATCCGCAAGTTTATAAACCTGGAAATGAAGGTAACTTTACTAAGAACAATTACATACTTATAACTTTACCTATTCCCTTTTAATCCTACCACAACAAAATATTTTCACTCTTAAAATAGAACTCAATTTATCAATTTGTGATAAACATTAAATTACAACTTGAAACAAGTTGCTACTCTAGAGTTTTTATCAGTGAAGAATATTTTTGTATAATTGTTGCTGAAAATGAAAAAAGGCTTTGCATTATTAGACATGAGTAATTAAAAGTCATTTTGTAACGATTATAAAAAAAAAACCAAAATCTTCCTTCTAATAAACAGTAAACATTTTTTATAGTCATATATACATCATTTTTAACACAAGTTGATTTTGTTTATACAGGTGGACAACAAGTTAATGGTAATGATAATAAACCTGACGTCAAACCAGGTATAAAAGCAACTATGTTATTCTTAACATAATAACAACCTTATATTCCTAAAATAAATTATACTTCTAATAATTTCAAATAGCTAAACTTTGTCTCAGATTTTTTTTGTCATGCAGAGCTTGTTCTATGGGCCATTATTTGGAAAATGTATCAGGAATTCCTATCCAAAGATCAATGAAAATTTCCAATTTAAGAAGTGCAAATTCCAAACATAAGCTTTCTGAAATTTTTCGTGTCAAAGTAAATAAATATTATCGTAATTTAAAATCAATTTCGAATACAAAGCTGGATTTCATATCCAATGGAGCAATTTTATAAAAAAAAAACATGAAGTATGCCCTGTGTCATATTGTCCTTATTTCTCTGGTATTATGTTGACAATTTTGTAACTATTTCAGCTGCCCCCATCAATCAGAGTATGAATAAACCACAGAGTAATTACATGAACGGTTCTATGACTAATAACAATAAACCTGGTTATAGTATCAAAGGTGGTGGAAATGCTAACACAGCTAGTCCTTCATCTACCAGAGTACATGCTATAGCCAGTCTGACACCATATCAAAATAGGTAGGCATTCATTTCTGGTAATATTTATTCTACTACTTCATAAGGTTGGAAAATACCACATCTTCACAATGTCAGACTGTAACGAACTTTATATTATACGTTGACTTCAATAACCACTTTTCTTGTATCATGGAATGCAGTGATCTGATTATATCGTGCATGCAGCTAATCATATGCCTCGACAGAATGTAAACGTCATGGCTTTTATACAGACTTTCTGTCGAGGACCGCTTGCTGTATGCACTAAAGTAACTGAAATTAAATTGCTACATTAGCAAACATGGGTGATACAAGAAAAGTGGCTATTACTGTCAATGTGAAGATTAGATGGAATATCCAGTGCTCATACCTTTAGTTAATGTCTGGTCCAAAAAAAGCATCGACAGACATTTCAAATCTTTATTTAAAAGCATTGGTCCAAGTAGTATGCAAGCAATATTTTGTTAATCAACATTCATTTCAGTTAAAAAAAATCTTTCTTTTGTCAAGAGTTTGATATATTGATTATTGTAGATGGCGTATTCGAGCGAGAGTAACACAGAAATCAGCAGTTAAAACATGGAGTAATTCAAGAGGGGAAGGAAAGTTATTCAGTATCAATCTATTAGATGAATCAGGGGAGATAAGAGCTACAGGTTTTAATGATGCCGTAGATAAGTTCTATGATATGCTTGAAGTCAATAAGGTATGAATGAAGGCTTTAAAACCGGATTGTATTTGACAATTATGTCTAGATGTGATCTTTATTTATTGAATTTGGTGTGTAGGTGTATATCCACTGGATCTAGGTCAATTTAGAATTTGGGTACAATTTAACACATAGTGAAAGAGTGCGGTATACTGGAAATTTATTGGGTGAGTGGGTGTGTACCATGCTTGCCGAGTGTTAGTACTCTTAGTTAAGAAAAATCATATAAGCTTTTCTGTGTGGTCTCTCAAGTAATTTTTTTTTTCAGGTATATTATGTCAGTCGAGCCACATTAAAAACAGCTAATAAACAATATTCTAACGTGAACAATGATTATGAGATGACCTTTAACCCTGATACTAATATTGAAGTCTGTACAGAAGATACTGATTTACCAACCATGACTTTTGATTTTGTATCAATATCAGAACTAGATAAACATCAACCTAACAGTATGATAGGTAATAAAAAATGAAATTTATACATGTGCATTATATTTTTGTTGTGGTTGATAAATACTTCTTGAGAATTTAAATTGTACAGACCACCAAATTGAATTTTTCATTTTTAGTAAGAGTGGAATTTGACATAATATCACAGTAACAAGTTACTTTCATTGTTATAGTGCTCAATATATCAATTGTAATTCTTAAAAAGCAACATGTAGGCTTATGGTATTGAATTTTTGTTAACCCAGCATATCAAGATCACTCTTTTAGATCACCTGATTTGACTCTATTGTGGTCTTCTTAACTGAATCTTCTATTTGTAATCTGATGATATGTTGAATGGTTCCCAATGTTTTATTTTAAGAGGTCTTCTAAATCACAGACATCTGACAGAAAATTAGAATGATTCAAGTGGATATTATCCATGTCCCTGATACACATAAAAAGTTTACAAAATGCCTCTTTAATCCCTTATTAAATATTGTTTTACAGATATTATTGGAGTAGTTAACAAATGTGGAGAAGTTGGTACAGTTGTTGGTAGACAGAGTCAGAAAGAAATAACCAAGCGTGATTTAACAATAGTGGATCAATCTGGTGTCAGTGTAAACGTTACATTATGGGGAAGTGATGTAAGTAACATTTATTTTTTATTTTGACAAATGAAAACCTCAGGATCACAGTCAGATGCAGAAAAGTAGGATGTAAAACTCCATTTTATATACACTTTGAGCCTTGTGATCAACACCACCAGTTTTGCTAGCACAAGTTGTCTCAATTTGTAATATTTGGTAGATTAGACCAAATCTTGTTTAATTATCGAGGTTATAAGGTCATGACATCTAAATTTAATGTTAATTCATAATGCATATAATGTAAATTATGAATGATTGCATTATTTAGGCAGCTCAGTTTAATGGTGATGGAAATCCAGTTGTTGCAGTGAAAGGTGCCAGATTGTCTGATTATGGTGGTAAGTGATTGAAAATATATTATGTTCATTATTAGTATTAGTTTATATACTATAGTATATTTGCTGGTAATAGGACATTCAGTATTACATGGTAAAATGTAGTATACAGTTAAAATCAATGGGGCATTTTGGAGAGGTCAACTAGTAAAGTCTGTCTTAGTTTTAAGGAGATTATTATGAACTTTTTTTCAATTGTATTGCCATTATCAGTCTTAGCCTGCCAGTCCGCCAATGAAGCCTGCTTGCCATAAGTATAGATAGACATTGTCTGTTTGCTATTTTAGGACGTTCATTATCTGTACTTGCCAGTAGTCAGATGATATTAAATCCTGATACAAGAGAGAGTCATTTCTTACGAGGATGGTATGATAGAGAGGGACAGAGTATGAACTTTGATAGATTTACCAGTGATAATGCATCAGGTGGAGGTAAGATGTCTTTCATGTCATGCAAAATGGGACTCATTTTTCAGAAAGAATTGTGCACTTCCTGAAGAAATCAGATAATTGTGCCTATTTGTTTCCTCATAATGATAATAGGCAAAAGCCTAGGTCCTAATTTAGGGAAACTGGAGCCCTATTCCTCAATAATTCTTTTAGAATTTTTAATTAATGTAGAACTTTTCAATTAGTAATTTATTACCTTTTTGATTTTTTTAGAAAAAGAACCCTGTTCTTCATTCAAATTTATATTTTATGAGTTATAGACTATAGCCCTGAAAATATTATGCTTTTGTAGGTGGTGGAACAAACTGGAAGAATTTCTCTCAAGTGAAAAGTGAGAACTTGGGTCAATCGGGAAAAGCTGATTTCTTTACAACTAAAGCTACAATTGTTTATATGAAAAAAGAAAATTGCATGTATCAGGTATGTCATGGGAACTTTACGCACCAAGCTGTTTTAATGTGTCATCGATCTTCATTGGGACCAGACTACGATAAAATGTGTCCATTTACATTGCAGCCAATTCAGCTGGTCTGAAAACATTTCTTAAATTACAGTGCAAATGCAACCATTCTTGGCATGAATATTTTTCTGAAACTCTTCTTCGAAAAGGTTAAATTAGTCCTTGTAGTCATCTGGATGTAAACAATGTACTGAAATTCTGCCAAAAAGGTTAGGGCCTCTTCTAAGGCAAAAGGAGTTAACAGTTCTCAGAAGACCATCTTATCAATGTAAGTCAGAATTGGAACATTTCTCAGATTGCTTGCCTGTTGACATTACGTAACATTACATGAAATTTGAGTATTTAAGATAATTATGGTTTACTCTATTTATAGGCATGTCCTACAGATCAGTGTAATAAAAAGGTGGTAGACCAAGGTAATGGTTTATACAGATGTGAAAAATGTAGCAAAGAATTCCCTAATTATAAATGGAGAATGATTTTAAGTGTAAGTTAATAATCCATGTTTTATTTATCTCTCATTAAAATCCTTGGAACTCTTGTCTGTATGTCATTGCTGCTGTCATCTCTCATTGAAAACTTTGGAACTATGTCTGCCTGGCATCTTTTACAGTCATTTATTTTAGTTACATTCCACAAAATTGTGATTTTTTTTGCATTTGGTAAAAAATTTGAAGTCAATTTAAAAGCATTTAAGTTCTTTATGAAATATCTTATCACTATTTTGATTATTCTCTAGGCAAACTTGGCTGATTTTTGTGATAATCAGTGGATTACAATGTTTCAAGAATCAGCAGAATCTGTATTGGGAGAAAAGGCTGATATTATTGGTAATATGAGAGAACAGGTATGGGTCAGATCATGTCAATTAAATTTAGTGTTAGATTAAAAACCCAAGCACTTAGCATCTAAACAGCAAAAGGAACCCCGAAATCCAACATAACATTGAAAATATATTGGTAGCCACTAATAATGCTTTTCATAAGGAATATCATTCATAAATCAGGAAGTATTTCATAATGAAAAGTGGTATCAGGTATCTAGAGGAATAAGCATACCTTGCCTGGTTCTACACCTGTCAGGCTAAGTAACAATGTGCATAATTAAACTTAATGGTTCTCTTGTACAGTTCTGTTTCTCTGTGGCAGTAGCCCATTTACAGTTGAAAATAGTAGTAGGCTGATTCTACTGTCCTGGGAATTGCATGGTGTTTTGTTTTTTGATGCTTTGAAATGTTCAAATTAGTTCTCAAATTTAAAGGAAGGAAAAATACTCTGTAATTGTGTTGAAGGAATTAAATATGTTTATTATCTTTTCAGAATGAAAACCAGTTTGACATGTTGTTTCAAAATGCATTATTTAAATCTTATGTATTTAAACTGAGGGCTAAAGTGGAAACATACAATGTAAGTTAAACTCTTCTTAATAAATGGATTTGATTAAAGTAAAGAAAAGAATCAGTGACCAAGCTCCAAGCAGAATAGTTGATTCATTGACGTCAGTGGTGCGGCAGAAATTTTGTTGGGGGGAAATTTTGAAAAGAGGGATATCAGACATGACTAGGTAATGGGGTTTGTGTCAACTGTTATGTTGAATAGATGTGTTTAAAATGATTTTTTTTCTGATTGCAGGATGAAAATCGATTGAAAACAGTATGTATGTCAGCTACACCAATGGACTGGGTTGAATATGGAAATCATTTGGTTCAAGATATAAATAAACTTACTTCCTAAAAACATGGATGATACTAACTTGTAATTTGATTTATTGTGATCACAATCTCTTATTTCTTCAATGATGGTCAAGTGTGTTAGATCAACAAAGACTATCTAAAGATATGGATGCAATAGCATATATTTTGTAAAATTCCATTCCATTTCAATACTTCAAGAATGATGAGAGTTAAGCAAGAGTCAGATAACAAACTAAATTTATGCATTCTCGTCAAAAGGACAAGGACAAAAGCCTATCAGCATAAAAAAAAAACTGGCTGAAAATCATTATTTTTGTTTTTGCATGTAAATATTGGTGTCTTCAGTTAAACTATAATTTTTCAAAAAATGGAAATTATGAATAACAATTTGTAGAATGTAAGTACTACTTATATTGATAGTGCAAAAAAGTGCTGTTATATAAAAGAAAAAAAGTGGAAATAGTGTTTTTTTTTATTACAATCTTTACCAACCTATTTTATTGACTACTCAAGACCCTTATGAATTTGCCTTTCTGTGATTTCTAATAAAGGCCAGAGAGAATTTCACCCTTATAAAGATGTTATTTAATCATGAAAAAAGGGCATATTCACTCTATGACAAAATGTAAAAAAATAATGAACACCTCCATTAAAAGTGGACAAAAAATATTGGCATAATCTCCATTGTTGCACACTGCATGGCATTCTCAACTCTAGTGGAATCAGAAACAGGAAAAAGGAGTGTTAATGTTTGCACATCTTCTATTACGATATTCTATTTTATACGAAATACCCTCCACCTTTGGGACTTCAACCACCATTCCTTTCTTAGATAATCAAATACAAGTACCAGCACTTTAATTAACAAAAGAAAACAACAAATGGTATGGCTATAGAGGCACACAAATTTCAACTCTTAGGAGCATTGGGAATTTCATCTCCACATTGCAAGTTTTTGGATATTTGTTCTAAGTCTTTAGCAACTCCTTTCACTACTTTAGATATTTCTGATTTAGACATTGGTTTGAATTTTTCTGATCCAGGCATTTGACGTCTGATTGCATCTTGTTCCAATAAGATTTGAACTTTTTCATCAACCTTGCGACACTCCTCACTCCTTTCTTGAATTCGAGCTATTTTAGCTTTCTTGAGTTTCTGCAACAGAAGAATTGTTGTTTTAAAAAAAAATTACGTCTACCTGAACAGGTTTTCTTCTCATCTGAACAGGTTTATTTGATACTTTTAAATGAACATTCTGCTTTTTTGAAGGTTCAAATTTGTGAAAACTATACACAAAAATCTAGAAAAATGTATCTTGTAATGTTTTACGGTTTAATTAAAAATTGGTACTCTCTGTTTTTAATTAACCCTTTTAGACAAATTCAGTTTGATCAAGTACATACATAGATATGAATAGCATACTTTAGAAATATTTTCAGGTTTAATTTATTATTTATTTATTATAATGAAAATATTTTACAAAAAAAGCTGAATACCCCTTTAAAGCATATCAAACAAAATCACAGAATTTTTGTTGAGTAGGGCTCTGTATATAGTTTGACAACATTTCACTATTGGTAGCTACTTCCAAGCTTACAGTTTAGTCAATGATAATAAATAACTCATGTCTTCAGATGTTGAAAAGGGCCTTTTAATCCCCCTATTAACTAATAGTAGGCCAAATACTTGTGACTGTGTTGTCAATCAATAAGATAAATAAATTAGCCCATTCCCAGCCATTTAAAAAAAATGGATTGAATTAAAACATGAAGAAAATTCATTTGACCAGGTAGCAAGGTGAATTACTCTTTATCAGCTTCTAAATCTGACCAATTTCTATGAAAGATAGTGGACTGTCTTTCTGTAGTGGTTTAGGGAGCCAGACACTGGTTGGCATTGGCAGTAGTGAGTTGGTATGTTGACTAAGCTTTGGGGATTTTTCTGCTAACATTTGACTATGATTTATCTGCCAACAGGGTCCACTAATTAGTATCCGCAGCAAATTAATTCTACTGATTGAGAAAGAAAAAAAAGATTGCACCTCTTTTCTTTCAAAAGCTTCTTTCTGTTTTCTCTCTAAATCTTCTCTCGTCAAACTTTTCTTTTCACTTTGTGAAGTGCGACTGACAAATTTGGGCAGATTCTTACTATTCTTTGGCTTTGTGTCATCTTTTTCATTAAAGTTTATCACGAACGATGCGCTGAGCCTTTCAACTTCAGTTTTGGTGGATTTCTCCATTCATAAAAAGTAAGCAAAACTAAACTTTGGGTTTCATAGGTTTCATTTGGTTTCATAGGTAAACAACGGCAACTTTGTATCGTATATGTGAGTTATTCCCCTTAGTAAGTTTGTTTATTTACAGATGGCACTTTATTCAATGTGTTCGATTTAACGTGCTGAATATTCTTATTTCATCGATTTCGATTTTAATTTTTGCTGATCTAACCTTTATCGTAGGTAACCCCACATACATTAGACATAATGATTAGGTTTGAACTCAACCAACAATACAAAATTAATGTTCATTTTTGTGTGTTGTACTACTCATCCGTCGAGTAACGATAATAATTTTGAACGCACCCTATTTACTAATTTACCTTACACGTGCTATTTGTGACATTCAGCGAAAATTCGTCTGCATTTGTGAGTCATTATTTACTTATTCTACAGTCTTGTCTGTTTATTTTTGTGGTTAGTCGCCAAGTTGTCAAAATTACAAGTAAAGGAGAATCTAGAGAAGATAGTGATGTTTTTAGAGACACCTGGGTGAGGTATTTGGGTAAGTTACTGCTAATACTAGGCCATATCAATATCATCGTGTAGTTTGGTTTGATATTTGTGTTGTTAATGCGTGCCTGAGGTCAGTTCTGGCCATAAAATATTATTATTGGGTTTAATTGTTGGCATATTGTCAACTCTACCATTTAATTACACAATAATCATACGAGTTGGGCCTACATAAGCACCAACTGTTCAAGGCTGACCTACCATTCATCCCCTAAAGGACTTGAAGAGGTTTTCTGGCCTTTGTTTAATTCCAATCCAACTTCCAACTACTACGACTACCATAAACTAGGCCTAACTAGTTGAGGTATGACCTAGTTTGCGATAGCAGCTTTTAAACGCTGGAAACGAACGTTAACATGTCATCTACCAGCCAACCAACCTTTGTTATGAATTTTAGTGTATCTAGGACACCTAAAGCACCCATTTACACTATTTAGATTTTCCATCTGTTCTGTGGTTCCCGTTTCAAAGTTTTCTTTAGACGTAATGATTTGCTTGTAGGTTATTCAAATGAAGTTGGTGAAGCCTTTAGGTCATTGGTCAATGTTAAACTGGTGTATTTAAGTTATGGATTGGCTTCTTCCTACGTCTTAGCCGATTCTATCCATAAAGGATATGCAGAGTACCAGGTATACTGTGCTATTCTTTTTACTTTCTCTATATTATTTTGTTTACTTTACAGGTAACTGACTTTGATTGTCACAATACAAACCTAGCAAAGTTATGCGAAATAGTGCAATTCATTCAATGGCGTTTCTACGCCACTGAATTCATTATGTATTGTAAACCAGTTTGTCAAAGTGAACGAATGAGTCTTTGTTATTCGACATTAATAGAAGTAACTTTTATGATAAATGATAGACAAACTCATTTGCAAAAAGGCGTTGACATGTTAATGTGACATAAGTTAAACACTAAGTAAAGAACTGTGAAGAGGTGTGCATATTCATAGCTATAAATACGATAGCATTGAGAGAAGAATTCCATTTGTCTGATCGGTAATGTATTTAAACTTTTCAGAAAAAAGGAACAGAACACAGAACAAAGAGAGTGGCTATTGCTGCTGGGGATTGTTTAGTTTGGCAAGGATTTGCTTCTGTTGTTATACCAGGCTTTATTATTAACAGAATTTGCACATTCACAGGCATTGCCTTAAAGAAAGGGACGCAACTCGGAGGTCCTGTCAGGCATTGGACAACAACGATCATAGGACTGATGTTCATTCCATTTATCATTAAGCCAATCGACCACAGTGTTGAAATAGGAATGGATAAAACCATCAGGAAATTATACCCCATTAGCAAAAGTGATTCCAGTTCTTGACCATAAAATCATGAAGTAAATTATATACTAAACTGACAGGCAAAAGAAAGTTTTCACCGACTTCATTTGACCACACACCAAAGACAAAGGCATATGTGAGATGATGATTGATTTATAAACAGAAATCAATTTCCTTGAATTAGAACGAAAATGCATTGTAATACCTATATTCAATTCTCCGCAATACACAAAGGAAGAGTCAAGGGGTCAAAATTAAAAATTACACAAACCAGAATTCATTGCAAAAGTGCATAAAGAGTTCATTCCATGACAGTGGTCAGGCAAAACTTCATCAATAACGAGTGTGGTCACCCTGGGCAAACATGCACGCAAACACACGCCTCCTCATTGACGTCGTCAGGCGGCGGATAACGTCAACAGGAATCCTGTTCCATAAGTTCAATAGAGTCTGTTCAAGTTCCTGTCTGTTCAGTGAAGGCGGTACATGTTGTCTCAGCTGACGATCAAGATGATCCCAGAGATGTTCAATGGGGTTCATGTCTGGAGAACAAGGTGGCCAGGGCAATACTTCGACGTTGGTATCGTTCCTGAACAGACAGAACCGACTTTCATCTGTAAAGAGCACCTTCGCTCAGTCACGTCGCTGCCACCGACGTTCAGTTCGTGCGCATTGCAGTCTGGGTTGACGATGTAGACGGGTCATCGCCATCTCACGGAAGGGTCGGTAGGCAACTGAAAGAAGTCTTCGAAGGACTGTTCGTCTGCTGATGACATGTCCTAGTGCTGTTGCTGCCATCGACGCCGCCATCACCTATCTGTTTCGAATATGAATCCTCCGGATGTAGCGGTCGTCGGCGGGTGTTGTCTCTATCGATCTTTCCGATGTCCGAGGTCTTGGGTCTGTCCTGTCTGTTGGGGGCCGAATTATCAAATTGCTGATGGTGGTCTGGGAGCATTTGAAGGTTCTAGCTATCTGTCGTTGAAAAGCCCCCATACTGGCCATACCGATCGCTCTATCTCGTTGCGCTTGCTTAAGTCTTGGCATACTTTTGGTGGTTTTTACCTTACTGAATGCCTGTTCTGTCCAACTTCGGTATTTATGCCGAAATCGTGCACGTGTGTTTGGACCAATGTCCCAAAATCGCGTTTTGTACGTTTTTATGCATGCACGATTTGGAAAGTTGCGTTCGATAATCTGTGTTGTGGTTATGATAACGTTGCATTAAGGCAAATATTTGCTGCTGGGGTTCAAACATGTACTAGCTTTTTTGCTTTTTATACAACGATTTTTAAAGTGAAAACTTTCTTTTGCCTGTCAGTTAATAAATAAAGGGGGGCTCAGATCGACTTGAGATTTAAAACATCCCATAGTATCCGTTGCAGTCGACATGAGTAAAAAAGAACTGTAATCAACTGGATGGTCGCAAAATCCGAATGCTTACGTCGACGATAAGATCAAGTTTTTTGTGAAATGTAGAACTTGAATAACTGATGTCGACTGTCCCAATTTGTACTCTGAGTCTATGACGCCGGTCGTTGAAAATCCAGTTTCTCTCAGATTCCGACAGTCACATAGTCGAACTGAACCCCCACTTTTGCAAGAGTATTTATTATTCTTCACTATGGAACATCTTCCTATTTATAGCATATCAATTTCAGGGTTTTATTTTCTATTCCTTATATTCTATTAGTGTGATAAAGTGATGTATTATAGATTTTTGTAAATAGTAACAAATAATATATTAAATCTTCTAATAAAGCTATTACATTGTTTTATTTATATCAAAATCTCTCAACATTCACCAAGAGCAAGGCGTAAAACCACCGCCATTCATCCAAATACCTTTACAATTTCATACTTCACGGTTGTTTCTTACAGGAATGTTATAAATGGTAAAGTTTTATTTGATCTTATTAAAGAATTGTCTTGTTCAATCAACAATCTGCAGTCACTCTATTTTTGAATAGACATTGTCTGTCTGTGGAAGACAAGTTCTGCAGAAATATAACCTAAGAATCCAAATAAAGACACACCAATTGCTATATACAGTCGTGTTTTAAGACACAGAAATGTACCGAGTACAAATGTTGCAGTGAAAGCCAACGCCTTTGACGTATGATAGTTAGCAAAAGCTGAATCCAGTTTTTCTTCGAACATGATGCTCACCAGCGCTGCAAGAAATAATAAATGGCGTTAGTTTGGGATAATAAAGGCAGCAGTTTTTAGAAGTATATATGTGAAATAATTTAACCAAAGAAATAACCTAAACTTAAAAAATCACGAAGCCAATGGTTTTGATGGAATGATGGTGCACAAAAATATACGAACATCGAGGAATACCCTGAGAAGCATATTTAATGAATATTTCATAAAGGCAGCGTTTTACTTACAGTTAAACTGGGCTTGCAATATAGCTTCAGCAACTCCCCAAACTGTCGGAACAATGTAAAAGAAAGCTGGGTGATCGGGGCTAGGATTCCAATACAGCAGCGCTATTGGCATTGCGGCGTCTATTATATTGCCTACGATAAAGAGGGAATATCTTCCAGTATATTTTGCCATACGACTAACAAACAGAGCCAGAACAGCAGTAGTCCCACCATAACTCGCCATTATAAAACCAACCATTGAAATACCAAGAGAGCAACTTATAAATGCCTGGAAGGAAAATGAACACATTTTATAGTGAAACCGTTCTCCTCCAATTTTCAACCCCACATTTTGTGAAAATAAGAAAAGACATTGGAGAATATATCTAGTGTATAGGACTATGTTATGGTTGTGGACGTGAAAGATTTTTTTGACAGTTGTAAAGGTGTTGAACGACGCCGCTCTCTTGATGTATACGGTATTCCAGTGAAAACATTGTCATTTGAAAAGATCATCTATGTAATTAGATGGATGCTAGGCCCTGTGGGTTTCCACATCGAGTATAAGATAAAGGTACGTGAAAGCCCTAACCTGTGTGTAATCAGCGAACAGAATACCAAGAGTCATTGCATTAGACATAAATGTTGGTATGAGAAGTAACATCTTTTTGTCCACCATAGTAGTGCAGCAAGATACCACTGAATTGGATATTGGTTTGTCCTGAGATGCTTTCATTTTTAATTCCGGTAAAAAGAAAAACGTCAAACACAATCCTACTAAGTCACACGCTAGAAATATTCCCAATAAGATGTATATCACATTTTGATCTGGTTTTTCGATGACACTCGTTACATTAGAGGCAGTAGCACAGAATTCAGCCCCACAAGATATCGCTGTGTTATTGTTTTCGACGGAAGACGATTTGCTTAAAACTAATGATGAAATGAGATTTCCAATTATTTGTGTAGCTTCATAACAAGTAAAAAAGATACCGTTCAATTTACTTAACGCTGAATGAAAATTTTCGTTGATTAACTTGGAATATGCATTTCCATTTGCAGTCAGGTACAATCCTTGAGATGTCCACATAGGTCCAGCAATTCCACCAAGAAGCACTGATGAAGGAATTAGAGTAGCCCATGAAGGATAGAAGTTACTCCCAACATACACAGTATGTATAATCCAAGCTATCACTAATGATCGTTTGGCACCAACTATTTTGATAAAGGACGGTGCCAATATTCCCGATAATATAATGGTACCATACAAACAAGACAATGCAACTACCCCTAAGGATCCTTCTTCATTTAAACTGCTCTGGAGGTTTTGTATAGCGAGATAGGACGTGTATATAGCTAGAAAAGAAAACGAAAGCACCAGCGTGTCTTTCAAAGGTCTTTTTACTTCATTTTCATCCCTTGAATCTGTGTTTAATGCCACTGACGTTTCGTTGCACATTTTGATTTTAGGTGAATAAAACATCTACTCCACATCCACTTTGAAATTATAATTTGTACTTCCAGCACTACAATAAAAAATAAGGTTATCGATGAAAAGATATCAATATGCTCTACTTTCTGTTGTTAAATAATGATTCCTTGAGTGGCATTTAGTAATTGATGATATTAACACGAACACAATTATATGGATAACAATTACTTTAATAAATAACTTGCGACGTTTCGACGATGATTCTTTCGTCTTAGTTATCATGTTCACTATGTCAATCTATTACAAACTGCGTCTGCACTGCACTGCATCAGCCACCTTTCTTCTATCATGGATGTTTGATTGGGTTGTAGGCCTACGTTAGCGAATAAAGCCAATCGAAGAAAGACGACTTTTGAAGCGTTTTTAGCCGTATTCGATAACGTACAATCCAATCAAATCGTTGCAATTCCGTGATACAAGAATGGTGACTATTGAGGTCCAGATATTGGACTCAGCATGACAAGTTACACCCACAAACTGATTTCCATACCTCAGTTTAAGTAAAATGTGTCTGTTGAAGACTGTTTCCCAGGACCCAATAACGGATTAGTTGTCACTCCTTGTCCACATGAGAAGCATCTGATTGTTTACGGTACATTATTGATTCAGTATATTTCAAATATATTACAAACAAATTTGACCTTCTTTATCATTATCTAAACATGAATTTTGAACATAAGATGAAATTTGTTTTATCCACACGAAATCGACTTGAGAGGTTTGGGTATTAATTTCGGTTTGATGTCAGTATCTCATATCTCAATGATGATGCAAATAATGTGGTGTACAACAAGCTGGGTCTTCAGAAGCATTGCTCATACAAACTTATCTTGTAGCAAGTCTTAATTTGCCTCACTGAGATTGTTGGCTTCCATACGAAACTGCGCGCCTTGTATATAGAGCTATAATACAATATTAGTCTCGAATGTGCTGAAGTTTGAAGATCATGTAATACTTAACTAAACCATGTTACTCAGAGTTTCACGCCGTGCAATCTTCAGGCAACTGACCAATTTTAGCCTACGTTCTACTGCAGTTGGTTAAGAAAAATTCCTTTTTCCTGCCTGCACTTTTAGACTTTTAGATACGGCTGTTGTTTTTACATTGAAAGTTGAACCAATACTTAAGTCCTATAATTCTTAATCAACAATCGGTAGATTATAATGTATACATCACCTGTTGCATCAAGGGTTATAGATGTCTAAGACTCTTGATACCTTTATTAAACCACGACGGTAGTTTATTGGATCTTAAACCTATTCATTTCAGACTATGAGTTCATTCCATAGAAAATTAACATAGAATAATATATATTACTTTTACTCTTGAATAGTGTTGCCTCCAACAGCCGGTCGTTTTTGTATAATTATGTTTATATGTCAAACATTTCAATATATGACTTGCTATATTTAAATACATGTAAGTATAAAAACTGTAACTCTGTCAGATATTTTTAGATTACAGTTTCGTTATATAATGCAGTACACATAATTATTGCGGAAATAAATTGGAAATAAAGACAAGATCCTTGTCAATTAGACTGTATGCAAACTTAATAATATGGTTATCATTGAAAACCATGCAGATGTCAATTTAACTATAATGGTTAGGCCTAAGTATCTTATATAATGTTTCGCTTGTATGCAAATACATGTTATATAAATATTTTTATTTAACTTTTTTTTTAAGTTTGGACTACCTAGTAAGAGTCGTACGAGTGTGTACTGAAGAAGTGTCCGTAAAATACCACAGCCACGTGAAGCCATGGTATTGAGAGCTAAGGATTGATGGCGTATATAATCTTAAGTTACAATTTAGAATACCATTAGCATACGATTTGGCCAAAATCCCGTCCAAACTTGCTTTCTATGATCTGATGGTGCATCTTTGACAGTTGTTAGCTCACAACCAACGGACAGAAATACGATACTTGCAGAATATATGCATGGCATATTGTGTCGATAAAGAAAACTCCGTTAATTAAAAACCGAATGCAAACCTGCAAGCTGTTGAGTTGAGATGAAAATTTGATAACAAAAATAGAACATTTCCATATAGATGCTCCCTTTCTATGCAGTCTAATACTCGTATCCCTTATTATCTTATTTGATACACCCACGAGCATAAAATTATATTCATCGAATGGTTATATAAGATTTTAAATTTAAAATTTATATGGAGAATACAGAATTCCACCTACCTTTGCACCGATATAACCACAGCGTTATAAATAGCACATTAACTTGCCGTGTTTCTTAATGTAATGATAAAGCATTTTTATTAAACATAATGTAGGCCTACATCGATAAACTTTATCACCACATAGTATCGTATACGTAAATATTGATTCATATCGGTGGACTTTTGAAACACGTGTTAACTTTTGTATGACCACACCACAGTAGACTGTTAAATGCCTTTATATAAAATTATTCTTGATCATTAATGTGCATCTCACGAAGAACGAAATACATAGAGCAATACAACGTTCCATTTTATATAGATCTTTGGAGATTAATGGTGATTTCATAGTAATGGTGGATTTTTATTTTTGCACCTTTTTGTTAACTGCGACATTTGCAAGCCTATTTTAATGCCATGCTTAATTTTTTTTCATAGTTTACAACCTCGTAACGCATAGATTAGATAAGAAAGTCCTATTTCTAAAAGAAACTCTTTGGATAACACCATATGAAACAACGTATTGGTAGTATTGGTAGTATTGGTAGAAATATCGCACACAAACGTAGCTAACTACCATTTTGAATCACTTACTCGACTTAATCAAAACCCTATTATGTTATTATACATAATATAATTGCACTTAATAAGTCGGATTTTGAAAAGGCTTCAATATTTCAACTAAGTCTTCAAAGCATATTTCAAGGTTTAAGAAATGACTTTAAATGAGATTTGAAGGCATTGTTGAAATATCAAAGTCGAATAATGATTAAAAATGGCTGTGAACTACGTTCGTGTCTGTTATTTCCATGTAATAACCATACGTTGTGGATGGCATGTGTCCTAAGTATGTAATTTTACATTTCGGTTGTGGATGGCATGTGTCCTAAGTATGTAATTTTACATTTCGGTTTTAACCAATCAAACTTCTACCCTCTCCACCTCTGGCATTTATGACGCTGTGTTTATCAGGTTAACTAGGTCTTAAGACCGAAACTGAGAATTAAAAGCTAATTAAGAAACGGAACGAAAGTTTGGTCTAAATTTAAGTAGACTTCTATAAAAGGAACGATAATTATGCTCATGCAGCTGTAAATTTTCAAAAAAACACAAGAACATCATTCTTTCCTTTATGATAATATTGTCCCAGCCTCGACAAGATCATCTATTAACCTGAAAGCTCTGATTCAACTTCAAAATATCCTTTTAGTTTAGCTCTCATTAGATGAGTGAGCTACTACGATAGTGTTTCTACCAGGGCAAGACATGTTCATATGATCAAGCACAAGAGAACGGAGCTGCTCGGCATACGGATTGTAATTTAACTACTGTCTTTTTAACAATCGTGTTCATGTCAACCCATGTTACAACAAAATGACAATATTTAATTCAACAAAACCATATACAAACTGTCCCATGCAAATTCACAACAATTAAAAATGCATACATTTATAACATTATTTGAAGAAACACTAGATATCGAGTGGATCAAAAAAAAACATAACATGCACTTTTCATTTGAGGATTTTCATAAAGTATCAAAGATAAGATCATAATATTTTAAACTCTCAATTAGCTATATATAAGACACATTTTAACAAAAAATTCTTTCTCGAAATTAAAGTGAAATTACAAAAATACTTTCGGTATTGAAATTTGTGCCAAAGAATTTAAAAATGTTGTCATTTCAAAGTGTTTTAAACAAGAAGCGGACATTTTGTGAGAACATGTCTGATATATATCTTATTATGAGGTTAGAATGTCATGACTATAGCTTTGGTAGTTTACGATTAATCCTGTAACAAAAAGATTATGGTTTTTTTCTGGACCACCCGATATATGGTAATACTCTTTCTGATATTTGGGACATGATAATGCAATATTTATAATGTAACAACAGAGACAGATCGACATGAAATACCAAATACATGTATAGACATAGAAAGAGAGGTAATTCAAAATGAGTTAAAGCTTGCAAGATACATGTACACTAAAAATTGGCCTATATATATTTATAGAGAAGTAATGTGGTGGTTTTTTCAACAAGGTTAATACATGGGGAAATTGAATTGTTCAGATATTGTTCTACTCTTTGCTAAAATATATAATGTAAGCTTTGCTTGCTCGCATTGAAATGTGAACATAAACATGTAAAAATACCAGAAAGTTGCATATCATTGTGTCTTATGAGAAAGGAAATGAACTCTTAAATTTGTGCACGATCGGCAGCTCACATAGAGAACTTCTTCAGCATCTCTGATGTTCCTTTTCTACACGTCGCTGCTCTGTAATTTTCCTTTTCTTAAATATGCCATGGATTGGACTGATCAGACATATAATTGTTCGTGTAATGAAGAACTGCACCAAATCGCCAGCACTTAGAAAAAGACAATTAAATGCTCATTCGCACAAGTAACTGCTTTTCATAAAATTCATTAAAGTAGTTCAAATCACAATAAGTAGTTTACTCAACCAACATATTCTCATAAATGCTCATTTTAGATGACGACTGTTGTTCGAAGGTCATTGGACGTTTTGCAGAAGGGTATTGTAATGGGGTAGGTTCGGGTAGTTCGTCTGACTCCATGTGGTGCACCGGAAGTTGACGCCATGTTTTCTGATCACCTGAGTTGCTGAGTATTGATGTCGAAGAAACAGTATTGTCATAATCCTCATTTCCCAATAATCTAGTTTGTGATAAGTCCATTATTGGGCCTCTTAATTGAGTAGATTGTCCGTAAGAACCTGTACCCATTTGGTTTTGAGTTGTGTGACCACTTGAGGAGTATGAGTAAGAAGAAGCATCGGACGTACGTTGATGTGATTGAATACCCGGAAGATTTGAAACGGTCTTGTTTGGCAACGTTGCCGAATAGTACCTAGCTTCAACTGGGAACTTGGGAGACGAGTCGTAGGGATTAGGATTAGAATAATGTGAGAACATTTGACTTTGGTTAGCACTGTTTGATGGCAACGACGAGTATGGTGATTTCACTGGATACGAAGCTTCTGATCGGTATTGTTGTCGCAGCGAGTCAACTTTATCAGCCTGTGTGATATAGGCACCGGGAGTAATGGTCGCCGGTTGTGGTTGCTGGTGAAGTTGCTGGTGTGGTTGTTGAGATGGCTGCGGACTGCGTACATTGTATATATTTTGTTGCTTCTCGGGTGTACTTGTTCTTTGACCAGTTGGGATGTAGGTTATGATATGCGGAGACGCTGGAAAAGCGGGGATATCTTGTATAACTGCTCTCTGTGGTTGATCTTGAACAAAAAACTCTTTATCTGCAACCTGTATATCTGGCGACATTGTAACCTTCTTATAGCCAGGTTTTCCATTGCGTCTTAAAGAAGATGGTTTCTCTGGGGTAATAAATCCATGGGGCTCTATTTCAATAGTTTCTGATGGCGGGATTGTTTCCTGCAAAAAGACAGGTTCAAACTGTTACTTGTTAAAGAAAAAAACATTTATTATGTGGTATTTTAAAAGTTTTTACATTAGCTAAACTTTTATTTTTCAGAACATTGTCGCTTGCAACACCGAATGCTGTCACACATCATACTATCTATATTATGCAATTTACATGAACCTTATCTTCTATTATCAACCATAAAAATGTAGTTACACAAAGGGAAAAGGGTGGCAAAGGGGTAAAATATTGGCTGGTTCAATTGCGGTTTGAAAAATTGTTTTCCCTGTCAGTTGACATGAAAAAAGGCGTCTAGTTTGTAATATCTCTTGAACCTTAGAAAAAGACAAAAGGATTTGGTTAATGAAGCCGTTCTAATAGTTTCTGTTCTTGTACAATTTCTTTTCCTTTTCTGGTTTATAAGAAAACTTACAGTTGTCTGCGTTTCTTGATCCCGAACATACCATATACAATATGCATGTAGACATAAGAACAGAAATATTAATAAACAACATCCACCTAGGCCCATAAAAACAGCACCAGCCGCAACTGCACCACTGAAATATATAAAGAAATAACACTAATGGAATTTTGCAATATTACACTATTCTAGTGAAATTTTACAATCAGTCATACAATATTTAAGTCATGTCATCTCGTGAAATACACCATGGGTGTTTACAACACATAAGCATGAAGCTTTAATAATCACAGTAACAATACTCAGCATCACTACTGGAATAAACAAACAGCATTAAAAAATCCATCTTCACAATATCAAGCTATTACGAACTTAAACTTTGACTGAAATAGCCACCTTTCTTGTATCATGGAATTTTTTTCCGAGGATTTGTTTGGATTTTTCGTTTAGAGCACTGTTGAAATTTAACAACCAATACTGGTAGTCTCATTATCAAACGTAGCCACCGAATGAACAACTCATCGACTTCGGCAACACTATTGAAATATACCTACTATAATACTGGTAGAATTAATAAACCTAGCCACCGAATGTAGCAATTTTTATGCACCTCGACATCACAAATAGAGAGAATTAAAGACGATTAGAAACAGAGTTTTCGCCCTTAATCTTGATGTTTTAAATGCTTTAGCATGTAAATTGTTCGTATTTGATCAAACTTGAGATACAAATCTAAAAGGATTTGTGATTTTGAGAATTTAGTGACAATTTGTGTTTTTTTTTTGTATTTAGTTACACATCTTACTCTTTTAACAGATTTTCATATAATTTGGTGGAGATTCTGCATGTCAAGTGGTCTAACAAACTTTTTATTCTCAAAACAGTATTATAAATAGGAAAACCAATTATACAATATCAGAATATACGTGAGCTCATTTGAGTGCAAAAAAAGAATAAAAATATCAACGCAAAAAAAATATTTTATTAGAAAATTGCAATAAAGTTATGAGTAGTGAGTGAGTGACGGTATTTATTCTTTCCGCTTCTATAATTGTATAGCTAATGCTGTTTCACGGGTCATAAAAAATGAAATGAATGGAGTTTTACGTCCTACTTTTCCCCACCTGAAGGCAGGCAACGCAAAACAGTGCACAATGAGGGAAATTTTGCCAGGACACCGGCATTAGCATACTCTTTTTCGATTTCCAACTGTCGGGGGATCTTTAACGTACAGAGCCTGTAGCATTGGGTTTATATACTTTATAAAATATATACTACATATTATGTTAAGGTCCTACTGCATTTCTTATCGTCAATTTCAGAAGTCTTAATATTTCCCTTATATTAGATTTGAATACAGAAAAGTAGAAATTCGGTGGAAACTGTAAACAATTTCAACATTTTTCAATCTCAATGTTCACCTTAAACAAATACTGTACACCCAAATACCGGTTACATTTTCAACAAGTTTGACGAACAATTCTTAAACTAGACTTGACAATTGGTCGAAATAACAACCGTCTTCTTTATTTCCTGAATAATACGATGTATTTTAGAGGAAACAAATTTCATTAAATCGTAGCACATATACAAAATTGATTTTTCCTGTTTGGTTTTCTTGATATTTTCGTCAATAAATGAAGAAAATTGTCCTGAAATGTCTCAGACATATTTTCTTTATCAAAAAACTGAAGAGAGGTAATATAGTCGAAGCCTTTTCCACCAATCCCCGAATTCATAATGTATATATTTGAATATTTGGGAATATAATTTGTTCACAAAAAATAAAAAATAAAACAGAGTCGAGATTCCAAGTTGGCCTACACTAGCGTCATGTTTTTTTCACAGTAGGCGTACACTGTTCATACGTACCTAATTATTATAGTACCCTATAATAATATGGTATGTTGTATGCTAGTAATCAATTTTGACACATAATTGAATGAACCTAGCCTCTTATATTGATATATACCGGTATGCATTTTTTTTATTAATTTAGATAAAATATGGTTTGTGACACTCAAAATAGCAAATTAAGTGAATCCAACTAATTGAATGTGCTACAACATGCCAATAGCCAACCTGGATCATTCAGTTTTTTCTGTTTCATGAATGGGGCCAATAAAGATGAAATCGTTTATACTTTTAAGATAAGACTCATTTAAATATAAGACAATCCGCTTCAGTTTCTATGCTAAAGAAAGGACATTGGCTCTCTGACTAACAACATGAAAGGAACTTCAAAATGATTTGCCAGAATACCACTGAAATGGGAAAAAGTTTCAAGTTCAGGGGAGGTAATGATTGAAATTTAGTTAATTTTTGTCTCCATGGTAATCTTACACGGGTTCTATCATAGCCCCATTCTAACTCAAAGCATGTCATGTAGGGCCCTTTAATTTTTATAAGGAAGAGAATGTGGGCGAACCTCAAAGAGTGTGTCATATTGCTCTACTGTTGGTTTCGCTATCCCACAATTCATCATTTTGATCTTGAAACAAAAAGGTCTTCCACGACAAAATGATTGGTCATTAAAACGTCTCTGTGGTAAATAATTTCTTAAATTTCAATCGAAATAAAATTTTAAAAATTCGGCATGGTACCGGCTTTCACCCCCTCATACCTATAAAATAAATATTGTTTATACAAAAAAGGTATTTATCTTGCATCTTCATTGTATTTACAAAAGTTTAAATGGTCAAAAATCCTAACCAGCGAGTTGCCCCTTGCAATTTGATTAAAATGCAAATTAAAAGAAATTGGGTTTTTTTGTCTGTTCTGCAAGTAATATGCTGCACCCCTTGTATGTGTTTGTTTACTTCTATTCTTCAGCCATATAGATTTATATATATTAAGGTATCATTTTTCAAAAACTAAACATGATTTATATTTGAGACTTTGCTATCGGTTTATTCAACTGAGAGAATTATAGCCATGTTTCTGGCACAGTCATTTTTAGAATTCCAAGAAAATAGGCGATTTGCCAAGGACAAAGTCAAAACGATATAACAGTAGATTGGTTTATCGTGTCTTAGGGAACATGTTATATTCTCATAGGTAATATTACTTCTGGTATACACGAGATGTTCACAGTGGCGGTGCTCGTGGTCGTACAGCATGGGGTCACTTTGTCCCCCCAGAAATACTGAAATATAGATTGTACCCCTAACTGTACCAATACTTCATTTAAAAGAAAATTTTGGATTTTTTATACTTTTTTGTCCTTGTCTCAAGATGCGCCAGATACAATTAACTTTTTTCAGAACCTCCACAGACCTTTCATGGAAGTCTTTCGTTTATTTAACTTTCACAGAGCTTCCGCATTGGAATCTTCGGCAGTTGTTCCTCCATAAGTCAGTGCGCTCCCAATTCACAGAAGCTGGCTCCGTCAGTACTTAGCCAGGTGAGGAATGAGTAAGCTACGAAATTATAGAATGAGCGATAACAAGAGAACTGATGAAAGAAACAGAAAACATAGTAAGCATGCATGAATGTAAATCGACATGTTGTGACGAATGAGAGAATAAAAGAGAGAGAGATGGTGAACATGAATGTATGTGTTTTAAGGGAAAGAAGAAATAAACTAATGGAGAGAATAAATGGATGATAAGTAAAACCAATCGATAATCGATCAATCAATCAATCAATGTGGATAGCTTAATATGTTGCCAATGAATGAATGAATATTTGGATAAATGAAATAACTGAATTTGTCATTATCCACAAAGTTTGCCTTAGAAAAACATTCGCCAAGCAACATGACAGTCTTACACAGTACACTTCAAAAGATAAAGCCTATACAAATGATGTTTTTCATCTACATTCATATTTTCCCAGGCTTTAACAATATACCTTTACTGTCAATACACATTCAGGTTGAATGAAAGATATAAAGTTATTTTATTAATAGTCAGTTATCGATTTTTATATAAATATCATTTTATACTCGTGTTTACGTTTTACACGATAGAAAGGGTAATGAGTTTACTATGAGTAATGTTAGTACCCATAGGCACCATACATACCTACTAGCAGCACCAATCGCCAATAATATGATTCCAATAAATAGAAATACGATTCCCACTAAACATAATCCAAATACTACATTTCTTGGCAATATCCAATCATGAAAATTACGTGTAGCTAATCTTCCACCATTGGTTTCTGAAGTATCCAAAAAACACATATTGTATATAGAAGTTCACGGGCAGGTAAAAAAAGTGGTTCTATATACGTGAATTACGAACACCTTCTAAGTAAACTACTGGTAGCTATAGAGAAAATAGTACAGTGTTGAGAAGGCAAACAATTTCTGCTGCCATCATTACAGAGTCGTACTAAATTTAGGCCGGCGAATATAGTCGTTTCGTTTTATTTTTAGCTGTAAGGTCGTGCTTTGGTTTGTGGCAGGTATTTAGAAGATACAATCGGAGCGGTAGAGCTGTTAAGATGTGTTAATGAGCAACTCGGCTGTTAGGTATTGTGTTTACCACATTGTATTGAATAGTGTCAGTGAAGTGAAAACACTAATATGAATTGAGGTTGAATGTCTTATGTTAACAAGCTGGTGACTCATACACGTTATGGTCGTGAGTTTAAAAATTGTAGCGGCTTGATTTTTAATTCATTCTTAATCTTTAGTTTTTATTCCCATATTTTAAATGGATAGACAATATGATTTTTTGTATTCTTGAGGGTTTTTACACTCATTCTAGCGTCTGATAATGTCTCTATGAACCTATCAAAGCAATGTTAAAATTGGATAACAAATCAATATTTGAAATGAATACTGAACAAAGTTTGCATATTTTTGACAAATTCCATTGCAAAGGAATACCAGGAACCTCTATTTTAACAATATGGGTTTGCTCAGGCCCGTAGTTCGGAGGGGCAAGTAATATATCCAGACATCCAGGTGTATGGTGTTTATTGGCAGTAGTGCAATCGGTCCGTTGTAAGAATATTTTCAAGAGGAGGAGGGTGGGGGGTGGCAATCCATTTTTTCGGTAGCTACGGGAATAGGTGTGATACATTTCCCAGTAAAATGGAAAATGCATGAACATACATCTTTTTATTTTGATCAAATTGGTAGAAAAACATAATCTTACATACTTATTTCGAAACTTTGGACTTAATCGTTTTTGCTTTGATAATGCCAATTTGGCAGAAAATCCTTCCAAAGATGAAATTGCGCGATACATAAGAAAAACCTTTGTAACGTCCATATCTGTTTGTATTTGCGGCTGAGTGATTTGCAGCCGCCCAATACTACTACATCTACTCACAATATCGATTTTTTACTTGATTAAGAATATAATTATGTATGATATTGACCATTTGAATTAACTGGTGTGGACTTTTTGTCATTGAAAACTTTGAAATTAATTAATAAACTGTGTACATATGGTGAATATATCTGCTTTAGATCACGTGATATTTTTATGAATCATAAAGAAAATGTATCACTGTAAAGGTTGAATTAAAGGAATACTACCCCTTAAAATGGACATAAATTCTAAATTCTCAAACAAGCCAACAAGTGTATTATATTCATCAGTTGGACTTTGTGCCATGACGAAAGACGATGTATCCATACGCTTCAAAGCATATCCCAAAATTACTAAAATTACAAATTATTACTTAGTTTTATGGATTTATTGGATTAAAGAGGGATTCTGTTGTAAAGTTGTAACACCATAGGAATCCACTGATGAACAAAGAGTCATTTTGGCCCAGTTCAAAATTGTCAATTGTTTGTTTATCCTAAGAGGCAGTTCGATTGATATAATTTTCATATTGTAGGACTAGTCAACAGAACTATCTTCTCCATTTTATTATTATACTTAACTAGCCCTTGGTCTTACGAATGCGTCATTTGCAATTTGACCAATTAGCGAATGCATTTCGAATTGGGTCAACCAAGCAGTTTGGAATTTTTTTTTATTTGTCGAGAGCTAAATCATGGTCCAATCAAATGTAGAAATGCTATGAAATTAAATGGAATTCAATTCCTTTTTTGCACTTTTATCAGGATAGTGCCACCAAACATTTATTTTTTACGTTTTCAGCCTGTTTAATATTCACCGATAACAAAATGAAGTAAATCTGTGTGGCGGAGAACGTTGTTATACATTCATTTATAACTTCTGGCGATTAGCATGTGGTTGTGGGCGTATATGTACTATATGTGCTACTCTTATTCCTTGCCAAGCTATCATCGTATGCTGTAATTAAATTTCATGCATGTTCTGAATTAGAAAATGTAATAACTTAGGAAAGATGAAGAGTGGCGAAAAAGATTGATTTGATATTACCAACCGTGTTATCACAGCCTTACTTCAATGATAAATAGATGCCTGGCATTTCCCAAGATCGAAATCTTTAAATCTAAAGGTTCCAGATGTCTTTCATTTTTTATTAACTACTCTATACATCAATCCTATTATAATCACTGTTTTATATAAAAAAATATGAATGGCTGTTTTAGTTTAAAGAAGAAGTATGCATATTTTTTTTATTTTTACATTATGAATTATACATGAAAGATTTCTTAAATATGCTATTTACTTCTATTTATACACCGGATAAAGATTTATTTAAAAGGGGTGATTGAAAACGGAGCATAGGCGATGGAGCAATTGTTAATAAAGCAGTTTGATCTAGTTGTGGCGTTTGGCCTTATAATGAGTCGATACTATTTTTAGTTGTAACCTGTAGAATAAGGAAAAGGCATTTATCTTTGATTTGGCGTTTATATTTGTTGAAATTCATACATCCAACAATAACCAAAAACATTAAAACGTTTACGTAAACCTTTTAACTACTTTTGACGTTCTAGAATTAACGACAAGATACTTGAAGTCTTCATTGAGTTAAAACTTTCAGATAAGTGAAGATTTCTCTAGATTTTGGTGTGTTGTTCTGACTTTAAAGCACAAGGATCTCCTAATATCATCAGACTACTTGTTGAAATTTTCTTTTTACTAAAATAACTGAAATCTATACACAAAAAACTAGAGAAATGTGTCCCTTAAACGTATCTAAAAGCTTTAACCAAAAATATCCAGCCGTTAATTTTTAAATGCAATAACTATTTAAAACGTTTAGTAAACTATGCTTTTATGAAGCTGATAAAAAAAACTACCGTACGGATTCAAGGGACAGATGCGGCATTTTTTTGGATCAATCACTCATTAGTCTCAAAAACGGGAATAAGTGATATTGTCCACAGCTCACGGTCGAAATCTGAGCCTTCAAATCCATGTGTGTCCAGAATTATCAGCAATTGAACGTTAAACGACAACTCGTCAATTTAAGATACTCTGAGATATATAGAAAAGACATATATGGAAACAGGGAGGAAAATTTCTAGTCTGAAGTATTTTTGAAGGAATTATGCGATTTTTATGAAGACTATGTAGATATATTCAAGACTAAAATCAACCACCGGAAATGGCGCATCTGTCACTTTAAATAAAATTGTAGATAAATATGTCCCCTACGTATTCTAAAGGTTTCAACTAATAATACCGAGTCATAAACCCAAACCGTCGAAATTTGAGCCTTCAAATCTAAATACGTCCAGAATTATCCACGTTTGAACGTTAAAAAGACGTCTCGTCTTTGCTTGAGACACTACCACATATAGAAAAACATTTATAGAAATAGGAAAAGAAATTCCTAGTTTGAGATATTTTAGAAGGAATTATGCGATATTCGTACATTTCTAGTACTTTTGAAGACTACATATAATCAAGATTCAAATCACCCCCTCCCTCCCAAATGGCGAACCTGTCCCTGTAAGAGTGCGTTACTTCCTGCTTTTGTCATAATAATTTGGAAAGAGGTTTTTTTTTTAAATTGTACACGAACTTAACGTGACATTTTTATCACAAAAGTGGTAGTTCTGTTCTGTCAGATTGAGGTAAAGTATACAGTCCAATCTTTGTACACAGGACAATTTGTTCTGGATGCAAACAAAATCTTGAGGGGGAAATAATATAAAGGTGACGGTAATAGCTTTGTCATGGCGAAGGCTTGAAAGTTTCAATTACATTTTCCGCTTAACTACAAGCGTGGCGTGCTTTGAACTAATTGTTATTCTGAAGGTTTTTGGTAGAAAGAGGTTCTGGTAGTGTTTGTATTCATAGAACGTGTCGACAGTTTCTATCAATGCTTTTAGATTTCGGTGTCAAAACTACTCATATATATATAGATAGATTGTGCCATCATAGATCGTAGCCCTCTATTGAAACATACTAAACCGTTATATCATAAATACTATTTCGAAACTGAAATGTTGATAATCAGACTTCCAGTGGTGCCGTTAAATTGAGTTTCCATTCTGTACACAAGTGTTAGCGGCTTTACTTACTTATATTGTACTAGATATCCGTCCATTGGGGGTATTTTATTTCAATCTCTCTCAAAACTGTGTAGACTCGTTAAAATATACTACTTATGAAATGGTCGTTAATAACAGCGACTAAATTATCTTGTGACCATATTACTTTGATCAGTTTTCCTTGTGACCAAATTAGTTTGGTTTGCTTACATTTTTACACTGGAAATTACATATACGCTTTGTAACCAAGTTACAGTGACTAATTTATCTTGTGACCATATTACTGAGATCAGTCTACCTTGTGACCAAATAACTTTGCCTTGTTTACATTTTTTTAAACTCAAAATTACGTATACACTTTACCTTGTAACCAAAAACAGTAACTAATATGCTTTATGACCATATTACTGTGATCAGTTTATTTTGTGACAAAATTACTTCGGCTTTTTGCATTTTTTCACACTCAAAATTTCGTGTACTTTACCCTGTAACCAAAAAAAACAGTGACTAATTTACCTTGTGACCAACTTACGTTGTCTTGTTTACATTTTTTTACACTCAAAATTTAATGTACACTTTTTCTTGTGATCAGATTACTGTAATCAGTATCAGTATATATGTTACACAAATTCTATAAACAGTGTTAGTTTCAAATGAGGTGCCGATTTAACAACACCAATTGCTTGTAACTCATCTATAAATTCATATACAAATATAGACATGACATGGATTTTAGTCATGCATACGATAAATATATGAATTTATATCAACACCTTTAGGCTATAACATTTTGAAATTTTCTGTAATGATGTTTTTTGAGTACAAAGTAACATATTACGTTGCTGTTTTTATCTTTCTACTAACTTCATTTCGATTAAATTTTAATTTAGATCCTAGCAGGTGAAAGGCATTACAGTCTGAACGACATTTCTAGCTTAAATTCTAAATATAACGCATTTCCAAACTATTATCAAGGGCCAAACATC